AGTTTCCGCTGCATGCATCCGATGAAGTGAGCTGTAGCTCACGAAAGCTCATGCTCAAATAAATTGGTTAGTCTCTAAGGTGCCACAAGTACTCCTTTTCTTTTTGCGAATACAGACGAACACGGCTGCTACTCTGAAACCTGTCATAAATCAGTGGGTTTTCTGCATGCAGTGGAATTTCACGAGTCATCAGGTTATAATACCACCATGAGTCCATCTACTATTTTGACGACTGTGCTGGTTGCACAGCTATAACAAACTTTGAAGGGAAGAGTGGCTTTGGTGAGAATCTCTGAAAATAATGAAAGGTAATGAAACATGGCTGTCTTTAACTTCAGTAAAATGATATGTATACAGTACCCAGTGGCTAAAATTAGGATGTTGAGGTTTAACAAAACATATCCAGATGATATGCTAAAAACTCCTCTGTTTCTGTCATGGTTGTGACTGTGATAGTATAATTCCTGAAAAAAGAAAAGGAGGACTTGTGGCACCTTGGAGACTAACCAATGCATTTGAGCATGAGCTTTCGTGAGCTACAGCTCACTTCATCGGATGCATGAACAGCAGCAGTAACACGGCTGCTACTCTGAAACCTATAATTTCTGAGTTTCCATGGGAGGAAAAAGTACTACAGTTATCTAATAAGAATGTCATTAATTAACATTTGTCCCTGTGGATTAGACTAGTAATCATTACTTAAAAGGTGAGGCTGATATAAGTATATATGGTATAATTCTAAGCCAAATTTTGCCCTTGGCTGAGAGGCTCACATTGAACTTAGTAGGCGCTGCCAACATGCATTCCATGTACAGAAACTGACTTCAATGAAAGCTGCATCCACAAATCTGAGAGCAGAATCTAGTTTTTTATCACCATTCACCATGAAAATAAATCGATGCTTTCCTGCGAACTGGAAAGCCAAATGTGAATTTATCGTTTACTATCCTTTTGGGTAAGGATGTGCTGTACATTCAGAAGCGCAAAGCAAAAATTTGTTTCAAACTATGGGATCAAGAAATTAACTTTGATTGCTGATGGTATTAGGGGAGCTATACAAACCTAGTTGCTATTTTAAGGAAATATGTGTATCAATTTAAAGGATTTCTTTGATGGTTCAGTTGTGAATGCAGCTAATCTTTTAATTTTCAGTCTTAAAGATCAAAGCAGCATCTAAACACAAACCTTCTTTGATTTCTTCTGAGTTTGTTTAATTTGCTCGCAGTATCTCATTTTGAAAGGACCAAGAGCCATTTTCATTTGTTTTTGCACTGCTTTGGAGAAGAAGCAATTTGAGTGCAAGAGGAAGCAAGTTCCAGTTTATATGGAGCAAATCATTAGGGTTTCTTTTACATAGCAACATTATTTATTTTATGAGATAATTAGTGACAAGCTTATATAGATCCGTCTCTGTCCTCAATTTATATTCTTTTTGGAGCTTTTAAAGTAGAGGACACCTGCACATTTTAAAAATGGTAAATGCCTGGTACTACAGGCATATGTGATCAATGCCTTAACTAAAAGGCCAAGAGAGACATTCAGAACACAAATGTAAATGTACCTTAAATGACAAAATTGGTCTTGCCAAGTTTCAGCAGCTAGATTCATTCTGATATGATCTCCCAGAATGCATTATTTTTTAATGCAGCCTGTTCCAACCCATTGGGTGTAATCCACTGGCTGAAGAAAAAACCTATTTGCAGGATCCCATGGTCACTGGAACACTTCGGGAAGGCAGGGTGGGAGCAACTCACTCCTGCTGCCCCAACCTGACTCCCTCCACAAGTCCAATCACGGGAGAATTCCACCTTCTCCTATTTGAATCCTGCAGTTGTGGGAAGCTAGGGGAGAATAGCAGTAACAGGGGGTAGGGGAAGCATTTAGCTGATTTCTTCCCATCCTTCCACACTGCCAGATCTTTGGGGACACATTGCCCAGCAGTGACTCCTCCCATCATTACAATAGGTGGCTCTCTTACAGGACTCAGGAACCCCACTGATGTCACAAGCTCTGGAATGCTGTTTGTTGTGTTGGTAGAGTTACTGTTCTCAAACATTCAGATTTTATTGTCAGAAGGGACCATCACGATCATCTAGTCTGATCTCCTGCACGTTGCAGGCCACAGAACCTCACCCTCCCACTCCTGTAATAGACCCCTAAATTCTGGCTGAGTTACTGAAGTCCTCAAATCATGATTAAAGACTTCAAGTTACAGAGAGTCTACCATTTACACTAGTTTAAACCTGCAAGTGACCCGTGCCCCCTTCTGCAGAGGAAGGAGAACCTCCCTCCCCACGAGTCTCTGCCAATCTGATCTGGGGGAAAATTCCTTCCTGACCCCAAATATGGCACTCAGTTGGGTCCTGAGTATGAGGCCAAGACCCACCAGCTAGACAACAGTGAAAGAATTCTCTGTGGTAACTCAGAGCCTTCCCCATCTAGAGTTCCATCCCCGGCCACTGGAGATATTTGCTGCTGGCAGTCACAGATCAGTTATATGCCATTGTGGGCAGTCACATCATACTATTGTGACATACTGTACCCCATGTAACCTCCTGTAACTACATTCACCACCATTATATGATTTTGATATGTTTTATACAAAGTATGCCTTGTGAGGTATATTTGAAAAGTTCTGATTTGATGAACCTGTTGAAATTTATGTATCACCATATGAAGTTATGACATTTTTCTATGTTTGTTACTGTGACAGGATCCCCGGGGTGCAGCCTGGGACTGTGGGACCTCTGTGCCCCCTTAACTCTGTTCAGCCTGGGCTGTCTCTCACAATGCTTTGCTAGTGACCAGCAGCAAGCCCCTCCAGGCGCTGTGCCTCCAGGCTCCACCCCACACCCAGCTAGATTGCATGAATGCTCCCAGAGCCGCTCATGAATCACACGGGGAAAGGCACCAGCCAAATCCGACCAGCTCCCAGCACTGTTCCCCAGGAATATACCGTCTTACACTGCTCAAGACGAGCAGCGCAAAGTTATTAATTGGTTCACCACTTCATCAATGGAAAGTGGATATACACCAGCCTTTGCTAACCTGAGCACATTTGCCACACACTTTAGGCAAACTCACTGGTAAAGATAAACAGTTAAACAAATTTATTGACTACAAAAGATAGATTTTAAGTGATATTAAGTGATAGGCAAAAAGTCAGAGTTAGTTACCAAAATAAAATAAAATAAAATATAAGCATGCAGTCTAAACTCTCAACCCTGTTAGACTGGGCAATATCTAGCTTAAGCAATTTTTCTCACCCCACTGGATATTGCAGTCCTTAATATACAGGTCTGTCCCTTAAACCTGAGCCAGTCTCCTCTGTTGGAGTCTTGTCCCCTTCTCAGTGTCTTTGTTGCTTGCAGCATAGGTGGAGGCAGGAGAAAGGCCCCGCATGTGGCCATTGTGTTCTGTTTTATAACCTCAGTCCCTTGTGCTTGGGGAGCACAAGCCCAGGCATGTCTGGGGACATTGCTGAGTCTCCAGGCCAGGTTCAGCAATTACTCTGGTGTGGCCTCATGCAGGTGAGTCATTGATTTGAAGCTCCCTTGCTGGACAATGGTTTTTGATGAGTTGTTTGACACCCTGCCCGGGTGTTGGTTACTTTCTGTTGCCTCTGGGGAGCTACTATCTGGCTGATTCCCCAACTTACAGCATGTTTTAGTGACAACCAAACAACACAATTCTCATAATTTCATATGCATTAATGATATACTTATATGGATAGAGAAATAACTTTCAGCAAATCATAACCTTTCCCCTGATACCTTACAAGGCATGCTTTATATGTAAGACCATGATTATATGAAAATGAGGAATATGGGGGTTACAGGACATTCCCCCAGGTATAGAATGTCACAGTTATTGAAACATGTTGTGAGTCTAGGAAATGCCCACAGACTAGACCCTCAGAGAGGACAAAGAAACTGCGAACACAGAGACCTTACATGCCAAACCTCACGTAGACAAAAGCTACAAGCAAAAATTTACCATTCATAATGAAGGATGGTCAGCAGCTCACATATACCCTGGGTACTGTCTAAGTCCATGACACAGCATGGATTTTTCCAGCACCTGGTGAAAAGTATAAATGAGGGACAGTGACATCACCACAGGGCCTCTCTCTCCTCCCCACCTGGAAGCAAGATAGTTTGGAAGACAAACAGAAGTCTCCTTGAACTGGGGTGAAGGGATGATCCTAACTAGAATGCTTTCTAGTTAGTATAAACTGAACTGAAAAGTGTCTGCAACGTCCAGTAGGATGAAAGAAACTGGTTGGTTCAGATCTTGCTTAGCCTGATAAAGTTTAGGATTTAGAATGAGTGTTTGCTTTATTTCTTATGTGACCAACTCTGACTTTTATGCCTACCACTTATAATCATGTAAAATCTATCTTTCTCTAGTTTAATAAACTTATTTTGAGGTTTAGACAAACTAACTGGTTTAGATTAAAGTGCTTGGAGAGGGGGTCTGCTCAGATTAGAGGCTGGTGCATGTCCACTACCCTTTGAAGGAGTGGTGAACTAATTAATGAGCTTGCATTGATCAAGAAGGTCTTGAGCAGGGTAAGACGCACTGGGGTGCAAGACTGGGGCTGCGGGGGATTTGCTGGGGTTTCCTTGTATGCAGTTAATGAGCGGCTTGGGAGAGCATTCACTTAACTTTGCTGGGTGTGCCTCTGCATGCTGATGGCTGAGTAACAGATCCTGGATCCAGATCCAGAAGGGTTATATGCTTCATAGCCAAATGATGGACTTTCTTTGCTGCTTCTCTGCACAAGAAGGAAGAAAGTGGAAGAACACTTGGGGACTTCTAAGCACCCTGTGGCTCAGCCTATGATGATCTTATTACTGTTGCCCTCCTCTTTCTTCTCACTGATTGTCACACTCATTTGACATCTCATCTGAAGTTGGACTGTGGGTTTGTACAGTGCCAAATTCAATGGGACCCCAATACTGATCGGGGCGTTTGAGCCATACCACTATATAAATAAATAATTGGAAAACAGTTTATTAAAGGCATATTGTTCCTAATATAACAAAAGGCAGCAGCAAGATAAAGCACAAGTATAACAAAAGTCAGTTTACAGTAAGAGCTGAAATAATATTTTGTAACGTCAGAAGATGCTGCTGCAAAATTTGAGTCAAGAAAACTGTTCACGTAATCTGTGGGTCACATGGGTAACAAACAATGGAACCCTACAGTAACATTTCATATTAAGGGTGGAACATCTTGGTTATCTTCAAAGTCAACACAACTATTCTCAGTGTCTATAACCTTTTGTTGCTGCAGATTAATAGGTCCTTGCCCAATTCGCTCCTTTTCTTGGATTATGTTTGCCACATCAGGGAATGAATATTTGCTGGGATCCACTTCTAGTTTCTCAACTTGCTCCCTGTAACAAAGGAGATCAGATGGTTATAAATAAAACTTCATTTCAACATCACATGTAGCAACAGAAATTTGGGACTGCTTCCCAAATTCCCATAGAAGTCACCAGGAGTTTTGAGGAGGATTAAGAAATGTCACTATTGTGAACTGATTGTTCATTCAAAAGGGAGTCTCAGAGCTTGTGTATGCTTACAGCGCTGCAGCAGCACATGTGCACTGGTGAAGCTGCACTGCTGTAGTGCTTAGTGAAGACACTATCTATGCTGAAGAGAGAGTTTCTCTCCTTGGCATAGATACACCACCTCCCTGAGAGGTAGTAGCTATTGTCAATGGGAGCAGCCTTCCCATTGACATAGCACTGTCTCCACTTGGGGCAGGGATTCTTCTTTGAGTAGTGTCTCTATGGGTGCTTCACTGTAGGTGACTCCCAAACAGTATTGCCTCTGGGGGGCTGAGGCAATCATCCAGGTAAGGGAAAATCATGATCCCTTGTGAGCATAAGTCGGTTGCCACTACTGAGAGAACTTTGGAAATACTCTCGGGGCCAAAGATAACCTGAAGGGGAATGCCCTGTACTGGTAGTGATCTTGTCCCAGGGTGAATCTGAGAAATCGTCTGAGAGTCGATAAGACTGAGATGTGAAAATATGCGTCCTGGAGGTCGAGGGCCAAAAACCAGTCTCCCTGTTCCAACGCTGAAATGATCGTTGCTAAAGTGACCATCCTGAATTTCTAAGCTTTGACAAACTTGTTGAGAGCGCTAAGGTCTAATATGAGTCTCCAGCCTTCCTCCTTCCTGGGTATTAGAGTAGAACTCTTTGCTTTATAGATGTTGAGGTACTGGTTCTATGGTTCTAACTGGAGGAGACAGTCTATCTCTTGACATAGTAAACTCTCATGAGAAGGCTCCCTGAAGAGGGACGGGGAAGGGTGTTGTAGAGGATGCAGGGAGGTAAAATGGATAGACTATCCATGGCAAATGATCTCTAGGAGCCATCGGTCTGATGTTATATGCTCCCAGGTGCTGAAGAACAATGCCAGACAGTTGTCAAATGGGTGGATAGTGATGGTCGGTTGTAGTGGTTGTGGGGAGTGGTCTATCAGCACTTCGACCAACACGTCAAAACTGGTGTTTAGATGTGGAAGGCTGGGACGAGAAGGATTGCTGGCCAGATGGTTTACATCTGGAGAATTTAGTTTTCTTTCTCCGTGGCTTGTAGTATTGTTGAGCCGGATATTGGGAAATGCGGGGCTTATGCTGGGACTGCAGACTAAATTTTCTCTTTTGTCCCGTAGATGCCCAGCTAATGGCGAGTGGCCTGAGAATCCTTCAAAGTGTGAAGGGTTTTCTCCGCAGTTTTCTCCGCAAAGAGCTTAGTGTCCTCAAAGGGAAGAAGATCTTTGACGGTTGCCTGCACCTCCTTTGGGCAACCTGACAGCTGGAGCCAAGAGGCATGTCACATCACCACTACCGTGGAGATGGATCTGGCTGCAGTATCAGCCATGTGGAGGGCAGACTGTGGCATTGTCTTTGCTACTAGCTGCCCTTCTTGGCTGATGACCTTAAATTGTTTGCGATATGTCTTGGGCAGCTGCTCAATAAAGTTGTTCTATTTCGAGTAATTCATATAATGGTATTTCACTGTAAGTGCTTGGTAGTTGACAATTTGAAACTGAAGTGTGGCCGAGGAATTACGCCCTCTTACCAAATAGGTCCAGATGCTTTCAGCACCTATCGTAGGGAGTGGACCTCATGTGGTGTTGATGGCCACAAGAATTGACAGCATCCACCATGATGGAGTTTGGTGGAGGGTGGGAGAAGAGGAACACTGTTTCTCTCCCCGGGACATAGTACTTTTTGTCTGTTTGCTTGTAAGTCAGTGTGACCGATGCTGGGGTCTGCCATATTGTTCTCAAGGGGTCAAGAAGGGCTTCATTCATAGGGAGGGCTACTTTTGAAGAGGAATGGTGGAAGAGGGATGGTGGAAGAGGCACGACAGACTCGTCTGGGGAAGAGGAGGATATAGTTTTTGGGTTCCCCTCATTCTGAACATCACCCTCACACTTCTCCAAGATTCCTTCTAGGGACTCCAAAGTCTTGGTTGCTGGGGCTGAGGAAATGTGTCTCATGGACTCATGGGTGGGACTAGAAGCCTGAGAGGCCTGGGTGCAGTATGCAGGCCAGGGCTCCTAATATGGCACGGAGCCTGGTGGTGGTGCCCATGGATGGCCGTACCAGGACAGCAGCATTGGGGCCATCTGAAGATATGCCCGGGGCGCTTGCTGGAATCGGGCACCATAAAGGGCTTGGGAGGAGTACTGTGATATCCTGTTCTCTGGTTCACTATCTGAGTCTGAACTGGAGACTGGGGGAGCATGGCAAGGAAGCAGGAAAGACTCCTGTGCTGGGTGGAGACTTGGTGCGGAGGTCCTGGTACTGAGGAGAGGAGATTCCAGAACATCAGTTACGCAGAGGTCCTTTGAGTGCCAGAAATCCGGTGGTGCCAACCGGCTCAGTGCCACTGGCAGTGCTGAGAGGACATAGATCTTGTCCACACCAGCTGTTCAGGTACCAGAAGAGACATTGGTACCTGTCATAAAAATAAAGGGAAGGGTAACCACCTTTCTGTATACAGTGCTATAAAATCCCTCCTGGCCAGAGGCAAAACCCTTTCACCTGTAAAGGGTTAAGAAGCTAAGATAACCTCGCTGGCACCTGACCAAAATGACCAATGAGAAGACAAGATACTTTCAAATCGGGAGGGGGGGAATAAAGGGTTCGTCTGTCTGTGTGATGCTTTTGCCAGGAACAGATCAGGAATGCAGTCCCTGGAAAGCAGAAATGAAGAGAACATTTTTTTAGCAAGCAAATACATTATATTTAAACTGAGTGTTCTGTGTATGTCTGGTGCTTATTACTTTTGACAATATGATTCTTAACGATTTTTGACAGGCGTTGGAACTTTATAGCAAGCCATTATTCAAAGCACAGTAAAAACTAGAATGCATAATACATTCATTCAATCCATGTTAGGGATGTTTTTGAAATAACGCTTAGCATAATTTGTTGTTTTCTTAATGAACGCATTGATATCATTATCACTCCATCAGCAGAGATTAAGTGTTCTTATACTTTCTGCAGTGTCATATTTAGACCTAGCATTTTAAAAATAACTAATTAAATTAAACAGCTAATTTGTTGGCATGCATAGAAATAAATCTCTTCCTTTGAATAAACATCAGTGGACTGGAGCACATTGGTTAAGAAGAAAACTATTTTATGGATTAATCATCTGAAAATGTTTAGAAGATGTGTGATGTAAATTAATTCCTATTATAACTTTAAAGGAGCACTACGTCTACATTCTGGATGCCTCCTGTGTGGGAGGACTAGAGGGAGCAGGGGGCACCCTCAGTTAGAAAAAACAGAAAAACTCTAACCCATTCCCAGTAATTTGTGATTGATTCTTCTTCACCGAGTCCCATTAACTGGGATCAGAGGCTCTGTGTACTTCATCTCCAAGTGTTCTTGCCAAGTGTGTCTTCAAAGCTGACACCAACCTTCTTCAGGTCCTCCTTGAGCATCTTGAACCACCTTTTTCTAGATCCTCCTTGTGGTTTTTGACCCATGACTACTAGTTCTTGTAGTCTCTGGCCAACACATCCCACGCCTCACTGTCTCACATGACCTAGCCATCTCAGTCATTACTCCCTCAGCTTCTCTGTGATGGGGGGGGGGGAGGGCTACTGAATCATGGCTCATACCATTTCATTGTGTAGCATGTCAACTCTAATCTTAGTCAGCGTCCACTTGAGCATTCTCAGTTTGTCTGTGTGAAATAGTTGTTCTTCTCTGTTCCTCACTAGCCAGAATTCCAACCCACATGTCATGATGGCCTTATTGTGACCTTATATACTTTGTTCCTTAGTTTACTTGGCATACTCTTATTCTGTCAATTCCCTACATTTACACCAAGCGCTCTTCAAAGCAGCCCCTAACATCTGCATCCACATTCCCATTATGGCTCAACAATGAACCAAGGTATTTAAATTGTCACACAAACCAACTCTATACCATTGAGTCTTACTGGCTTCTCATTGTCCCACTCAACAAAGCATGGTATGTATTCCATATTTTGGCAGATGATTCATAAACCATTTTCTTCTAATATAGTCTTTCAGAGATCAGTAGCGGATTAGCCGCTGGGAAAATGTGGCCTGTGCCCAATGGCCCCAGCAAATTTAGGCGCCTTGGTGCCCCAACCCGCTCTGCCCAATGCTCCTGCCAGGGAGCGGGGTCAGGGCACAGGGGTTTGCCACACTTTGTTCACCTGCCCGGTGCTTGAGCTGAGGAGCAGGATCAGGGCGCAGGGGGCTTGCCCTGCTCTGCCTGCCTGCCAGGTGCTCCAGTCGGGGAGCAGGGTCAGGACGCAGGGGCTTGCTCTGCTCCGCCTGGTGCTCCACCTGGGGAACAGGGTCGGGACACAGGGGCTTGCCCCACTTTGCCCGACCGGCGCTCCAGGAGTCCAAGTTCATATACCTGGTAAGTAATCACTTTGTAACAGTAACCCTGTTGTTTAAAAGGCCCTGACCCAGCTGTAGGAGTCTTTACCATTCCACAGTTGAACCTGGAACAAGCACACTTGGACTGAAATACACCTCTCCAAATACTCAGTAAGTGGCTGGTGGTGCACAGCTCCTCTGCTACTATGAGGCCTCATCTGCAAGCTTTCTGCCCCGAGGAATTCGTGTGCTGAAGCAGCATTTTATGGTTTCTCCTGCCCAATCTGCTCTTCTGATTAAAGAGATGGTATCATGTCAAATGTGGCCCCAAATTAAGGTTTTTGGATATTTAAAAGCAAAATGTTACTGACCCAAAGTCCAATAGAAACAGTCCCAGGATTTTCCTGAATTCCAGTGGAAACAAGCTAAATAAATCCTCCCATGGGATATTGAAGGAGATTCAAGGGTGTGCATGCTTGTATGTTCAAAGGTGTTTTTTGGGGGCAGAGGGGAGTTAAAACTTATTTTTGCCTTACTTCCAACCTGAACCTCTGACTCCTCCCACCAAAAAGGAAAAGTTGTCTCTTTAATTGCTGAAAATTTTATGTTCCCTTTATAAATAGTAGTTTTGTATAAAATCTCAGAATAGATCTTGTGTAGGTAGCAGAAGTGATGACTGTATTATCATGTATTCAAGATAGCAGAGTTAAAGAGGTTTTCAAACACTGTGGTCTAACAGATTGTATGTTTGTGAAGAAGAATTTAGCTGAGAGTTCTGTAATCCTCAAGTGTAATTGTTGTAATGAATGCTCTCCTGTAATCTAAGAGACAGCTATTCAGGATTCTTTAATGTCTGGATAGTTACTGTAGCTACTTGTCAGCTACAGGGGTCAAAACTTTTTCTTTTCTTGATAAGCTCTGTACATTCAAAGTACCTCTTTCCTATTTCCGTTTTGATTGTAAATGTGTAGTTTGCCTCCAACAAAGTAAATCAATATCTGCACTCAGAAAAGGCATGTTTACAAAAAGTATTGTGGGGATTTAGGAGAATATTATCAATTGGATTGAGTCCCAGATTCCCTTTTTGTGGGCACAACTTGTTATCCTTGTGGCATGGAGTATCTCTGGATCATCAGGTATCAGAAATTATAGAAAGGCCACACTATATGCCTCCTTCCCATACCACCGACGAACCTTCTTTCACTTAAGGCTGCGAGGAAAAAAAAAGATGGTTTCCAAATGAAAAATGACTGGATTCTATACCCAGATTTAGTGCAGGGCCTCAGGGATGTCCACTTTAACTGTTGTCTAATGCTCTACTATGCAGGTGGAACCAAAGGAGCTAAAGAGGATCACCCACCTGTTGAAAGCTCACATGGTGCTTAGGAAGACTGGTTTGAAACACTTGGAACTGAGATGACTGTGCTAGCAGGTGTCTAAAGAAGGATGGTATATTTCTTCCTAAAGAAGAAACTTGGCTGTTGACTGGGCTCCTTGAGTGTCTCTAGGGTCTCATTTGTCTTTCTGCTGAGAAGATCTATTGCTTCTAAAAAGGGAAGTCCAATACACTTTGCTATGGACCTCCTGAAAGAGATTAGAAGTCCTCAGTCATCAATGCTAACAGATTGTCCTAGCCACTGCCACACTTTTGCTTGATTGCTAAGTGCATTGCTTGCAGCTCACAAGGAACGTCTAGACGTATTTACCTTCTCTGTAATGATTCTATCTTCTGCTCGTTATGCATGTAATCTAAAAAAAGACGTGCCCTTGCAGCTGTACCTCACCACTACTACTTGACAATTAAACATTCATTGCCCTTACAGTACTATTTGCCCACTGGTTCCACACGCTGGGCTCAAGAAGAGTGTCCAGGATCCATGCTGCTGCTTTTTCATACGAATTTAGAACAGAAGCTCTGTTAATTGGTTTTGCTAATAGATTTGAACCCTTGGGTTTCTAGGTAAGAGCACTGGCTTCTTGGATTCTAGAGCACAGCTGTCCCAGATTGGGAGGGAGTTCATTCCGTTGAGATAATCTGAACAGAAGAAAGACAGCTGGGTACTAAAGGTTTCCCGCATTATCAGCAGTAATACAAGCCAAGGGGTAAATCCAGTGCAAAATGAGAGTATCATAGGGAACGCCCCTATGTAAGACTATTCAGAAACCTGGGTGTGCAGGTCCATGATAGACATCCTATTATCATGACAGACACTATTTATACCTAGACTTTTTATCTGGATGTACCATGTTAGAACAGAATGAAACCAAGCAATAGCGGAATTAAACTCAAAACAACATCTACTACAAACTAACAAGTTATTTTTAACCTTAAAAATGAACTTTTAAACTGCTACCAAACACTGCTTTTATTACAACATAGAATGGGCTGATATGATGCATTGGTTCCCAGAACCACTGCCTATGGTGATGGAGGGGGAAAAAAGTGGAGATTTGTGCAGTAGGTCAACTGTAGTGCCTACATAACTTTCCACTGATCATTTGGATTTGTTATACAGTCCCAAAAGTAATTGCTTTCTGGGTAGTTCTAGGACTTGTGCTGCACAGTAGAGGATCTATAGAGGCAATTCTTGAGAAAAGATTTTGGTTTTACTGCATTCTAGCTTAATAGTCTGAATGACAGTTGATGGAACACAACTGCTCTGTAGTAATAAGCTCTTTTTAGGCTCTGTTTTTGGAACAGATCACTTTATAAACAGTACTGGACAGACCATTAGTCTAAAGCTTTTATGTAAAGTGTTACTTTGTACAAATCAATATTTTCATACTTTGAACGATTATATACTCACTGGGCAGCAATAGCCTGATGAGTAAATAACTAATGTGCAAAAACATATAAGCTGTAAAGAAAGAAAAAGCAAAGTTACCTTTTTATATTTGTCTGCAGTTTGTTGCTGTCAGAAGGTTTGACCAAAGTGGGTGTTTTTCGGTTAGCCATAATTATTTCTTGAACCTGGAATAAAAATACATAACCAGAGCTGTCACAACATATCCTGGGATTTATGCGCAAAAGCATTTAAACAATCTTTTAAATAAAGAACTGTGGAAACACGAACATTTTATGTAATATTTTTCTGACTGTCTTGAGCTTTTAACAACGTGATCACATCTGAACCAATTCCTTCACTAAAATGGAATCCAGATGATCTAGGATCTATAAGAGCAGAGAAGGAGGGCAGGTCATGGAATAAATGTAGACAACACATCTCTATAAGAACTACAGTTACTGTAGAGTAAGTAATCCATTCTTTCTTCTTTGAGTGATTGCCCACGTGTATTTCAATTTCTGGTGGCTCACAAGCAGTGACCTCTGTTTGGAAGCGAGTGCTCAGAATCTACTGAAATAAAGACAGCTCTGCCAAACTGAGCATTGGATTTGGAGCCACCTACCAAGTAGTCCTGGATTAAGATACGACTTGAACTCCAAGTAGCTGCTCTACAAATCTCTAAGGTGCCCCTTAGGAAGCTGCAGAGGCTGCTTGAGCAAAAGTAGGTTCTAATCTACGGTGGTTTCAAGTGAACTATCACATAACAAGTTCTGATTCAGTCAGAAACCCATTTAGATAGTCTTTGGGTAGATACTGACTGACCTTTCATCCTGTCAGCAAAGGCCAGAAACAGTCTAGGGAACTCCTGAATAGTTTTGTCCTGTCCAGATAGTAAGAGGACTGGACAACATCCAAAATGTGAAGCTTCACCTCCCCTTGACTAGTATGAGGCTTGGAAAAGAAAACTGGCAGATGGATGTCTTGATTCAGGTGAAAAAGTCAGAGACAACTTTAGGCAAGAACTTTGGGTGAGGCTTTTGTGTCACCTTGTCCTTCCGGAATACTGTACAAGGAAGTCCTGCCATGAGGGTTTGGGACTCTCCTATTCTTTGGGCTGAAGAGATATCCACTAAGAGGGTGGGTTTCATAGACAGGTGACATAAAGAACAGGTTGTCTTAGGATCAAAAGATGGCTGACATGAATGCCAATAACACAGTGTTGAAGTTCCAGAAGGTGGAGTCTCTCTGATTGGAAGAAAGACATGAATTAGACAATTAAGAGATGTAGCAACTGTGGGGTGTGAGAAGACTGTGTGACCTTCAATAGGAACAGGATGAACACAAATAGCTGCCAAGTGGACTGGACTCTTCTGGAATGGATGGAAAGTCTCAGATGCTTTAAGACTTTAATCCAAACTAGCTGGTATTGAGGTTTGTAGCTGGGGTACGTGTTTTTCTGATCCCAAAATGGCCCACCTTGATTATCATGCACATTGTAGGGAGAGTGGTCACTTTGGATGAGCTATTACCAGCAGGATAGTGAGTTTGTGTGTGTGTGTTTTTGGAGGGGGGTGAGGGGGTGAGAGAACCTGGATTTGTGCAGGAAATGACCCACCTTGATTATCATGCACATTGTGTAGAGAGTTGTCACTTTGGATGGGCTATTACCAGCAGGAGAGTGAGTTTGTGTGTGGGGGGGTGGAGAGTGAGAAAACCTGGATTTGTGCTGGAAATGGCCCAACTTGATGATCACTTTAGATAAGCTATTACCAGCAGGACAGTGGGGTGGGAGGAGGTATTGTTTCATGATCTCTGTGTGTATATAAAGTCTGCTGCAGTTTCCACGGTATGCATCCGATGAAGTGAGCTGTAGCTCACAAAAGCTCATGCTCAAATAAATTGGTTAGTCTCTAAGGTGCCATAAGTACTCCTTTTCTTTTTGCGAATACAGACTAACACGGCTGTTACTCTGAAACTTTTCCTATTTTGTTACACAAGTCAGTCTAGTGGAATCTTTTCTAGTACAAACAAGAATGGATATGGCCATCCATGGAGCAGGATCTGACCATGACCGTCAGCCAGCCAGCAACCAATCTGGCCTTTGCTCTGCATTATCACATCAGGTGGCTCTGGAAGTTTGGCTGGGGGCTGTGTTGATAGATTCATCATGTCTGAATATCAAAACTGTGTGGGTCATGCAGGAGCTACCAATATGATCATGCTGCAGCATGTCTGACCTTCCTCAGGACCCTCAGTATTAATGGAATAGGTGGGTATGCATACAATGAAGTCTGATGCCCAAGGAATGAGGAAGGCATCCAACAGTGAGCCTGGGTTGGACCCCTTCAGACACTTGTTGTTCTGGTTCATGACAAATAAGTCTATTCATAGAATCATAGAATATCATCGTTGGAAGGGACCTCAGGAGGTCATCTAGTCCAACCCCCTGCTCAAAGCAGGACCAATCCCCAACTAAATCATCCCAGCCAGGGCTTTGTTAAGCCTGACCTTAAAAATATCTAAGGAAGGAGATTCCACCACCTCCCTAGGTAACGCATTCCAGTGTTTCACCCCCCTCCTAGTGAAAAAGTTTTTCCTAATATCCAACCTAAATCTCCCCCACTGCAACTTGAGACCATTACTCCTTGTTCTGTCATCAGCTACCACTGAGAACAGTCTAGATCCATCCTCTTTGGAACCCCCTTTCAGGTAGTTGAAAGCAGCTATCAAATCCCCCATCATTCTTCTCTTCCGCAGACTAAACAATCCCAGTTCCCTCAGCCTCTCCTCATAAGTCATGTGTTCCAGTCCCCTAATCATTTTTGTTGCCCTCCGCTGGACTCTTTCCAATTTTTCCACATCCTTCTTGTAGTGTGGGGCCCAAAACTGGACACAGTACTCCAGATGAGGCCTCACCAATGTTGAATAGAGGGGAACGATCACATCCCTCAATCTGCTGGTAATGTCCCTACTTATACACCCCAAAATGCCATTGGCCTTCCTGGCAACAAGGGCACATTGTTGACTCATATCCAGCTTTTCGTCCATTGTAACCCCTAGGTCCTTTTCTGCAGATCTGCTGCCGAGCCATTCGGTCCCTAGTCTGTAGCGGTGCACGGGGTTCTTCCGTCCTAAGTGCAGGACTCTGCACTTGTCCTTGTTGAACCTCATCAGATTTCTTTTGGCCCAATCCTCTAATTTGTCTAGGGCCCTCTGTATCCTATCCCTACCCTCCAGCATATCTACCTCTCCTCCCAGTTTAGAGTCATCTGCAAACTTGCAGAGGGTGCAATCCACACCATCCTCCAGATCATTTATGAAGATATTGAACAAAACCAGCCCCAGGACCGACCCTTGGGGCACTCCACTTGATACCGGCTGCCAACTAGACATGGAGCCATTGATCACTACCCGTTGAGCCCGACAATCTAGCCAACTTTCTATCCACCTTATAGTCCATTCATCCAGCCCATACTTTTTTAACTTGCTGGCAAGAATACTGTGGGAGACCGTGTCAAAAGCTTTGCTAAAGTCAAGGAACAACACATCCACCGCTTTCCCCTCATCCACAGAGCCAGTTATCTCATCATAGAAGGCAATTAGATTAGTCAGGCATGACTTGCCCTTGGTGAATCCATGCTGTTCCTGATCACTTTCCTCTCCCCTAAGTGCTTCAGAATTGATTCCTTGAGGACCTGCTCCATGATTTTTCCAGGGACTGAGGTGAGGCTGACTGGCCTGTAGTTCTCAGGATTCTCCATCTTCCCTTTTTTAAAGATGGGCACAACATTAGCCTTTTTCCAGTCTTCTGGGACTTCCCCCGATCGCCATGAGTTTTCAAAGATAATGGCCAATGGCTCTGCAATCACATCCGCCAACTCCTTTAGCACTCTCAGATGCAGCGCATCTGGCCCCATGGACTTGTGCTCGTCCAGCTTTTCTAAATAGTCCCGAACCACTTCTTTCTCCATAGAGGGCTGGTCACCTCCTCCCCATGCTGTGCTGCCCAGTGCAGTAGTCTGGGAGCTGACCTTGTTCGTGAAGACAGAGGCAAAAAAAGTATTGAGTACATTAGCTTTTTCCACAACCTCTGTCACTAGGTTGCCTCCATCATTCAGTAAGGGGCCCACACTTTCCTTGACTTTCTTCTTGTTGCTAACATGCCTGAAGAAACCCTTCTTGTTACTCTTAACATCTCTTGCTAGCTGCAACTCCAGGTGTGATTTGGCCTTCCTGATTTCACTCCTGCATGCCCGAGCAATATTTTAATACTCTTCCTTGGTCATTTGTCCAATCTTCCACTTCTTGTAAGCTTCTTTTTTGTGTTCAAGATCAGCAAGGATTTCACTGTTAAGCCAAGCTGGTCGCCTGCCATATTTACTATTCTTTCTACACATCGGGATGGTTTGTCCCTGTAACCTCAATAGAGATTCTTTAAAATACAGCCAGATTCTTGGATAGTCCACTTGCAAAAGATGTTCCGCAGGACACCTGTCATTGTCTGAGTATTGCCTGCTGAGCTTGTTGGCTAGGGAGTTTTGTAAGCTTGAGAGTTGCAGAGCCACTGGTGTGATGCGATGATGAATTTACTACTTCTATAGACAGACTGCTTGTTGGCAGAGTGGGGATGTCCACGCCCTTCCTGCTTGTAGATGTACTACACTGCTGCAGGTCCTTGAATCATGGGCCGATACACCGTGCATCGTAATCAAATGGCTCCTAGCTCCAGGAACTTACATGGAGATGTACGTCCTGGGAGGACCACAGGCTTTGATTTGGAAGGTAGTCCAGATGAGTTCCCCATCTGAGAGAGGAAGTGTCTGTCACCAACAGCTTGGTAGGTAGGGGTGGGGAGACTGGTACTCCACTGCACAAGTGTAGAGTATCCTTTTAGCAGTTTAACTAAGAGAGAACTTCATATAGAATCACAACCATCATGTCTATGTGGTGTCTGTAGGGTAGATACACTGATCTCAACCACCCTTGCATGCATCATAGGTAAAATTGGGCAAACTGCTTCACGTAGTTGCAGGAGGCCAGATGACCCATGAGTCTGAGCACGTTCTGACTGATATCTTTGGGTGTGCTTGAAGTGGATGGCCACCCTAGGAGAAGTGATTTTTCTTTTCTCTCTTCTTAGAAGATAGGGTTGAGATAGGTGGAATTCTCTTCATGAGAAATGAGCCCTGAAGATCAGAGTGGACCCATGGTTTACCAAAGCACTCACAGAGACGGTCGGGGCCTATTTGTCAGTCTTCTTCCTCTTGGGCTCAGAGGATGACCGCATGAATCTCTCCAAGTGGAAGAATTTTAGGCAGGATTCCCTCGCTTTGTGTGCCTTCTTTGAAAAAAGCACATATCAAGCACTTATCTGGAATCTGTGCTTCACTGAGAGAGAAGAGGAACTTTGGGCGTTCATCATCAATGGGAATAGCTGCCTCACAGGAGGGACAGGATTTGAATGCTGGGGGTTTCGTCTCTGCCATGTCCACCAGGGTCAGGTATAAAAGGCACCCCCAAAGCTGAAGATTTTGTCTTCTTTTCGGCCAACTAGTTTAATTAAACTAAACTAACTTTACTACGGAACACTCCTAACAAGCAGAAAACATAAACAATCACACATTGGGCAGAGATGCGGACTCTGTAAGGGTTCTGTTTCTCTGCCACAGGTGGTAAGAAAGACTTGGAGGGCAGTCCAGCCACTCAGTCCTCTATGCCCTCAGCTATGAAGAGTGAGAGTATTCAAAACAAAGGCACAGCCTGACCGGATGCTGTTATTTGAAAAGAATCCAATCTTACATGCATGTGGCACATGTGCACCAGTTATGGAATACATGTGGACAATCACTTGAGGAAAAATATTATAATGTTTGTAAATAACCACACACAAATTTTAAAAATTAATTCGTAACTATTATACTTTATCAACATTGATTCTGAAAGAGGAGATTTCTGTTAATTGTTATTGCTATTATTTGGACTATTCAGACAGCTGGAGGACTTTGCAAGAGAATAGAAAAGAGAGCTATTTTAATATAATTGTTCAGAGGGATGTAGAAAGGGATCTGCTTAGTACAAGCGAAAATATACTGAAAATTATTATCCTTGCTGCAAAAGAAGCAAGGATAATAATTCTCAGAATTAACAGCAATGTGACTGGAAACATGAAATGTTTTCTTTTACTTCATGTGGAATTTATTCTCTCCAGAATCTGAGTTACACCAAGGTCACAGAGGAGAAAGACAAAGGCTCATTTATTTTTGCTTTTAAAAGAACTGAAAGCTATGAACAGAATGGAGGATGATGAGTGTTGAAAGGTGTTAGGGCCTGATTCAAAGCCCATTGAAGACAATGAAGAGATTCTTATTGACTTAACTGGCTTTGGATCAGGTCACTACTGAGAAGTGATTGGCCTTTCCAGAGTATTACAGAAAGCCTACAGGGAAGAAGCCTATTTACTTAGATTATATAATATGTTTTAAGTTTCAGTAATGTAAAGAATTTGCTAGCTCATTTATCTAGTTGCAAATCATTTTCTTTTGGAAATAATTGTAAATCTAGAATACAAAGGTTAAACATAGTGCAGGATAATTATTAGGCTTGCCTTATCACTGACACATCCTGAGAGAACTCTGCATAAACTCTCAATTTTTATTCTGGGAATGCATATTAAGCTAGATATTACCAAATGAATACTCACAAGTAATGCTGATGATCTCAGCTATATTAGCCTAAATGAGCCTCGATGGTGTTCTCCATAGTGTTGCTAACCTTTATTAATTATGCTTTTAAAACACCTGAAAAAGCCCAGAGATGCCTTCCTGGGGTATGTCTCCATAGTGTGAGTAGGGCTCCTGTAATTCTGGAAAATAGTCTACATCCCAGCTAAACAAGCTATGTGCTCTGCTACATGTGCATAGGATGAAGAATGAAATCTGTCACTGTAACATAGAGTAGCCAGTGTGTATCTGCTGAGCAGCCACTGCTGCGAGGTATGGGCAGAGAAGCTGCTCCTATCATACATGCATTTTCAGGCCAGTGGATCCATGCAGTTTCTGAACCCACTGGCAACAGGGGTCAGCATGCCTTACAGCATCCTGGTCCTGTCTCACATGCACATGTGTGGAGTGGACAAATGCATAAGCATGGCACAGAAATGTGGAGGGGGCCGTGCAGCTTCCCTGTTCTCTGGCCCTCTATTCAGCAGACTTCCCCATTCTTCATAATTCTGCTGTGATCTGGCAGCTTGAATTTCACCCTTAAAGATCAAGGCACTTAGTAAATTCCAAACCCTCATCTAAATAACTTGGCTAAAACACAAAGCGAATCACAGGGTAAATACAATCCAAACTGTAATATTAAAGAGGGAATATTCACATAGCATATGTAGGACTGGCTTTCTTGGCAGGTAATTTTAGACAGTATATTTGAATATATTTAGAGACTATCTGGGATATTGTACCTTTTAATATATTGTAAGGAGACCAAGGGCATAGGATAGGCATGTATTAGTATTTTAAAAAATTGAAAGGATAAGTGAATATCTATGCAGAAGTCATACTGTTCAAACAAACATTCAGAAGGTGCATCAACCAAGATGCCTAATGTCAGAGCCCAAGTTTCAAAGAAATCAATTTAAGAAAAGCACAAATTTATCAGGCTTTCATCTAAGTGAATTTTGAACATTATCAAGATGTGAATCTTGATCAAGGGAGTGAAATCATAGGCATACTTCCAGCTATTGGTGAAGCTGCAAGCTTGTTGTTAGAGCTACAGTATATGAGTTAATGAGGGGCTCTCCAGGCAGGGGAGGACAGATGGCGTGCAACTTGAGGGAAACAGACTAGATCTAAGACATGGAACTAGAGTAAGAGAAATAAAAATTTAAGAAGAACTTTGTTAGAATAAAAGACATTAAAAAAATACAGTTTTTATCTTACGGCTACCATCATAGCTTATGGTTCCTGAAAGAATTTTAAATATAGGGCCAGATCCTCAACCCCTACTTGCATCCCCTTAGCAATGAATCATGGGAAAGGGAAAACTGCCCTAGCTGGGCAGCTGGGGATTCCTCTTGTGTAAGAGGATGCCCAGGACAGTGAATAGCTGGCATAGCCAGTTCGAACACCATCTTTTACTGGCTGCACAGCATAAGAGCATGTCATATGATGCAAGGGGTGTGGCCAGAGCACCTAGTTCTCCAGTCATCCTTCAATCCTGGCTATGGTAAGTCACAGCAGCTTCAGGGATGCTCTAATTTATGCTAAAAGGATAGGGAAGCACAAAGGTAACTCTGCCCCAACCCAGCAGTCCTGTGCCAAACAAAGGTTGGCTGGACCAGCATACTTGGGCCGTAATGTAATGTAGTCTGCATCATATATATGCGAAGCATTCATACGTTTTAAAGTATTTTTCTCATTTCACTCAGCTTAGAGTAGAAAGTAGACTTGTCTATCTATAGTCAGTTTAAATTTTCTGAAAGGTAGCTGTGTTAGTCTTTATCAGCAAAAACAACGAGGAGTCCTTGTGGCACCTTAGAGACTAACAAATTTATTTGGGCATAAGCCCATAAGCTTATGCCCAAATAAATCTGTTAATCTCTAAGGTGCCACAAAGACTCCTTGTTGTTGTTTTTTTAATTTTCTGGTCCTCATGAGCGACCACAACCCTTCTCTGTGTGGACTGCAAATTCTTCATGAAATATTTAAATACTAAATACTGCAGTTTTTGTTTTAAATGAATAGTTAAACAGTTCTCATAGGATTATTTTTTGTAAAACTTAAAGAAAGAAAGAAAGAAAGAAAGAAAGAAAAAGAAAATCTTAGGTCTGAACCACATGATTTATTCTGTCTGTATGTAAAGCTCTTTCTAATAGATATGAGTTCTCACAGTAAATGTTGACCTTATTCCATTAGCTAGTAACATATTTCAGGTACAATCTATAAATGTTTCTCAAAGTACTGTTGATATATAAGTAGCTTTGTATGGTGTCTGTCCAAATGAATTTACATACCTTTGGCATGCTGATAACTAAATGTCCAGTTGTCTGAGATCTTTTAGCAGAGCTGCTATCTGGCTTCACCTCTGCAGGAAGCACAAGTTGAAATGGCTAAAGGAAAATAGGATAGAATATATCGTATTAAAATATTTGTTTACCCAGATAGACAACATACAGAAATAGCATTAACATATACTTTGATCTGAAGAGTAGGATACCTCTGAATCCTATCATGTAATATATATTCTATAATACTATTCCAAATGACTGATTTGCATGTTAAACAACCTTCATTTACAATATATGTGTGTGTATAATATATATAATATGCATACCTGAATTGCTGTAATAGAAAAGTAACACTTTTAAGAAAGATATGAAATGATGTTTGAGTTATACTAGCAATTAAATGAGAATGTCTGAAATAGATTGTTAGTCTAAGTAATTTTGAAATTTGTGCTTGTGCAATTGGTTTAATTATAAATAGGGATTCTGGTTTTCAATTTAAATTGAAAATCACCAAAAAAGACAGAAAATGGAAGGTCTCTTAAGAGGGACTTTCAGCAGAATATACATCCAGTTTTCTCTGTCCACTGTAAATTACAAATTGTAGGTATAATTCTAGTCTCACTTTTCCTGGCATAAACAAGCAGTGTCTCTACTTGAATAACGGTGAAGTTATTTTGGTGTCAAAAAGTTGTGAGAGGAGAATCCAGTATATTTCACAGTTCATACCTCCCCAGTTCACGTCTTAGTCACAAATAGCATCAGTGTGGTAAGTGGCTTTTTTCTGTGTGGTTACACACCACTTGGAGTAATACATTTTAAAAAGGGCTTGTGAGTACTTTTGAACTTTTATGTTTATTTCCTAACCTAATGACACTATTGATTTCTATTCAGACCTATGTGGTTACCAATCAGTTAGACCTATGCCTTTTTTTTTTTTGGTCTAACTGAAGTTACAAGCCAGAAAGGCCCAAATCCTCAAAGATATTTAGGTGCCCAAGTTCCATTGAAATTAATTGATTGATTTCAATGGGAGTTAGGCACCTAAATACCTTTGAGGATCTGAGTGTCCACTGAAGTCAATGGCAGGATTCCAATTAACTTTACCAAGCACTGGATCAGTTCCTAAGAGTCTAGTCTTCCTTCTATTAATGTAAGAAAGAGCTTTGTCTTGATTTCAATGGGAAAAGATTTAGGCCCTACAGTAGCCAAAGGTACACCCAGAAAAAGAGTAACAACAGACGTGAAAAGTAGAATTCTCAATTTTAAATGAACGTAACAAGAAAATACTAACCTTATCCTTCACCATTACGCGGAGGTAAGTTGGCTGGACATCAACATCAATTAGAGAGCTGTCCAGATGTCTTCAGAATGAAATAAAAGTGAATTTAGTTTCAGTAAGTTACCATCATTGTTCAAGGGAAACCAGTTAAGACTATGCAACTCATTAATTATGAGTTTGCAATTTGAAAAAATTCCATTTGATTCCTCTAATGTAATTAAGTTATGTGAGAGAATTAGGGCTCTCAAGAGATTAAAAAAATTATTCGTGATTAATCGTGCGATTAATCACTCTGTTAAACAATAATAGAATACCATTTACTTAAATATTTTTGGATATTTTTCTACATTTTCAAATATATTGCTTTTCAATTACAACACAGAATATAAAGTGTACAGTGCTCACTTTATATTTATTTTTTATTACAAATATTTGCACTGTAAAAAAGAAAAAAATAGTCTTTGTCAATTTACCTAATACAAGTACTGTACTGCAATCTCTTTATCATGAAAGTTGAACTTACAAATGTAGAATTATGTAAAAAAAAACTGCATTCAAAAATAAAACAATGTAAAACTTTAGAGCCTACAAGTCCACTCAGTCCTACTTCTTGTTCAGCCAATCGCTCAGACAAACAAGGTTGTTTACATTTGCAGGAGATAATGCTGCCCGTTTCTTATTTAAAATATCACCTGAAAGTGAGAACAGGCATTCGCATGGCACTGTTGTAGCCAGCGCGGCAAGATATTTACAAGCCAGATGTGCTAAAGATTCATATGTCCCTTCATGTTTCAACCACCATTCCAGAGGACATGTGTCCATGCTGATGACAGGGTCTGCTCGATAACGATCCAAAGCAGAGCAGACCGCCGCACGTTCATTTTCATCATCTGAGTAAGATACCACCAGCAGAAGGTTGATTTTCTTATTTGGTGGTTCAGGTTCTGTAGTTTCCGCATCAGAGTGTTGCTCTTTTAAGACTTCTGAAAACATGCTCCACACCTCATCCCACACAGATTTTGGAAGGCACTTCAGATTCTTAAACCTTGGGTCAAGTGGTGTAGTTATCTTTAGAAATCTCACATTGGTACCTTTTTTGCATTTTGTCAAATCTGCAGTGAAAATGTTCTTAAATTGAACAACATGTGCTGGGTCATCATCTGAGACTACCATAACATGAAATATATGGCAGAATACAGTTAAAACAGAGCAGAAGACATAAATCCCCTACCAAGGAGTTCAGTCACAAATTTAATTAATGCATTATTTTTTTAACAAGCGTCATCAGCATTGAAGCACGTCCTCTGGAACAATGGACGAAGCACGCAGAGGCATATGAAACTTTAGCACACCTGGCATGTAAATATCTTGCGACACCAGCTACAACAGTGCCATGCAAACACTCGTTCTCATTTTCAGGTGACATTGTAAATAAGCAGCGGGCAGCATTATCTCCCATAAATGTAAACAAACTTGATTCTCTGAGCCATTGGCTGGACAAGAAGTAGGACTGAGAGGAGAGGTAAATACGCTGGAGGGTAGGGATAGGATACAGAGGGACCTAGACAAATTGGAGGATTGGGCCAAAAGATATCTGATGAGGTTCAACAAGGACAAGTGCAGAGTCCTGCACTTAGGACGGAAGAATCCAATGCACCGCTACAGACTAGGGACCGAATGGCTCGGCAGCAGTTCTGCAGAAAAGAACCTAGGGGTTACAGTGGACGAGAAGCTGGATATGAGTCAACAATGTGCCCTTGTTGCCAAGAAGGCCAATGGCATTTTGGGATGTATAAGTAGGGGCATTGCCAGCAGATCGAGGGACGTGATCGTTCCCCTCTATTCGACATTGGTGAGGCCTCATCTGGAGTACTGTGTCCAGTTTTGGGCCCCACACTACAAGAAGGATGTGGAAAAATTGGGAAGAGTCCAGCGGAGGGCAACAAAAATGATTAGGGGACTGGAACACAAGACTTATGAGGAGAGGCTGAGGGAACTGGGGATGTTTAGTCTGCGGAAGAGAAGAATGAGGGGGGATTTGATAGCTGCTTTCAACTACCTGAAAGGGGGTTCCAAAGAGGATGGCTCTAGACTGTTCTCAGTGGTAGCAGATGATAGAACAAGGAGTAATGGTCTCAAGTTGCAGTGGGGGAGATTTAGGTTGGATATTAGGAAAAACTTTTTCACTAGGAGGGGGGTGAAACACTGGAATGTGTTACCTAGGGAGGTGGTGGAATCTCCTTCCTTAGAAGTTTTTAAGGTCAGTCTTGACAAAGCCCTGGCTGGGATGATTTAGTTGGGGATTGGTCCTGCTTTGAGCAGGGGGTTGGACTAGATGACCTCTTGAAGTCCCTTCCAACCCTGATATTCTATGATTCTATGACTGAGTAGACTTGTAGGCGCTAAAGTTTTACATTGTTTTGTTTTTGAGTGCAATTATGTAATGAAAAAATCTACATTTGTAAGTTGTACTTTCACGATAGATTGCACTACAGTACCTGTATGAGGTGAATTGAAAAATACTGTAAGTCTATAAGGTGCCACAAGTACTTCTCATTGTTTTTGCTGATACAGACTAACACGGCTACCACTCTGAAACCTGTCACTGTTTCTTTTATCATTTTTACAGTGCAAATATTTGTAATAAAAATAATAATATAAAGTGAGCACTGTACACTTTGTATTCTGTGTTGTAAATTGAAATAAAATATTTGAAAATATAGAAAAACATCCAAAATATTTAATACATTTCAATTGGTATTTGATTGTTTAACAGTGTGATTAAAACTGCGATTAATCACGATTAATTTTTTTGAGTTAATCGCGTGAGTTAACTGCAATTAATCGACAGCCCTAGAGAGAATCTTAGAATTTAAGCTCTCTGGGACTGGGACAGTGTTTTCACAGTGGCCAGCATAATGGGTCCCAGATTATTATTTGGACATTGGATTGTTATAGCAATACAAATAATAAACAATAATTGGGGAAATTACAATGAAAAGTGGGAATGCTTTTTGTATTAATCTCATATTTTTTATCCCTGTTTCATGCCTAATAGATGTTGGTTAATTTGCAAATGAAAATCTTCCATCTTGCCACTCCCCTTTATAGAGGTTTAATTTGTAAGCTAGTAATATAATTATTATTAATAATTATTATTATTAATACCTAGCTCTTATGAAGCGCTATTCATGAGCAGATCTCAAAGTGCTTTACAAACAAGGTTAATATCATTATCCCCATTTTACAGATTGGGAAACTGAGGCACTGGGAAGTGAAGTGATTTGCCCAAAGTCACCCAGAAGCCAGTGGCCAAGCTCACAATACAACCCAGGTCTCTCGACTCCCAGTCCAGTGCTCTATCCACTAGGCTACACTGACTCCCATATGAAGAATAACTTTTTTCATTCAATTTTCAGGAACTCAATGAACTGTAATGGCCTACACCAACACAAGAGTCAGCATTTTTGCATTTCAATATTGTTAAAAAAGGTTTGTAAGCTGTAAAGAATCCACTTCGAGTAACATCTGCTATTGACTGAGCAATCTATACACTCTTCAGCCCATCACTGACGGTACAATGTATCACTTTCTCTTCTTCCTTCTATTATAACTTCTTTACTTCTTGGCTAACTTTTTCAAATTTTGTGAAGTTTGCAATCCTCACTGAAGAGTACATACTACTACATACCAGCTTCAAAGTCTTATTGTCGTCAACACTTGAACAGCGTTTCCACAGCTTAAAACAAAGTTGCATTCTGATAACTCAGAAATACCAGAGTATAAGGGAAAAAAGTCCTCCAACACAACAAGAGTATTTTATAGATTCCAAGGCCCGAAGGGACCACTGTGATCATCTAGTCTGACCTCCTATATAACACAGACCAGAGTAGTTCCTCAAAATAATTCCTGGAACGTATCTTGGTTCATGTTGTATAACTAATAACTGCACAAGCTTTACTCTACCAGGTGCTCACATGGGGCAAAATTCTTCCACTGCAGTGCAGAGGGTAGTGATCGTGAATAGAAGAGCTAAAGAGTGGGGGTTTTTCGGGGGTGAGGAAGGCAGAGGAGATTTTGCATAACTCTAAATAGGTTGGTGCTGAAGGAACCCCTGTTGTGGACTCAGGAAAGGCCCATTGCAACTGGGCTTACATGGATCCAACAATATAGAACGCCTATAAAAGAAGTATACAGGACAATGGCTATTCAGGATATGAAGGACCCCATCACCTGCCCACAGTTTTGGGGGTGGATTCCATTCCTTCCATTCCCCCCATGCTTTGTTCCGTTCACAAAGTCCCAGTGTGTGGGGAAGGGTGAATTTTGAATACTGCATATCAGTGTATGACAGCAGTGACAATTGCTCCCAAATATCAGGATAATAAATAATTCTGACCTATAAACAGCAAGATCCAGGATGAACTGGTTGTTTTCTTCATCATCTTTCAAAAAGAAATGAAGCCTAGTAACAATGATAAAAGAAAATCTTCAGAATAAATACAACTGATTTGTGTGAGCATATAATTCCATAATTTTACATTCAACTTCTAGCATTTTTTAGATTAATACCAACATAATTTTGAAAATACTTCATATGGTCTTTTTAGAATCATCTACAGCTTCACTACATGAATGTGTACACTACTGATGTTTGAACTGGGCTCTGTTTTATTTTTCGGGTTTTTTTTCTTCTCAACTGAAAACCTAATTAGAAGTAGCGTACAAGGTCAGTTTCATTAAAATCCAGCTGTCACTGTAGGAACAGAGACATCTGCTGGTGAAAACTTTTCTAGTGGGTGTAGAAAATGTGGGTATATCTGTGGCTTCATTGACACTATGAGCTAGGAGTGTAATTCCTCTGCTCCGGTACACATCATGCTGGCACTAGTTCGATGGCAGTGTTGTCACAGTGGCATGGGTAGTGGCGGCGGAGGCTAAGCACAAACCCATGTGAAACCATTGGGCACATACATGGCGCAACTAAGCTGTGCCTCTGCTGCCAGTAGCCATGCTACGGTGGCTACGCCGCTGTTTAGACTCACGCTAGCTCGGATACACGGGGTTTCAGGTAATTGATGGGAAAAATTCAGCTCTTAAAAGTTTTAATAAAGGGGTCTCTCAACTATAAAATGTATGTGCCAGTAATATTTGTTACTTTTTAGTCTTCTCTATTTCAGTACAGTCAGACTGAGGAGGCTTTATGAAGCAGTGAGCTGTCTAGATTAGGAGTGTTTTTGAAGGGAAGGTGCAGAGAAGACGACTACAAAAGAATGATTCCAAATCTCCATGCCTTTTTTCCCCATGAGCACTAGAGATGTTTCCAGGTCTCTTTCCTGCAAGGCAGATTTCCCCAACACATGGAGAGCTGAAAAAGGAAGTGCAACTTTCTCTTGATAGCAGCCTATCTAGCAAAGAAATATCCTTCCTTTCTATGCAGGATGTAGCTATTTTCCTGGTAGATAGTCAAAGACAACACTGAGGGAAGTCTGACTTTGCTCTACTAGGCTTCTGCAATGCAATGTGGAAGCCATGCTGGGGAGGGAACGTGCCTTCCAAGTGCTTTGCTGTGAATGTATTTCCTATGTTCTCTTTTGGGTACCATTCACTAGCAGGGGTGCAATGAGCACCGGAACTGTCACAGGCCCTGGTGTAGACCATGAAATTTGGAGGGTGGAAGCTCCTTGTGTGCTTCCCACACACCTGTGCAACTGCCTATCATAATCTGGCCCTATATACATAAATCCACTGAATAAATTCCAATGCAGAAGACCTGTATGAATAGTATACCACAAGTAACTATTGACAACGCAAAACTCTGGGCAACATTATTTCTAAAGGAATAGTGCTAGAGCTTTATTCTAAATGTCTGTACCTCTCAGAACCATAATTCAGTACTGTCAACACAAAATTTTAAGCTATTATAGACTTGTCTTTGCACAGAAAATTACTCTTTTTTGTATTGCTGTCAACACATTTTTATAATAAAGTGAAGACATCAATACAAGGATGAGCTTCTTCTGATGTACTCGGAATAAACACCAAAACTTCTGCTACTACTATTCACTCCATTCATACCACTCAAAATCAAAATGCCAGTTTCCAAGGCCCTTAAATGTGCATGGCTTTAGATTGTCCTTCCAAAGATGTAACAACATTCTCTCCACACTAATCATCAAAAGCTATGTTAGCTTTGCTTTTTGCAGCTGACCTGGTCTTAGGAAAAATACCCAGTGTCATTTCACCCCCAACATGAGAAAAACTTGTCTAGGGGTCAGGAAATATCATGACGTTTCCTTCACAGGGCTTCTTCATTCCCTCCAGCAGGAGAGGAGAAAGAGATGCTTGCTATCTTATGGTAGCTGCTGGGGACAAAGGCAATCTGTAGGGAACCTCTGTGCCGCAACTCTATTTCCTACCCCTCTTCCAATGAAAAGGAAGCACAGCTCCAATGGAACCATGCTGATGTTTCTGGAAACATCTTCCAGAAAAGTTTCAGCATCACATAATAACTATGTCAGCAATAAAATGTAGGTGAGTTTTCCCCCAGCTCCACTCTCTCCCCTGCTACTGAACCTGATTCCAATAGAGGGGGTTTCCATCACCCAGATCGGCCAGGTTTCCGTCCCACCTACAAGTGGAAGCAAATATTTGGTCCAGAAACATTACTCTGATGTATTTTTTCTACATTTAAAGTACCTGTTCATACAATTACCTTCAATGGTCAAACATAATTAACCCGTTTCCACAATTAGCAAGATCCCTACACCTTAGAAGGGAAAATAGTAAAATATCTGATGTCTTTATAGATAAATAGTTTTATAAATGTTAAAGAACAAGTGGCTAAATATTTTTGAATGGATTGATAATTCATTAGTTCTCTAACTTCAAGATATTGCTATATCTATTAACATTGCGTCCTCAACAGAAACAAAATGCAGCACTGGATTTTAGAATTTGTCTGACCTGTTACATTAATACCTTCAACAAACCTATTATAAAAAGCAAAGTACTAGTTCACTCATTTAAAGTTATTATTTTTCCTCACATACTTTGGCTCATTCATATTCAGAACTTTTCCTTCTGCAGTGATCAAAGTCCTAGGTGGCTTCTCTTTCACTTTTTGCCCTCTTTAATTAAAAAAAAGAGAGAAAGAAAAGGAAACAAAGGTTTATTATCACATTCTTATCCTTTTGTGAAGCAGCAAAGAAAGAATGAAGAGAAACATGGCAGCAAGTTCAATGTGATTTAGTTTTTGATTTTAAAATTACAAGCTCCCCACTAATAACACAGGTTATACAATGTTGTCTTTTGCTCTGGAAAAGTTATTTTAACTTGCCAGTAAAGGTGAGCAAATAATTTTCAGCAAACACTTCCTTTATTCATTGAGCTTAACTTCTTTTTCTTTTCACAGAATATCTGTGAGCAGCTTACAATTTCCTGACGTGTATATATATTTTCCCCAAAATTTAATTAATGGATGGATCTCAAATATTTGAAATGTAAGGTGCGCTGCTAGTTATGATTTTTCACATAAATTATGTGGTCTCATTACTATTATCTGCAGGCATTTCTGATGCAAATAGTAGTGTGTGTAAAATTAAAATTGGTTTCCCCAAATACTTATGCATGAACCTTTGAAATATGCTTCCTGAGAATATTTTGTGATTGTCATACTTGACTACTCAAATGTTTGCAAGAAGTAAACATAAAAAGGGCACGAATATGACCAAAGTGAATCCATGTAAATATTTAAACAATTATCTGCTGTTTGTGTTTGGGGTATTTTTGGCACATGTTTACTGTTCTCCTCTTCCTTCAAAGTTATCATAATACATATCTACAATAAAATCAGGTCTCCTACAACCTTCCCTTCCCAATCCCACATACTACTAGTCAAACTGCACCTAGCCTTTTGATTAGTGCAATGAACAAGCCACCCCTTGAGTACTTTTGACCAAACCAATTCATCCTAAAAGAGTCCAAATCTCCGTTATTAGTATTTTGCTTGATAATTTAAGATGCCTACATATTTAATGGATATTTTTATTGCTTTCAGCTAGAAATCTTAGTAATATGACAGGGAAGAATTTGCTTCTCTCTAGTGGAAAAAAATCTAACTAGATTTTTTTTTTAAATATCATGTTGTAAATATCACATTTTTTCTCTTAGTCCACAACTTGTCAATATTCACCTAGTTGATGTGGTATACATATAAAATTTAATGAATTTGTAAAAATCCAAAAGAAAGTAGGAAGTTGTTTAAACTGCTTCCAGATACCTTGAAGTCACTATATCCCCCAATATTCCCTGGCTATAAGAATCTCCCCTCACAGTGTATACATGAGTGACTCTAGCCACTAGTGAAATGAAACATGACATTAGTTTAGGACAGGAAGGATTCATCATCTCATTGAAATTCCATGAGAAATTAAGAAAGGCAGAATATAATTATTCAAACTGGAATTTGGACTAGACACTGGAGTTAATACTCAAAAACGCCACTGGATTTTTAATGAGAAGTTGTTAGAACTTATTACTTCTCATCCCAAAGACAGTACTTAAAGCACCAGAAGAGTGCTTCTAACACTATCTTGGGGCATTGATTTAATATTGACACAGTAGGAAAAGTATTATCTAATGAACATCAACACCATTTTCTACAGAATCTAAATTTTCCTTGGAGATCTCCCTAGTACTGACTAAACCCATCTTTAGTGTTTTAAACAAACATCTTTAGTGTTTTAGATGTGACGGAATCATAACCCAACGTAGCATAGTTTCAAGTCTTAAATAAGTGATTATGATATCTTTCAATGAATATTAGTGTAAATACTGTAGCTGACATTTTCAAACCTGGATGCCTAAAGTTAGATTCCTAAATTCATTTACAGACACCTAAGTAAGTGGCCCGATTTTCAGAACAGCCAAGTACCCACAGGCCCCAGGGAAATCACGGGGAGCTTAAGGTGCTCAGCTCATTTGAGAAGCAGGTCCCTTTTATTCAGGTACCTAAATATGAATTTAGGACCCTAACTTTGGGCATCCACCATCTTTGAAAATGGCGGCCTATAGCTATAAAGAAAATCTAGTAAAATATCCATGCATTGTTTTAAGTTTATGTGGAGTTCCAGTGGCATCCTAAAAAACAAACAAAAACTTAGGGTACATCTACACTACCAACCGGATCGGCGGGTAGTGATCGATCTATTGGGGATTGATTTATCATGTCCAGTGTAGACACAATAAATCGATCCCCGATCGCTCGACCACTGACTCCTGTACTCCACCGCGGCGAGAGGCAGAAGCAGAGTCGATGAGGGAGCGGCGGCAGTCAACCCCACGCCGTGAGGATGCGAGGTAAGTTGACCTAAGATACGTCGACTTCAGCTACGCTATTCTCATAGCTGAAGTTGCGTATTTTAGGTCGATCTCCCCCCATAGTATAGACCAAGCCTTGGATGACTTTTCAGGGATTATGCATTAAGACTGTTCTCCTGACCCAAACAGCACATACAACATGCAGGATCTTGTTACTCGAGAACCAATTTTCATGTTCAGACATGCATGGAATTTTGTAAGTCATATGGAAAAGGTGTATGAAGTGCTGCTTCTGAAAAAATTCTGTAGAATTCTGTTGCATGCCCTCATAGTAAATGCCTTTAATAGCAGAAGTAAGCACTCAAGTGCAATGAAGATAGCATTTAGATAACTGAACACTGAACTTTCTGAAACATAAACTGGGGCTGAATATAGAAACAACCAATTAAAATTAAAAAAAAAAACTATTTGAAGAAAAACAGTATCAGGTATCATGAATAATATAAAGAAACAAAAGCGAACAATGCACAGAGTAGGCAGCGTTTCATTTTGGCATAAGTGGGAATTAAGCACCCAACTTTCACTGGACTTTCAATAGGATTTGGGTGACTACCTGGACTTTACGCCTTTGAAAATCTATCCCTTAACCAATTTAGGGTTTATGTAAAAATCAAGATACCTAATATTTTCTTTAACTCTCCGTTTTTCTTCAAGATGTCTGTGAGCTTCTAATCTAGACTCTGGAGTATAAGGTGTGGGCTCCTCCCAAAAAGCTCTGTCCTCTTCATCATCTGTATCTATTTTCCATTCTTGGTATTCCTTTTCTGTTTCTTTCTGCTGGTGGTTTTCTTTGTCTTTTAGAGGATCTGGGCTAGAAAAGAGTACACAGAATGGTATTCCTTGAAATGTGGAAAGAGTAGCAGGGCTTGGCAATGGATCCTGCAGCAATTTTGTCTTCACACCAATTTATATAGTAGTATAATTAATTATCACTCTACCAATACCGAATATTCCTTAAGACTCAGGGTAGCTTACCTAACTGTTCTGTTTTTCCCTTAATGTTTCATTTACTTTTCTTGTTAATTTTCTTTGAAGTAGCCGGACTCAATAATGGCAATATGTGGTTCCTTCTTGTCATCTTGACTTTTGCCCATGACTACACAGCAAGTCTATGTCAGACCAAGGAATAAAACATAGCTTTCCTAACATGCAGTCCTGTGCTTAAACCATTAGATCTTCAGATTTCCTTCAATTCTTCTGCATGACAATGCCAACATATGCACAGATACCAATTAAGTCAAAGACAAACATCAGACAACTATAAGCACCTTATATTGCATTCGTAATTCATTGGATGGGTCTTGTTAACTGATTTCTTGGATGAGAATCAATGACTCACTAGCCTGAACCATATCCATCTTCTAACCCTAATTACATAGATAGCTACAAATGTGACATTACAGCAAAGGTAACCTTGGAGGAGCATAATTCTTCAGTATAAAAAAAAAGCAGAGAACTTTATTAAAGTGCTAAAACAATAGAATAGCTCAAAAGAAAGAATGAAGAGCAGGAAATTTCCATTGGGAATGCAAATCCTCAGCTAGAATATGTCTCATTCATCAAGAAAGAAGTGGTCACCCAGATTCCACACTGACCTTATAAAAACCTAAATAGCCTACTAATAACAGTTGTCTGAGGAGAGGGATGAGAAGTATGTGTAAATATAAGAAGAAAGGGTGTGTGTTATGTGTGACACCGAAAGATAATGAGACACATGAGAAGACACACAAGACACATGAGAAGACTCAAAATAAAGTTAGGAAAATGAAAGGGGGAGGGGAACCGTGAATAAAAACAATATGAAAAAATAGGGATATTGTGTGAGACAGGAAGCATTCCTGGAGAGTAAATACTTGCAAAATGAAGCCATAATGCTTCCAAGACCTGACCAGTTACTGAATAGCAACTGTAGCCAAGCAATCTATTATGGCTTCAGCACTGATAATCTTCTCTAGAGCCTAAACCACTATAACCTTCAGGACTTTTGGATCTATGACCGGTGAACACTGAAGTTTTGACTGAATTATCATTTATGAGCCCAAATGTCCATAATACCATCTCCGTGGAACAGAAGATACTACATTACTATCCATAAACAAGAATGGCAACTGGACTGCAAATGTTCTTTTATAATGTTTCTCACTCTAAACAGGTATTTCACCATCTGGATCCATCTAATCTAAGAAAACTCCTTCCACAGTGCAAATAATTTTAGAGCCACAAAGTAGACTGGGTTCAGGAAACAAAATTCTACAGCGTTTCCCAGTAAAAAGATTCCCAAATCCTCTGTTCTGTTCTCTGATCAATTCTGCTCTCCTATTGTGGGGATCAGTGCCTGAAGAGGGTAAACTATTAGAAGTGAGATCAGCAATGAAGATAAACATACACAATTTTAAAAGCAGAATGTAAAAAAGTAAATGTACCAAGCAGGGCAGGATTTCCACCTTGGGCGCCCCTAGGTACAGAGGCTTAGAGCCCCCCCTCCCTGCCTCCACAGCGGCTGGGAGCTGCAGGGTGCCTCTGCCACCCACGGCAGCTTGCAGCTTTCATCCCGCTGCTTGCAGTGGCTGGGAGCTGTGGGGTACCCCCACCACCTGTAGCAGCTCAGAGCTCCTAATTACTGTGAGCAGTGGGGGTACCCCGCCACTTTTAACTTTTAGGCATCCCACCGCCCAGCACCGCTCCGTCCACAGACTCCCCACTGCTCAGCGCCCCCCGCTACAACTTCCTAGTGCCCCACACAGATCCTACACTGCCCAGTGCCCCAACACACACAGACCTCCCCTACGCCCCAGTACCCCCCACAAACCCCCACTGCCCAGACCCCCCCACAAATACCCCCAGAGACCCACTCTCCCAAGCCCCGCCCCTGGCTGCACTCACCGGCTCAGCTGGGAGGTCACTCTGTTAACCGGGCTGAGCAAGAAGTGCTCCAGCAGGGCTGCGTGGGGCCATCTCCCCCTCAGCCGGCCCTGCCCCTGCCGGGACCCAGAAGTGGCAAAATATGAATTTTTAGGCACTCCTAGAATGCTGGCACCCCAGGCATGTGCCTACTGTGCCTAATGGGAAATCCAGACCTGGTATCAGGTAATTATTATTTCCTCAGGAAAAGAAATTCCCTTATCAAACACAGAAAAAAGAAGAGTACTGATGTCAATTTACTTACTTGATGTTGTTGATGTCTGTGTACCAACGTCCGTCAAATCCAGGTTTAGGTTTTATTTGTTTTTCTTTTTTCTTCTCCTGCTTTTCTTGTATTTTTTTTAGGGCCTCTTCTTTTTCTCTGGCCCTTTTGAGAAGGTAAACCTGTTCCTGGTCTCTAATTTGCTTCTCTACCTGTCGATAGTTCTGCAATGCCTGAATCCTCTCGGAACGTTCTATTTCTTTACTATCCAACCACTTCTCCAAAGAGCAAAAAAACAAATAAAAAAATATACAATTGGCAAAAATTGAAAACCTCACATACAAATCAATAAATCCATCAAGCATTGGATTAATTTTGATTATATCATCTTAATATACAAATAGAGACTTTACAAGTCTTCCAGTAACTTCTTAGTATTATGTAAATTAGGTTACAGCAGAAATATTTAAGATTGTAATTAATAAATTGTTCATGCTGTCAGAGTACCTTAAACTGGATCAACCTCTGTAGCATACTATTGAAAATACTGTAAACACTTGTATATGTGCTGACCATTTCTGACATTTTAGGAAGGGTTAAAGGCTCCACTTATATATGATTCAGTATGGCCTGGAGTGCCCAAACCCCATGTTGTAAAAGGGAATTGCCCCCAGAGATGCTGGTCTCTAGGGTGCCAGAAAAAGTGCTCAAGTTCTGCAGTCAATAGAGTTTAAGCCTGGATGAGTTTCATCTTCAGCCATCTAGGGAGTTAGCTAGAAACATTACAAGGGACCAGCATCCGATTGCTGCAAGTCTTCTGGTACTGTGTATTTTTGTGTATAAAATCCTGAGCTTATATGTGGATTGTAATGACATTTCTCCCTGAAACTGTGGTTGTGGGTAGGGAGGTCTGCTTATATTTACGTTATCCTATCTGGGAGTCTATACTGTAATTTCTGCTGTTACTTAGAGTACCCATCTCATATATGGTGTGATCCAATTCCCGTTTGCATCAGTTATAATCTTTCTATTGACTTCAAAAGGGTTTTACAGAAGTGTTATTTTCTGGTACTATCAATCCAGCACTTTTCTCATGCATGAAAATCAGCTAAAAATATACTGTTTTTTTACACAAAAATTAGAACCCCTTTACTACATTTTCCCTCCTCAGAGTTGGAATTCTTTGAAAAGAAAAACCAAGACTTCATTCAAAGATCTCTGATAAAAAACATAAAAGATAGCCAAAATATATTTTAGCTAAGCCATTATCATAACCGTGTTATTTATCAATATCAGTTCTCCTTTATGGGAGAATTTAATTTCCTATGGAAAACAAGTAGGGCATTCAATAATAATTGAAGCAATAATTTTGTTTTGTATTAGTGTGTTCAGTGAACAATTCTGACTCGAAGCATTAAGGAGGAATGTATCACTTCTAGATACTCATTTGAATCTTAAAAAACCCATACTTTTAATTGATGAAGAGTTGCCACCACAAACTGTCTGTAACCCTCAAACTCAGTGCATGGATTCCCCACCAGAAAGAGTTCTTTAAGATGTATGTTGTGTTTTAGGATTTCAATACTGGACAGTTCTCCAACGAAATTTGCTGTCAGGTCAAGTTTCTGCAGTTCTTCACATCCTGTATGGAAAAATATATTCTTATGCATCTTGCATATCATACACATACACACTTGGGCACAAACTTGTTACCTCTATCTCATTGACACAAATACACACACCATACGTTGCTTCTCAGAACCAGATTTGGGAGAATAATTCATAACTAATCATTTTGATTTGTCTACATTTGTTTCTTTCATATTTCATTTAGTTTTTTAAAAGAAAAAGTTTTAAATGTGTATGAAATGGCATAAGTTTCAGTAAAATTCACAATTCATGAAAAAAACTATAAAAAGTATTGCTAGTTGGACTACTATTAAATCTTTTTGTGGTATATTTATTCAGACTCACATTTAGAGATGGGTTGCTTGAGACTGGTTACAAAAGTCACAGGGCATTGGCTCTGGTTCCTTGATATAGCTACTTGTAACAACATACACAAAATGCACATCCGAGTAACTACAAATTCCCTTAGTTGGTGGGTATATTTGATAATCTACATTATCCTTTACTTTCATACTCCACACTCATACTTCAATATGAAAAGGGAAAAATTGTATTAAAAAAAACATACCTTCCAAATTTTCAATTCTTTCAATGTTGTTCAAAGCTAAATTTAAATATTCAAGCTTCTTTAGTTTGCTTACATTTTCTGCAATAAACATATATATATTATTTCAATTCTATCTGCAAGGAAAGGCATAACATTTTTTACTCTGATTGTTTAATTTATTTCTGAAAGAAATTAAATTATGTGCAAAGTGGGAGATTCACAACAGAATAAATATAAAAATATAGCAAATATTAACATTTTAATGCACAGAAAGTAATTCCTTTGGACAGAAAACAAAACATTTATCCTGGAGAGTGTAATAAAAATCAAATGGCAAAGACAATGAACACAGACATCTATTCAGCTATTTAATCATTCAAACATTAAAGGCTTGGTCCAAAGGCCGACTGAAGCAATGGAAAGATTCCCACTTACTTCAATAAACTATGGATCAGGCCCATACTGCCCACTCCTACTCTCTGAAATTAGTGGGAGTTTTGTCATTGACTTCCATGGGCGCAAGAGTGACCTCCTTAAACTATATGTGTATACTTTTTCAGGATATTTCTTGTTTGTAGGTTTTTGAAAGATTAATATAACCCACTTTGGGAATACAGAAGTCCATATTATACCAGACCCAGAGAATTATGATTGTTTGTAAATAATTCCTAAGCCTGCCCCATGTAACCATGATTACCTTCCCATTTAGGTTTTGTTCATAAAACGTCATGACAACAGACTACTAAGAAACTGGTCTGGGAAGCTGCCTTTTGCCATTTCTTTTGTGGCATCTCAACTTTCTGAACAGGCTATATTTGATGCTTCCAAAGCTCTTTATTTAGATCTGTGATGCTGTGGGCTATGGGTGAGGAAGTTAGGAATCATGGAACGAGATTTTCTCTTGGGATTAAGTTCATGTACAAAACTAAACAGTAGTGACCATTTACAGATACTCACAAACATCTAATGGCCATTTCCTTTTGTGAATGTACCAATGTCCTGGAAACAAATCAGTCACGAGAACATACAACTTTGCTAAAAATAACAACGGTGAACACAACAGCAAGTATTTTCAAACTAGACTGCTTATCCTCCATGAGACTGAAAACTAAACCTGCAAAAAGCACAGTCATTTGGTAAGCAAAATGTCTAGTCATTTCATTAATGTGTTTTGTAGTTGCTGTACTTGATCATTTGATATAATATGTACTGAATTAAGTTAATTGTTTATCCACAGAAAATTCTCCATCTCACAGTACATTAGCTGGCTTTTATAATGCAGGATGCTTGTGTGGTTGCAGATTTAGCTTCGAAACCTTCTCAAGTAATTTAGCAAAACTAGTTTGAAATAGGACAGCTTATTTCACACATTATATGGGGACCTTCCATGGAGTAACAAAACAAAGCAATTTCATTCTAATGTTTCTACTAGAATCTATTGGAGAACTAACCTGAATAAGTACTTCTAGAACTGTTTGATTTGATAGTGATTCAGGAAGCTGAGATGCTACCCAGGAAGTGGAGAAAGGAGCTCAGACATGTAATGCTGATGGCAATAGATTCCTAGCACATGCCCAGACAGATGGTGATCAGAAAGAAGTTTAGCTTTATGAGTTTAAGTATAAATGCTGAAGAACTAGGGAGGAGTTAGAATTATAGCCTCCTGCTGACCTGGAGATGATCATTCTTTGTGTCAAAAGCGTTCACATCCTGCTGTGTGTTTTATATTGAACAAGATTTCAAGGCCATATCTGAGAATCTTTCCTTGACTCCAAATGAAGTCCCATTTAGGTGAGAGAAACTGTAACAGCCCTCTAGACTCTAGAGACTTTTTTTGCAGAAAAAGTACTGTGTAATCTCTGTAGGTCATTTGTATTACCTAGCATGTCCTTTTCAAACTGAAGAGTACTGCATTTCACTGAGCACACTATGTGCAGGAGAGAGATTCTGTCTGAGTTCACAGAAGAGAATGGAGCAGAGAGTTTTTTTGTAAAATAATCCTACAAAGAAGTGCACTAGACAGAAAGATTAGTAAACCTATATAGTGCAAAGGGCACAGGAGAAGGCGTTATGTTGTTTCCTTTGAGGCAAAAAACAAACTTCATGGACATGGTGTCCAAGAATCATCCCTGATTGTGACAAATGTGGCAGAAATGGATAACTTTTTCTAATTTATTTTTTTCCAAGATACTAAGCCAAATTTATCCCAGGTGTAATTCTGCTGGAAAAAACAGTTACAACAGGGATGAATTTAACTCAGTAGATTCAGCAATTTTGCCACTCATGTGTTGTTCCACCAGGTGAGCAAATCCAAAGATAGTACAGACAGACAGTCAAGCAATGGAGTGTCCCATAAGCCCTTTCCCCCCTTGCTGGGCATTCCCCAAATGAGCTTCCAAGATAACTAATCAAGATAAAACAACAACCTGGGTCCCAGAAAATGGTTCTTTTCTCCACAAACAACTGCAATTAGGAGGTCATCTTTGTCCTATGAGACTGTCTGGCAATCCTTACTTGTGGAAAATAATAGTGATAATTTCAGATACAAGAGAGGGAAAGAGGAAAAGAAACAGAGCAGCAAATAAACTTTACCACACCAATCCCAGAAAGAGGGAAAGAAAAAGGCAAAAGCCATGGATTTTTAATATATATGTCATACGTATCATAGGTCTACAACATCTTGAGCACCTCTGGCTGAAAGTTGCATCCCATTAAGTCATAAAATCCACCCTGTAATGTCTAAAAATGTATGTAAGCTGAACCATTTAATTGTCATACATATTTTCCCTGCTGAGGCAGTAATAGGTCTAACAGGACCCTGTGAAGACACTACTTTGTTGTGATTTCAGATGCCATTCATAGTGGATGAGGATAATTTTTCAGCTACTTCTTGAAGTAATTCCCTTGTCCTACCAGCTTCAGCCTGCTGCTTATGTCTTTCAGGCACTGAGACATTTATGTGATGGCACTAATTGCATCTGCTGAGAAAATGTGAAGTTGGGTGTAATCAACATATTAATGGTGTTGGAGCCCATGGCATCTCATGAACTCTTCCATATACGTGTGTTGAAGACAAGAGAAACAAGACTGTTCCCTGAAGCACTGAATCATTGGCCAGTTGCACCACCAATCCTATTATGTCTTTCATGCTGCTCATTATCACCTTACTCTACTTAAGGTTGAAGATGGATGTGACAGTATAAGCAATAAGGTTATGTCCATAGCCGTCAAACAATTATTCATGAACTCTACCACAGCTATCTTCATGTCTTGTTCTAAAGCCTAACTTACAAGGCCTTGTCTACACTACAAAATTAAATCGACCTAAGTTAGGTCAATGTACAGCCACTGCAGTAATTACTACGGTGGTTCACATCCACACTACATCCCCTCCGTCGGTGGTCCTCTCCTACCAGGAGCGATTTCACTGACTTAACTGTGTGGGGCATTTTGGGGCACTGACAGCTGGAGAGCACCTCTGCTTCTCCGGGGCTGACATCCCTGGCTATCCATCCCCACTGATGGAGCTGACAGCCAACAGGCAATGTAAGTAATGCAGTGTCTGCACAGACACTGTGTCACCCTAACTACATCGACCTAAGTGCTATGCCTCTCATGGAGGTGAAGTTATTAGGTCGATGTAGTGGGCAACTTACACAGGTGGGAGTAACACTGTAATATAGACATTTACAGAGTTAGATCGAAGTAAGGCAACTAACTCTGTATTGTAGACCAACCCTGAGATGAGTCCAGAACGTTAGCAAGGTCAGGTATTAAACTTTAATCATCACCACATTGGTGATTTTCACTGAGGAAAGGGAGGTTTGAAACAGTATGGTAGCTGGCAAGTTCACTGGCCAAGAGCATTGGTTTCTTGAGAAACAACTAGATGTGTTTTGCAGTGCTGGAGAGGTTGTGTCTCTGATGATTTTGGTCCATAGTCACGTGGACGTTTCACCTCTTTCATGTGCTAGGTAAGTAAGGCTTAAAGCTGTAGTTCAAAGGAGGCTGCATGACATCAAGAATTAGTGTTGGCAACCAAAAGCCATGGAGATCCAGAGCTTTGCTGATCAATATGAGAAGCTTTTTTCAAGCAATGAAAGCCATATATAGGCCAAGCACAAGCGGCACAACCGTTCTGCAATCTCAGGAAAGATCCAGCCTTCTTAAAGACAATGTAGCCCTCAAGCAACATTGGAAGGACCACTTTGAGACTCTATTGAACCATGAATCTGAAGTCTCAGCTGCTACTGAGTCCATTCCTTGGCATCCAGTAAAAGAACCTCTTGTTGACTCCACATCTTCTGAGGAAGTTTGGCATGTCATCACTCAGACTAGAAACAACAAGGCACCAGGCCCAGATGGCATCCCTATGGAAGTCTTCAAAGCTGGTGGAATAGCACTCATACAAAAACTTCATCAACTTCTTGTTAGAATTTGGGTTAATGAAGAAATTCTACCCGACCTAAAGAATGCCAATATTGTGACCATTTCTAAGAAGGGAGACAAGTCAATATACAGGAATTGCCAAGGCATTGCCCGCCTCTCCATTGCCAGGAAGATTCTTATTCACATCCTTTTGAACCGTCTCCTCCCTCTTGCCAAAGACATCCTTCTGGAATCCCAGAGTGGTTTCAGACTGTCTTGGGGCACCACTGACATGATTTTTGTTGCACGTCAGATCCAACTGAAGTGTAGAGAACAACACCAGCCATTGTTTATGGCGTTTATTGACCTAAGGTCTTTGATTCCTTCAATTGTGAAGTGTTAGGGTAGGTGCTGTCTAGGTTCAATTATTCATTGACGTTCGTTCACATTCTCAAGCTAGTTCATGATGGGGTGACCACCACTGTCCTCTGTAATGGGTTGGAGACAGATCCATTCACCAGCTGTACTGGTGTTAAATAGGGCTGTGTTATTGCCCCAACCCTTTTTTCCATCTATCTTGCTGTGATCTTGATTCTTATTCATGACCACCTTTCTTCTGGAATTGGGACTGAGTATTGTCTGGACGGACAGCTCTTCAGCATCTTCATTCTAAAACTAAGGTCACCAGGACTGTTATTACCAACCTTCAGTATGCCTACAACTGTGCTATCCTCACGCACACCGAGGCTGACTTGCAATCCACCCTAGATCTTTTCTCAGGCGCCTATCATAGCCTGGGACTTTCCCTCAACATTGGGAAGACTAAGGTGCTCCACGAGCTTGCTCCAGCACAAGTTCCCCCCCTTCTCCCTCAAATTGTCATCAGTAGTGAACTCCTGGAAAATGCTGAGCATTTCCCTTAGCCACCTCTCCCAGACAGCCAATCTTAATGTGGACATTGAACATAGGATCCATTGTGCCAGCGCATCCTCCGGAAAGTTGCTTTGTTGTGGATCTGTGGAAGGAAACTAAGATCCTGGTCTACAATGCAGTAGTCATCCCCACTCTTCTTTATGGGTGTGTGACATGGATGACATACTGAAGTCATCTTAAGCGTCTGGAGTGGTACCACCAGTGCTGCCTTAGGAAGATTCTCCTTATCAGATGGGAAGATCGTCACACCAATGCCAGTGCTATCTTTGCAGCTAATATCACCAGCGTTGAGGTGAAGATTATGAAACATCAACTTCACTGGGCTGGCCAGTGTGTGTGGATGACTGATACTTGCCTTCCGAAGCAATTCCTCTTTTCTCAACTTAGTAATGGTAAGAGGACTCGCAGGGGAGAGAGGAAATACTACAAGGACACCCTGAAAGTATATCTTAAGGGAGGCATTGACCCCATGAATTGAGAAGAGCTGGCTGGCAATAGACTGCAATGCTGTTGCATCATACATCAAGCCTCAGCCCGTTTTGAAGAAAATCACCTTGCTCAAGAAGCTGAGAAATGGCAGAGGAGGAAGGAAAGCGTACAGCATCCTGGCCAGCAGTTGTCCTTTCTCCAAGCAACCACCTGTCAGATATGTGGAAAAATCTGTAAAGCATGGATTGGACTCCTCAGCCATCTTAAGTCTCATCAATGACTTTTTTCCTCCTGGCAGACATCATCCTTGTATCAAGGGATAGCCACCATTGCCAACAATGTGATTTTCTTGGGAATCAGTTGCATAGTAGTGCAAACTCTATCTGGAAATCACATGCACTCCCATCTACTATTGGTCTACATTAAGATAATTAAAGAATAAATGTGCATCTTATTAAAAATGAGATCAGATGCAAGGAGCTGTTGTGCAACTGATGTTCTGTAAGATAATTAATTGAAAGAGCACTGTGATACCCCACACTAGCCTACCAGAAATGTGAGGCCCATCAGAAGGACAAGATAAATCCTTGTAGGAGTTGGACACACCAACAACCAGGATGAGATCCTCACTATCCCTGCTCTGGCCCTTTGATGCACTAAAGCAATATAACAGAGACCTAAAAGGCCTAATTCTGACTGGGGGATCATTATCCTAGCATAAGTGCTGCAGAAGATGGCTGTAAGGGATGCTCTCTAAAGACACAATCACATAAAGGGCCCTCTGAAGACCCCATGGGGATGTGCTAAGGGTTGGGGGGATGAGGGTGGGAAGGGAGTTTCAGGTGCAGGGCCACAATACACAGCACAGCAGAAATCTCATGCAGTGCTGCAGCCCACAGGGCAGCCTGGGAAAGCTACTATAATTTAGGCCCCAGGTCTATCCAAATTACTCTGGGAGCCTCTCTAGCCCTCAGAGCAGCCCAGGATCAGGAGGGCACAAAGCTTTCTGTCTTAAAGTAATCTTGAGCTGTTTCCTCATTTAAAAAAAAACAAACTTATAAGACACATGCTAATCACCTCTAATTAATTACTTCCTTTTGTTGCTGTCTATCCCTCATCCTTCTCCGATATACCTTCTATTTGGATTCTAAGCTTTTTTAGCCAAGAACTTTGACTTATATTTGGCTGTAAAGGGCCTGGTAAACATTTGAAGCTATTTCAGTTATAACAGATTCTAAGTAGGTCCAGGTCTACAAAGCCCAGGCCTAGTGTAGTTTCATATCCATCTGTGGGATGCTTATGGGCAATATTTTGCCACTCATTTGCAGAGTTGTTTTTCTTGATGAATGTGAGTTTCGCTATAAAATATATAAAGGAATTCTTATAAGAACTCATGAAATAACATTTTTCACTCACACATGCTAAAAGTGAACTTTTTGTACACTTTTAAGTATCAGCATCCTCTGATGTCTCTTATGAGTTAGGGAAGAAACAAGTGGGGTCAAACCAATTATTTTTAGGATTGTACTTGAGCTGGAGGATTTCTTGGCATCAGTATAGAGCAGGGGTGGGCAAACTTTTTGGCCCAAGGGCCACATCGGGATGCAAAACTGGGCGGAGGGCTGGATAGGGAAGGCTGTGCCTCCCCAAACACCCTGGCCCCCGCTCCCTATCCGCCCCCTCCCACTTCCTGCCCCCTGGCTACCCCCCTCAGAACCTCCGACCCATCCAACCCTCCCTACTCCTTGTCCCCTGACCGCTCCCTCCTGGGACCCCATGCCCCAAACTGCCCCCCCTGGGACCCCACCCCCATCCAACCCCTCATGCTCCCTGTCCCCTGACTGCCCCCCCGACTCCTATCCACACCCCTGCCCCCTGACTGGCCCCCCGGGACTCCACCCCCTATCCAACCACCCCCTGCTCCCTGTCCCCTGACTGCCCCCCAGAAACCCTGCCCTTTATCCAACCCCCACCCCTCTCCCTGCCCCCTTACCATGCTGCTCAGAGTAGCAGGAGCTTGCAGTCCTGCTGCCCAGACAGAGCCTGCCCACGCGGCGGTGTAGCTACAGGGGAGGGGGGACAGCAGGGGAGGGGCCAAGGTCTAGCCTCCCGCGCAGGGAGCTCAGGGCCCAGGCAGGACTGTCCCGCAGGCCGGATGTGGCCCACAGGCCATAGTTTGCCCACCTCTGGTATAGAGTGTGCTAGTTCCCTGATAACATAATTCATTCTGTGTATCAGAATGTTTGCTTTATTCATTCCAAGAAAGACGTAAAAAATAAATCTTTAGAAAAATAAGTTAACTGATCCATGCCTTTTTATCTATCAATTTTTTTTTAAAATAAGATCATTTTAGACATATATACTGTTGATAATTCTTAACTGTATGTTTTCTCTTTCAGCTATTAGGACCCAATCCTCTGAGATGCTGAGCACCTTAACTCCCACTTAAGTCAATAGGAGTTGAGGGTGCTCAGAATCTTTCAGGATTGGGATATTTACTGATTCCCTTGTTGCTCATTTCTTTCCACTCCCTTAAACTCAAAATCTTGCTGCCATTTTCTTGACCTCAGATACATGCATGTAACTCAGTTTAAAAAACAACAATGAATAAAACACTTACCTATTTTTGGAATTAGGTTATTTTGAAGATAGAGGATTTTTAAATCTCGACACAATTTGTCAATGTATTCTAGTTTTTCTATTTCCTGCTGGTGCAAGGAGATTTCTTCCAGTGAAAAAAGTTCACGGTTGTTATGCTCTGCACGTTGTCTAAGAAGTTCTTCAGTGACTGCAAGACACATTACCATTTAATGGAAACTGATTTTATGGAGGGAATTTTCTGGTAATCTACTTGTAATCTACTAAGGAAGTTAATTAAATCTTTTCTTTGTCCTTAATAAACAGACATTCAACACAAACACCAATAATAATACCTACCACTACAAAATTAGCAAGAGACATGATGCCTCAGCAAATTCTGCCATGATAGCTATCACTGTATGAATCAAATTGACATTATTTTTGACACAAGACAAATAATGAAGTTGGTGGTCTTCCCTGGGGACAAAATTTGATCCTGTCATAAACTGGTACAAGTCTTATTGTCTTCAATATAGGCCAGACTGTGGGCTGATTGGTGCAGCAGTGCAAAGGAGGAATGGGGTGTTGTATGCTTGCTCTGAACTCTTGGTCTTCGCTGACCAAGTACAGCAACTGTGAGTGGGGTGCAGTGGAGGGAGAGGGGAGTGACATGTTAAAGGAACATTTGTCAGAATTTCACAGTGCAAGCTGAGAAACTGAGGGTTACACATCCCTCCACTGGCTCACCCCTCTCTACTGCATCAAATATAAGCTACTTGATTTCACTTTCAAGGCCCACCATGGCCTCTGCTCACCTTACCAATCATCTCTCATTCACTATTGAGATGTCAGTCTCCATCACCCGCTTGTTACATTTTCAAACAAGCACCTTTGTGCTTTCTACCACGCTACCCCTTACACTTGGGAGGTGCTCCCCATAAACATCTGCAAACTAACTCGTTATAAAACTCTTTTTTTCCGTGATTCCTAAAAAAAACTTGATAAAGATTAGTCTACTAGTGTGCTGAGACCACTGCCTATCATGCTGACCAATAGTGTCTCATTGTTTCCTTGTACTCCACCAACTGTCTGTATCCATCTGTTGTCTCTTGTCTTAAAGATTGTAAACTCTTTGGGGCAGGGACCATCTTTTTGTTCTGTGTTTGTACAGCACCTAGCACAATGGGCTTTTGGTTCATGACTGGGACTCCTAGAAACTACTGTAATACAAATAAATAAATAATAATGTTGAGTCTAACATAGAGGAGGACAAAACTGGAGAAAACTGAGTGGGGCAGCAGGTAGACATGAGATAGGATAGACCAAACTAATTGAGATTTGAATACTTGTAGGGTAATTTTGAATTGGGTTTGGACATGGCTAGAAAACCAGTGAAGATGAGAGAAGAGGAGGGCAATATGGGTCCAATTCCTATAGTAAGAGTGGAATGCTGGTGGTAGCATACAGCAGTGGGTCTCAATCATTTTTCATTTGTTGACCTCTAAACATTTTCAAATGGAGGTGGGGACCCCTTTGGAAATCTTAGACATAGTGTCTGTGGACCACAGGTTGAAAACCACTGTTTTATGGTAATGACAACCTTTCATGGTCCCCTTAGACCAGTAGTTCTCAAACTGTGGGAAGAGACCCCAAAGTGGGTCATGACCCCACTTTAATGGAGTCACCACGGCTGGCTTAGACCTGCTGAAGCCCAAGTCCCACCAAGCTGAAGCTGAAGCCTGACTCCCACTGTCCAGCGCCGAAACTGAAGCCCAAGGGCTTCAGCCATGGGCGTCGGGGCTCAGGTTACAGGCCCCCTGCCTTGGGCTGAAGCCCTAGGAATTCGGCTTTCCCCTCACCCCCCCCCCCCCACACACTCAGGGTGGTGGGACTCGGGTAGGCTCAGGCTTTGGTCCCCTCTCCTGGGGTCATGTAGTAATTTTTGTTGTCAGAAGAGGATCACGATGCAATGAAGTTTGAGAACCCCTGCCTTAGACATAGTCTGCAGAGCAGTTGGAGTATGCAGACCACACCTTGAGAACCACTGGCATACAGGATACCCTGAAGATTAAAGGGTATACATTTGGAAAAACCAAGGAAAGGCAATATAATAGCCAAGATCAGAAGATTATGGCACAGATAAAGATATCTGCAGAGGTATGGTCAAATTAAGAAAGGGGAAAGATATAAAGCCTCTTTTAGAAATAAAAAACTAAAAAGAAAGATTGGTACCAAGAGAGGTGAATTCTGGAGATACAGAGTCTGATTCTCCACTGCCTTGTACATTTTATAGTTACTCTTAACTTGGTAGCATTTTACGCTTACTGCACAAGTTTACATGACTACACAAAGTGCAAGTCAATGAAGAATTGGGTCTATTGGCTTCCTGATCTTGCTTGGAGAGATTGATAATGTCAAAAATCACCCTGAGATCAAAAACAGAGAGACTTCTGTCCAGAGGCAATTAGTTCACTAACATCCCAGGAAAAAGCAGTCTCAGTATTGTGAAAAAGTTGAAAGTCAACTGAAACCAGTAAAAGTAGTGATCAGAAACATTTCCCTCAGAACTTTAATAATGTCAGAGAGATTGTAAACTGGAAGTTAGTTAGGAAGTGAGGGTTTTATTCTGAAAATGGTGACACCAGACAAAGATCCATTGGAGCTAGTGAGTGCTGATGTCAACTGGTGACAACAGGTGGCTATTTATCCTGTAGGTGGTTGAGAGTGGGGTTCCAGTAATGAGATGCTTTCATTCATAGAGGAGAAGACATCAGGGAGTGCTGTGAGAAAGCTGAAAGAAATCAAAGCAGGTGTTGGGCTGCAGGTAAATCAAAAGACAATGAGAAGCCTAGAGTTAAGGCAGCAGTAAACTTTTCCAACATTATTTTAAGACTGAAAATACCACAAGTTCAGAAAATGAAGCCACACTACTTCACACAGCAATGTCTTGTCTCAGCATGCATGTGCCAACTTCACACTGAGATGTTGATTTCCAAAGCACTAGTTTAGCCCAGCAGGGGACTGGCAGCATAACAGCAGTGGCAATATACAATTAAAATAGATTAAGAGAAAGTGGAAAATCATAGCGTAAGGGAAAGCCATGAAGTCTAGAATCTCCCAGTGTCCCTGTTCCTAATTCATCTAGATCAAGTTACTCCTGGGGGAATTCTGAGGGACTGCGCACCTGCAGAAAATGCCCCCCCGCCCAGCAGAATTCCTGTGGTTCCCTGCAGAAAATGGCCCTACCCCCCTACACCTGGACCCCACCGACAAGCTCCCCACACCCAGACCCCGAACCCCACTAAACCCCAACCAGCTGCACCTGGACCCAAGTCACAAGCTGCACTCCCCCAGCACCCCCCACACACTGAGCTCCTGCACCCAGACCCCCCCCCCAACAAGCCCCATCTCCCCATACCCAGACCCCCTCGCTGAGTGCAACATCCCCTGCAGAGTCCCATTACCCTGTACTCGGAACCCCACGAGCCCTTGTGCATCCAGATCTCCCACCGAGTCACCTGCACCCAAATTGCCCTCCACAGAAACCTCTCACCCCACACCTGGATCCCCCCACACTAAGCCCCTCCACACTTGAATCCTGCTGGTCTGAGCCTGCCCAGGCACACCTGGTGCACCTGGCACAGAGGGGCAGGGCCCCAGGGTGTTTCTGGGGCAGACCCACTACCGAGTCCCTGTACTGGAGGAGGTGGGGCTTCAGGGTGGTCTCCCACTTCAATACAGTCAGTGGCCTGTGCTCCCCACTGCCATGCTGGAGCCACATTTATTTATTGACAAATAAAATTTGCAGAATTTAGCAGAATTTTAAAATATTGTGTTCATAATTTTTAAATTTTTGGTGCAGAATTCCCTCAGGAGTAATCAAGGGTACCACCTTTCAGAGTGCACCATTTTACCCCTCAAAAATTATGATCTCATAACACAGAGTCACTTTTAATGTCAGTCACTTTGAATGCTATTAAATACATGGACTGGAACCTATTTCGGGTTATTTCCATGAATTAATGATAACAGTTTTCTTTCCCTACTTTTATTTAAGATTTTTAATTATGATGTAGTGCTGTCTATTTTCGGTTTGGAAGAAGAAAAAGAGACGTTTATAAAGTCAGTATCATATCTTTAGGCCACAACATGTACATTCTCCCCTAAACTGAAGTTCTTCCATTAGCAAATGTCCTTGTGGAGACACCGTTTGATTTTCTGAAACTGACCACTTTTGCTGAACAATAGGGGAAAAAATGCTAAAAAGGTAAACAAACTCCCTCCATGGAGCAGTGCACAATTATGTTGCAAGTAGGATTCCCCAGGCTCTGGGGGAACCTGGAGATTTGTAGTGGCTGGGGATGAGGAGGGCAGGAGGGGAGATGGGGAAGCCTGGGGATGAGCAGTGGCTGGGGATAGAGAAGGGGGAAGGGGAGGAAAGTTTGGGGATGGGATGAGGGGATGGGAGTCTGGGGGAGCCTGGGGATGGGGGGGCCAGAAGTGGGAGTCTGGGGATGGAGGAGGGGGAAGGGGAGAAGCTGGGGATGAAGGGGAGGAAAGCTTGGGGATGGGTAGTGGCTGGGGATGGGGGGGACAGGGAGGGGAGTCTGGGATGGGTAGTGGCTGGGGATGGGGGGGAGGGGAAAGGAGGTTAGGGATTAAGGGGTAGGGGAGGCTGCAGGAGGGAAAGCGAGGTTGGGAAGATGGGGGGGAAAGGCTGGAGAGCTGGGTAGTGGCTGGGGAGGGAGATGGGGGAGCCGATGGGTGGTGGCTGGGAGATGGATAGTGGCTGGGGATGGGAACGTAGGGCAGGGAGATGGGGGAGCTGATGGGTGGTGGCTACGGAGATGGATAGTGGCTGGGGAAGTGGAGGGGACATGGGGGAGCCGATGGGAGGTGGCTGGGGCTGGGGGGAAGGGGAGGGAGAGGGGGCAGCCGATGGGCGGTGGTGGGGGTTGGGGGGAAGGGGAAGGGAGAGGGGGGAGCCGATGGGCGGGGGCTGGGGGAGAGGGAGGGGGGGAGCCGATGGGCGGTGGCGGGGGCTGGACGGAAGGGGAGGGAGGGGGGAGCCGATGGGCGGTGGTGGGGGTTGGGGGGAAGGGGAGGGGGGGAGCCGATGGGAGGTGGTGGGGGTTGGGGGGAAGGGGAGGGAGGGGGGAGCCGATGGGCGGGGGCTGGGGGAGAGGGAGGGAGAGGGGGCAGCCGATGGGCGGGGGCTGGGGGGTAGGGGAGGGAGAGGGGGCAGCCGATGGGCGGTGGCGGGGGCTGGAGGGAAGGGGAGGGAGGGGGGGGAGCCGATGGGCGGTGGCAGGGGCTGGGGGGGGTAGGGGAGGGAGATGGGGGAGCCGATGGGCGGTGGCAGGGGCTGGGGGGGTAGGGGAGGGAGATGGGGGAGCCGATGGGCGGTGGCAGGGGCTGGGGGGGTAGGGGAGGGAGATGGGGGAGCCGATGGGCGGTGGCAGGGGCTGGGGGGGTAGGGGAGGGAGATGGGGGAGCCGATGGGCGGTGGCAGGGGCTGGGGGGTAGGGGAGGGAGATGGGGGAGCCGATGGGCGGTGGCGGGGGCTGGGGGGGGTAGGGGAGGGAGATGGGGGAGCCGATGGGCGGTGGCGGGGGCTGGGGGGGTAGGGGGAGGGAGGGGGGAGCCGATGGGCGGTGGCGGGGGCTGGGGGGGTAGGGGAGGGAAGGGGGGAGCCGATGGGCGGTGGGGGGGCTGGGGGGTGGGGGGGGGGGGGAGCCGATGGGCGGTGGCGGGGGCTGGAGGAAGGGGAGGGAGGGGGGGCCGATGGGGGTGGTGGGGGTTGGGGGAAGGGGGGGGGGGGGGGCCGTGGGGGGGGGGGGGAGAGGGAGGGAGGGGGGGGGGGGGGGGGAGAGAAGGGGGGGGGGGGGGAGGTGGGGTGGGGGGGTGGGGGGGGGGGAGGGGGGGGGGGGGGGGGGGGGGGGGGGGGGGGAGGGGGGGGAGGGGGGGGGGGGGGGGGGGAGGGGAGGGGAGGGGGGCGTGGGGGGGTGGGGGTGGGGGAAGGGGAGGGGAGGGGGAGCCGAGGGGGGGGCTGGGGGAGAGGGAGGGAGGGGGGAGCCGATGGGCGGTGGCTGGAGAGAAGGAGGGGGGGGAGCGATGGGCTGTGGTGGGGGTTGGGGGGTAGGGGAGGGAGATGGGGGAGCCGATGGGCGGTGGCAGGGGCTGGGGGGTAGGGGAGGGAGTGGGGAGGATGGGCGGTGGCGGGGGCTGGGGGGTAGGGGGGGGGAGGAGGGGAGCCGTGGGGGGGGGGGGGGGGGGTGGGGGGGAGGGGGGAGGGGGGGGGGGGGGGGGGGTGGGGGGGAGGGGGGGGGGGGGGGGGGGGGGGGGGGGGGGGGGGGGGGGGGGGAGTGGGGGGGGGGGGGGGGGGGGGAGAGGGGGGGGGGGGGGGGGGGGGGGGGTGGGGGGGGGGGGGGCGGGGGGGGGGGGGGGGGGGGGGGGGGGTGGGGGGGGGGGGGGGGGGGGGGGGGGGGGGGGGGGGGGGCGGGGGGGGGGGGGGGGGGGGGGGGGGGGGGGGGGGGGGGGGGGGGGGGGGGGGGGGGGGGGGGGGGGGGGGGGGGGGGGGGGGGGGGGGGGGGGGGGGGGGGGGGGGGGGGGGGGGGGAGGAGGGGGGGGGGGGGAGGGGGGGAGAAGGGGCAGCCGATGGGGGTGGTGGGGGTTGGGGGGAAGGGGAGGGAGAGGGGGAGCCGATGGGCGGGGGCTGGGGGGGGAGAGGGAGGGAGGGGGGAGCCGATGGGCGGTGGCTGGAGAGAAGGGGAGGGAGGGGGGAGCCGATGGGCTGTGGTGGGGGTTGGGGGGGTAGGGGAGGGAGGGGGAGCCGATGGGCGGTGGCAGGGGCTGGGGGGGGTAGGGGAGGGAGATGGGGAAGCCGATGGGAGGTGGCGGGGGCTGGGGGTAGGGGGAGGGAGGAGGGGAGCCGATGGGCGGTGGCGGGGGCTGGGGGTAGGGGAGGGAGGAGGGGAGCCGATGGGCAGTGGCAGGGGCTGGGGAGGGTAGGGGAGGGAGATGGGGGAGCCGATGGGCGGTGGCGGGGGCTGGGGGGGTAGGGGAGGGAGATGGGGGAGCCGATGGGCGGTGGCGGGGGCTGGGGGGGTAGGGGAGGGAGATGGGGGAGCCGATGGGCGGTGGCGGGGGCTGGGGGTAGGGGAGGGAGATGGGGGAGCCGATGGGGGTGGGGGGGCTGGGGGGGTAGGGGGGGAGATGGGGGAGCCGATGGGCGGTGGCGGGGGCTGGGGAGGGAAGGGGAGGGAGATGGGGGAGCCGATGGGCGGTGGCGGGGGCTGGGGGGGTAGGGGAGGGAGATGGGGGAGCCGATGGGCGGTGGCGGGGGAGATGGATAGTGGCTGGAGATGGGGGAGCCGATGGGTGGTGGCGGGGGATCGGGGGTCGGGGATGAGGCGGCTGGGCAGGGCCCGGCCCCGCTCCCAATCAGCGGGGCGGCGCAGGGGGACACTCACCCCGCACCATGGCCCGACGCGCCAGACAGCTTCACGGCCCCCACGCTGCTTCCGCCGCCGCCATTAGCGGACGCCACCCGGCGCAGCCATAGCAACGGGGCTGGGCGGGCCTCCGAGCGGGGCCGGGGCCGACCTGCCTCCCTCCCCTCGCGGGTTGGCCGCCGGCTGCGGGGAGATCTGAGGGGACTTGAACTTCTCCCCTCCTCCCCCAGCCGGAGCCCCCGGGCTGCCCGTACCCCGGGGCCCCATTGGGATGCGGGGGGACGTGGTTCCTGTCTCCGCTGGGTGGTGAGGGTAGGACAGCGTCAGCCTGCAACAAACTCCTCAGGGACCCGAGCTCCAGCTCCCAGCGCCCTGCCCCGTCCAGCCAGCCTGGTCTGCGGGGCCCCTGGAGAGTCTCCAGGTAGGCAATTGGGTGGCGCGGGGGTATTAATGCTTATATTGTCTTTCTAAACTCACGAAGGGAAATTATTTTAAAATCCAGGGTCTGCACCACACCTCACCTCAGCCAGGACTGTCAAATGTCAGCGCATCTCCAAGTGATCCCTCCATATCTGACCTCAGTCCTCGCCCCCAAAGGACGCTAGGCACCGCCTTCAAAACATGGACTATCAGGGTTGGAAGGGACCTCAGGAGGTCATCTAGTCCATCCCCCTGCTCAAAGCAGGGCCAACCCCCAGTTTTTGCCTCACATCCCTAAATGGTCCCCTCAAGGGTTGAACTCTCAACCATGGATTTAGCAAGGCAATGCTCAAACCACTGAGCTATCCCTCCCCCTGAGACCTCAACTTCATAATGTTGCCAGATGCTAAAAATCACGGACTCAGTAGGGATACTGGTTTTATGTCTCTTTATCACAATCTGTAACCCACTAGCCCTCCTTTGACCTCTGACTGCAGTAATGTTAATAGCCCACTTTATTTTGAATGGTCCCTTGCAAATATGTGTTGCCACCAATGCTTAACACTCTGTTCCACCTTGTATTTCCCTGGTACACTGTGAGTGGCTTTCCCAGACCCGAAGAAGAGCTCTCTGGAGTTTGAAAGCTCTCTGTCTCTTCAACCAACTGAAGCTGGTCTAAGAATTATCTCACCCACCTTTGCTATCATGCTTCTTGAATGACAGTCAAGCTTTTAACAATCACAATCACATCTCAGGAAAAATCACATTCATTGGAGACAAACCAATCCCACCCAATACCTTTGGTCTAAAGGAAGGGGCCATGAGAGAGGGCCCAGGAGACTGTAAATTCAAGTTTCTTTTGGTGTTTATTTTTCTATGCAGATGACAATACTTACTATCAAGCAGGGCGTCACTCCTCTACTCAGAAGGCAAGCCACTATCATTCCTCCATTTTGGAAAGACAGGAAGTAAAAGATTGCATAAGGTCACTTCAAGAAGTACTGGGACTAGGACCATGGCCTCTAAAATGACAACGCCAAAAGTTATCCAGTTAGCCACATTACCTTTAAGAAGTGCCTAAGTCTATGGATCTATGTAACCCACAATGTAACCCAAGAGTGGCTTGCTAGGGATATCACAATGTTAGGCAAGGATGCTGTGTAGCCTTAAAACCTCAACTCAGAAGCAGGTGGGGCAAGGTAACAGGGGAGAGCAGAGACATGGTTGGGCATTCCTGGAATGGACCACAGAGGGGGCAATACAGATGTAGTTACTCTGAAACCATGACAACCGCTATTCTACCCACTAGACCACACTCTGTTCCAAGAGCCAGGAATCCTGATATGCAACACTCTGTGACCCACTGACAAATTTGATCATATGTCCTCTTTCAGAAATTGGTCCACACACTGTACACACACAAAATATCCTAATTCTGCAACCACCCTAGTAAAGGTCTATGCTGTAGATTTGAAGGTTCTGGGTTCACACCTTACTAATCACTCATATGGGGGAAAATAGCATGTGTTCATGTAACTGAAGATTGCATCCTTTTTTATCTGTACAAAGGTGTAGTATTAAGGTTGCCTGGGTAATCATAATTCTGGCATTTACTGTCTTCTGAATTCTTGATTTTGCAACTTTAATGTTTTTTATTTAGATATATTTTAAAAGTACAAAAAACGATATATAAATATAGGACATCTCAGGTTTTTTGAGGCCCCGGGAATAATTGTAATTGTTGAAATGATTTTAAATAGCAAAATCTTGTGTTCAGTAATGGATTTGGATGTTGCATTAATATTTATTTTATTGTTGTATCTTTATTGTTTGTGTTTTGATTAATGGAAGCTGTCCTTTTTAAGAACATGGTGGGGCAACTGATTGTAAAGTGTGTTTCTAGAAGACAGAACAGTGGGTGGAGATTTTGCTTGTGTGTACAGAGAGTGGAAAACACTGCCTGTGCAATTTCCAAAAATGTCAGAACTTGGTTTAATACATGTATCTTTCAAGAAAGCAAGACTCATTTTTGAAGCACACATTAGCATTTACTTGGGGACTGGATACCTCAAGATATTGCTAAAGAGCTATAGAGCCTTTCACCAGTTTAAATCTAGTCCAACTCACTAGGTATTAAAATTGTTGCCACCTAATGGATGTTTGGTGGCCCCTAAATGAGATATGTTTGTGGGTCTCACTACAGAAAAGGAGCTGAAATACAGGTGGATAAGAAAAAAAGGGGTCACTGATTTAAATGTTCTATGTTTTTGCACAGCTAATGAGATATAAGGAGGATGGCAGTCGTTTACACATATGTAGTTTAACTTCCTTGGTTCTCCTGGTCTATCTGGCTCACAACTAATAAAGCCACATAAAGGACAAAGAAATATATAGTTATATGGCACCATCTGGTGGTTCAAGGTGCACTTTACAGAGCCATAGAGATGGTAAGAGCCTAGACCATGCCCTGCCTGTGCTTCTTTCTTTTGCCTTTACTTCTTTCTTTGTCTCCTACTGTTTGTCATACCTACTTGTTGTGTTTTGTTTCAAGTTTGATTGTAAGCTCTTTGGGGCAGGGACTCAATGTGTGTCTGTTTGTATGGAACCTAGCACAACAGGGCCTTTTGGTGCTCACATTATACAATAAATAATACTAATTAATAGGATTTTGTCCAGTCTTGTTTCAGTCTCCCAAGCAGTAAGGTTCTCTCTCTTCTCTTTGATGGCCATTCCACACCAATCAGAAAGAGAAGATTAAGAGCAGCATGTTTTAAATGTTTTTGACTATGTTGTTGAAAATGTAAATTTTATACAGAATCTTCTAAATTATCTCACCAGACCAGATCACTGGTTCATCCAGGCCAGTATCCAACCTTCTGCAGGCATTCTATCTGATGCTTCAGAAGAAAGAAAAAGAAAATCCATAACGAATCTGGCTAATTTACAATGCAGGAAAGGATGCATTTCCTTCCTGATTTCCCTGAAGGAGATTTATGCCTAGAAGCATAAGGCTTGCTCAGTGCCCATGATGATGTTACAGATTAGGCAAAAATGAGATGTCAAATTTTGCTTCTTAGGTGGTGAGTGGCTAATTGGTGCGAATGAACCGAAGTGCAGGAATTAAATCAACCATGAAGTAAAACTCTGGTCCCGCTGAAGTCAATGGCAAAAATCCCTTTAACTTCAGTGGGGCCAGGATTCCACCCATGGACAATAGTAAACCTCACACAAATTCTCTGTACAATTATTTCCTGTGAATAGTCTTAGAGTCAGCAAAGTGAGATCAAGGCATTCTTCTTCAGCAGGAGGTGCTCTGAGTTCAGCTGTCTATGTTTCTCATGACTTTGGGGGACTCTAGGGTTCACCCAGGTGCATATCAGCCTATGAAATGGGAGACGTAACTAGAGACAGAATTTTGCTTAGCATGCAGGGGACATAAAATGCGGCTTGCTAATGGATGTTCCAGAGGGCATGCTGTGAGAGAGAGAGATAGTAGCAGAGATGGTGGGACAGATGCCCTAACACTATTGCAGACCACAGGATCATTCAGTCACCAGGATCAAAACAGAGGGAATCAGGGTCAGAAACTTCTGAGAGAGAGGTGCATCTTCTAGGTAAGTGAAATTACAGAAGTTCTCCCTCCTTTTTGTTAAGGCTGTCTTTACACTACACTTTTTTCCCCTCAAAGTTTCCTACTGTTACTCCACTGGTTCAACTCTCCTGGTGGGAGTGCTTGTGTAGGCAGGACCCTGGCATTTTTACCACTATATCATCTAACCCTGCTCAGAGCAAGTCTAGACAGCATAGTGGGGAAAATGCTGCCAGTGGCTGGAATCTTATTTAGATAGTAAATCCTTCAGCATAGGGACTTTCTGTACCTACGTATATGTAGAGTGCCTAGAACAACAGGGCCCTGATTTTAGTTGGGGCTCTTAGACATTAGCATAATATAATAATATAGCTTAGTGTAATTTGTAAAATGAATAGTGTATATATTCATGCAATGTTTTATGCAGATATTTGTCTTTTCATATTTACATAAATCCCTTTTGTTGCTTTGTAACAGTGCAGGACTCACCCCTGCACCGTCTCCTGCTAGCTGTCTGGGAATTAGCTCTTTTTACCAGCTCCAGAGTGCCCTCTGCCGGGGTGCTGCCCCGCCAGGCAATACCCCACAGATCTGGGTCTCCCCTCCTCAGGAAACCCCCCAGCCTCTATCCCCACCTTGCCTCAGCCTACAGACTACTGCTAGTCACCATCTAGCCCCCTTTCACCTGGGCCAACTGCAGTCTGTATAAGCCAGTCATCATAGGTAAGGGGGGTTTGGACCTGCTGCCTCCGCCTACCCTTGGGCTGCTCTTGTGCAACCCCAGTACCCTGTCTTAGGCCGTCTGCCAGGCCTGCAGTCTAGGGCTTTTCCAGTCTGGAGCCTCCCAGCTCCTCTGGCCTTCCCCAGCCCTGCTTCACCTCAGGTACCCCGGTATACTCCACAGCAGCCAGGCCCATCTCCCTCCACAGCTAGAGAAGACTCTGTGTGTTCTTGGCCCACTGCCCTCTTATAAGGTCAGCTGGGCCCTGATTAAGCCAGCTGTGGCCTGACTGGGGCATGGCCCCCAGCTGGGGCTGCTTCTCCCAATCAGCCCTGCTTTTCCTTCCCTGCCACAGCCCTCTCCCCGGACTGTTTTAAGCCTTTTAAGGCAGGAGCAGGTGACCACCCCGCTACATGCTTATTATTTTGTTACACCCTAAAATGTGCTAGAACCTGCACACAAGACTTAGAACAACATAGTCCTTGCTCCTAAAATCTAGATGTCAGACATGACACAACGAGCAGCATGACAAACAATTGACAGCAGATGGGGGTTATACAGCGATATGGTCATGGTTGCTCATAACAGGGGTATACTAACTGAATAATTCACTCTATCATTTTAATATATTAAAAGTTTATTTGTTAAAACAAATGATACAATGCAACATAAATTGTCTACTGAAGCATGACAAAATAAGCTTTATACCATTAATGTTACTCTTCATTAGAAATATTTTGAATATATATTGGGTTCCATCATGAGACTATTCATCTGAGTAAGAACTACATGACTGAGCCCTATAGCATTTGATGTGGCTCTGCAATCCTCAGTTGCCAAAACACTATGGGTCAGAACCTTAGGTGGTGGCCACATGCTGGTTTATGCCAATTTATGATATGCATCTCTCTCTTTTCATCAAATCTCTATAAGACTTTTAATTACTATTTAACATTTCTACTGTGGTAGCTCCTAAAGGCCTCAACCAAATTAGGCTCTCTTGTGCTAGCTGCTGTCCAAACACAGAATGAATAACATTCCCTGCCCCAGAAAGCTTACAATCTAAACAACAAGATATAACAAGCACACTGAGGTGACAAATGTGTGCAATTCTTAGCAAGATTCTTTATTAATATCCACACAAGTAATTGTTCTCGATTTCTAATATATAAGCATATTATAAAATAAAGGTATAGGACAAGTGAAGGGACAGATCCCAAAGAACTGGGCCCAAAGTCTTTTCCTGTTTTATGTACTGGTACTCTTTTTTACCACATCCTTCAGTTCTGAGGGCTACTGTTATTGTTAGTATAGTTCCACAGGTGTATAGGGTGCTCCACAGATGGATAATAATGGATTTGTCCCTGCTCCAAAGAGCTTACAATCTAAGGGCTCCTACAAACACTTCTGGGCATAATGCTTACTACTGTTGAGAACCCAGCCTCCTCACTAGAGTAAGCAATATGTCTGGTATCAAGTGTTTGCAGGATTAGGCCTGAAATTTGATTTTACACAGCAAGGAATGACCAAACAAAAGATCAGGGCATGGTGAACAAGGATTACAATAGCAAAAGGTGATAAGTTTGTTACATGTGCATCTTGAAAATTCCTCATTGGATTTATATTTTAATTAATTTAATACATTAAAATTGAACAAGAGGTCAGCTACTGAAGGTAGAGACTTTAGATTACAGTAGCCATCTCACAGTACACAAATGTCACACTAACCCATAGCCAACAAGTGTTTGTACTTCATTAGAGATACTGTTTAAAATACCCCAAGAGCCTGATTCTCCTAATCAATAGAAGCTGCAGATGCTCAGCACTTCAAAAGTCAATTTACTTTTACTTAGGAGCCTAAATATGGATTTAGGCTCCCCTGTTACAAAATGTTGGCTTTACTCTTTCATCAACCTTGATTAACTGTGACCCAGTGTTTCATCCCAGCAAGGCAATAAAAAGTTTGATTCTATTTTCATGAGGAACTCCTAGAATTATTCTCCTCATTGTGATAAAAAGTACATTTAAAAGAGGGCCCATTATAACTAGCATATCATAAGTAACAAAATATATATAAATACCACACAGTAATCTGTCAATTTGGAGTAGACTCTAGAGTCAAAGTGAATAAAGAAGCTGAATTATGTAATATTCACATAATTATTCAAGCTTATCATCTGTACTACAAGAAAAATATGGAGTTGTGTGGAGCCTCTCAATGTTTTTATTTACTATTATAATTGTATTATTATTATTATTATTATTATGTGAAGCAATTTTCCTTTACTTCAGGATTCTCTGCCTGAAGTACACCCTGGTGTCTTTATTTAAACTACAAATACTGGACTCTTAGTTTCTCACCTGGTTTATTTTTATCAGGGAAATATTTAACATACTCAGCAATAGTATTTTAATATCAAAATAGATAACATGGCTGTTTCCCCTCCTTGAGTTTTTGGTGATGAGTCTTACATTCAAAATACAAGCAAAATGATATTTACCCCTTGAAAGGTTGGCATGTTCACTTTAAATAATTGCAACTACGCTTTCCTTCATTTCCCCACATCTCCAGGGATTCTCTCTCACAAACACAAATGTATCCGGTTTGAGGATGGCCATAAAGGTGAGTAATGATAAAAAATACAGTTGGCTGAACGGTGATTTATCATTTCCTTTTATCCTTCATCAGAACCTTCAATTTTTTAAAAATTAAATTTTTACAGAAGTTTACAGATACTTCTACTATGCCTGCCAGGCTGTTCACATCCCACCTGCAGAGTCGGCCTTTCCACAGGCAGCATTATGGGTCAGATTTAGCAACTGTAGCTCCACAAGTACCAGTTTTAGTACAATGGGGGATAAGCAGACCAGAAGCAGCAACGGCAGAAAGATTTTTTAGACAAAACTATGCGATCACATTTTCATCATTTTATAGCAGGGGGAGATGAAATTTTACACTGTGTTAGCTAAATTGGCATACTTGGTAGGTATAACAAACTAGTTATGAGATAGTGTAGTCACAGAACAGTGATCACTAGTCACTCACGGAGATTAATGTTTAGCATTGTCTTTTAAATCCAATATCAGTAAAATAAGGATCAATGCTTGAAAAATAAAGGTCATGGACTCTTTATTTGTTATGTTAACCATATGATTCTGGCTTCTCCAGCTGCTCGTCCAACCCTCTGACTTCCTGACTTTTCTGAAGGTAGCACTTCTGCTCTCTAATAGGAAGCACTATTTTGGCACAATTAATTTCCACTCTCTCTTTTCTTGTGTTTCTAATACTTATTTTTCTGTCTTCAAAATCACTGGTAAAGAACCCAGAGTTGAAATAAAGGCCAAAAGGCTGTGGCAGGGATGAGACAATGAAGGCCCTGAAGAGTTTTAAGAATATTGTCCAATTCACCACTATCCAGAACCATTCCCAGATTTTAAACAGTTTGACAAGAAGTTATTTCAAGACCGTAATGCATGTTCTATGGCCAGAGCAGCAACATGAATGAAAACGGTTTAAACATCAACAAAAGATGGATTTGTAGGGCTCGCTAGATATTTTTTCCCCACCATCTTAGTCTCCAAGACCCCAAATCCTGCAAGTTACAAAGCTTGGGTGACACCCTGCCTATGCAGAGACCCACTGGCATCAAGGGGTTCTATGTGGGCATAGGGGTCTGCCTGCATGGTTCTGCTTGCAGGATTGGGTGCGAAAAAGACTGCTAAGAAGCCAGGCTTTACACAAAACTGTGAAAGGATCCAGGTACAGTCCAAATAAAATGACTTTGTATTATTGGGAGAAAGAGCTCTGAAAATTCTGATTGTTTCTCACCGGCAAAAGAAAAATGGCTCCAGATAAGTGATCCGTATATGCTGGCAAACCTAGATTTGGTGAAGAGGGAAGAGTGAAATTTGTTAATTAAATACTGAAAATTACATTGAGAATTTGTCTGCTGTTATGTGTCTATGAAAAGCAAGGGACAATGTTTGTAGGATGATGTTTGCAATCTAATTTCCAACAAGGGATGCTGTAAACTAATTGGCACACTTGATGACTGGGATGCAAATTTTAATTCCCAGCCTTGAGGAAACCTGAAAGAATGGTCAAATCTTTCTGTGAAATTCTCAGATGCTTCTATCTCAGGGTGTAAGTCCTTTTTATATAAGTTAACTCAAGGGTTCTCCAAGTGGGATCTGCAAGTATGCAGCTGCAGTTCAGTTCTTCAACTGAGCTCAACAAGGGAGCCTAAAACAGGGCTGTTACCTCCAGGTACTGAGGGAACATAGATCAGACCACAGCCCCACTCTTCCTCCTGCTCCTCACTAGACAAATGGGAAGAGGAGGAAATACTAGAGGGCATCTTGAAATTAGCACCATCCCTTCTTGTCTCTTTCCACTGCAGAGCAAGAGGGCTGCACTGGAAGTCCCAGTTTATCTACCCTTAGCAAAAGGAAATTGGTTTCAGGATCCTGGATCTACAATGAACTAAGCATTAGGAGTGCTGCAGAACTGGGAGCTGGAAATAAGGCACAGGATTGGGGATGGTACTGGAAGGGAGAGAAGTTAGAGTGGAGAAGAATCTTCAAGGGCTGTGTAAGCTATTAGGACCCAAATATTCAGCTGGTGTAAATTAGTGTAACTCTATTCATTCACTGGAGCCACATTAATGTACAGTAGCTCAGGGACCTGGCCCTGCATCTGTGTCTAAATCCGGCACATTGAAATGCAACCACCTCTGGGCTGAGACACAGCAATTGTTTAACAGCCCAAACTATTCAGTAGTTAGGGCAGAAAATGAAGAATACTTTATCCAAATGAAACCAGAAAGGAGGTTTAGATGGAATTAGTTATACTGAAATCTGATGAGGATACTAGGGCTAAAACCCATTACTGGTGAAAAGCTCCATGGGATCTTTTCAGCACAAATGGACAATACTTTAGTTGTACAGCTCATCCTACAGACAGCACCCTCAGCAGCATATTAACACAATGCAAACTTAAGAGTCAAGATTGCAATCTGTTGAATCACCCAAACCTCTTCCTAAGCACCTGGTTTTTCTTTGAAGGTCTTCCATTCCACTACTGAGCAAGTCTAACCAGAATTAGCTCATAGAAATCTGACAAAGTCACAGCTGAGCTGGTGAGTCTGCAGACTTAGTTATCTGAATGAATCGTTCACTCTTCTCTGGAGTATTTTTTCCCCTTACCCTACAATCCTTTATAGTGTTCTACTTACCGAGTCAGTCTTTCAATTATTTCCTGCAAGAAAATGTCAAAATTAATGTGTACATTTTTGTATGTCCTGATTCCAACAGTTTTTATAGAGTTTAAAGCCAACAGGGACTACTAGACAATCTAGTCTAGCCTCCTGCATATCACGGGCCATTAAATTTCATCCAGATATTCCTATATTGAGCCCAGTGACTTTAGGTAGACCAAAGCATTTCATTTCTCAGGAAGTAAACTGTTGTGTACCACAGTCAGAAAGCAGGACAAAGTGAGGTGCTAGCAATACCTGAGGCCTCTGCAATGGCAGAAAATTAATTGGGTGAGATATCCCCAGATGATCCTAGCAGACAATCCACACCCCATCTAAGAGGAAGATGAAAACGCCCCTGATATGCCTGAAAATCTGACATGGGGGGAAATTCTTTCTGAAACCCATATCTAGTGACCAGTTTTACCCTAAGCATATGAGTAAGACCAATCAGTCAGGCATTTAAGAAAAGAGATTTCTCTGTACTACCTCAGAATACTGGTCAGCCCTGTCTAATGTCCCCTCTCCAGCTGTCGCCAATCTCTGATGCTTCAGAGAAAGGTGAACCCGCACCCAAATACATCTGGCCAATTGTGCACCGAGAGAAAAATTCCCCCCTGATCCCTACAGGTGTGTCAAGGTTCCTTCCCCACTCTGAACGCTAGGGTACAGATGTGGGGACCTGCATGAAAACCTCCTAAGCTTATCTTTACCAGTTTAGGTCAAAACTTCCCCAAGGTACAAAATATTCCACCTTTTGTCCTTGGATTGGCCGCTACCACCACCAAACAAATACTGGTTACTGGGGAAGAGCTGTTTGGAAACGTCTTTCCCCCCAAATACTTCCCAAAACCTTGCACCCCACTTCCTGGACAAGGTTTGGTAAAAAGCCTCACCAATTTGCCTAGGTGACTACAGACCCAGACCCTTGGATCTTAAGAACAATGAACAATCCTCCCAACACTTGCACCCCAGCCCCTTTCCTGGGAAATGTCGGATAAAAAGCCTCACCAATTTGCATAGGTGACCACAGACCCAAACCCTTGGATCTGAGAACAATGAAAAAGCATTCAGTTTTCTTACAAGAAGACTTTTAATAGAAATAGGAGTAAATAGAAGTAAAGAAATCCCCTCTGTAAAATCAGGATGGTAGATACCTTACAGGGTAATTAGATTCAAAACATAGAGAATCCCTCTAGGCAAAACCTTAAGTTACAAAAAGATACACAGACAGAAATAGTTATTCTATTCAACACAATTCTTTTCTCAGCCATTTAAAGAAATCATAATCTAACACGTACCTAGCTAGATTACTTACTAAAAGTTCTAAGACTCCATTCCTGCTCTATCCCCAACAAAAGCAGCATATAGACAGACAGAGACCCTTTGTTTCTCTCCCTCTTCCCAGCTTTTGAAAGTATCTTGTCTCCTCATTGGTCATTTTGGTCAGGTGCCAGCGAGGTTACCTTTAGCTTCTTAACCCTTTACAGGTGAGAGGAGTTTTCCTCTGGTCAGGAGGGATTTTAAAGGGGTTTACCCTTCCCTTTATATTTATGACAAGGTGTATAGCTGAAGCCCTGAAGCATGAGCTTAGATGATAATCATCATTTTAATGCAGAGGTACAAGTGTTGTGGACATGTTGAGGGAAATTCAGAGCTTCTTCTTTTCTCAATAGTCCATGAAGGAAGGGAATTAACATGGGGATTCACAGTGCTTTGTGCCAACCAATATACAAAGAGAGTCCGATTCTGCCACCTCTGCTCATGTGGAGTAGTACCTTTCTCACACAAATTGTATCATTTTACTCCACAGAACTACTCATGTGAGTAAGGTACCATTCAACATGAGTTTGGGCAGAAGAAGACTCTAATCTTCTAATTGTATGTAGCAAACTGAAAAGTCTCATTAGAGGCCATTTGTGGTTTAAGGTTATTTTCTTTCTTTGTAGTACATGGTTGTTCATGACCTAGTCACAGCAGAAGAAAAATTAATAAGATTTCAATCTAGTTTAAGGCTCTGCTTCTCTTCTCATTTACATGGTATAATGAGTAACATATCTACCAACTAAAAAAGGAGATCATACATGTGCATAAATTGACAAATTGAATCAGGCCTTGATTACACTACTACCCCTAATTATATGCATTGGTGTAGCTACACTAATGCAATCTCTAGTGTAGACAGGCAAAGACATTATTTGTACCAATGGTGGTGACCCTGGTGTTTCAAACAGGTAAACACCACTGTGTAAACGGTGGCATTGCTTGCCAGCAGCTACACTGTTGACTGTAGTTGGAGCAAATACCCAGTCTAGATATTGCTGATGATGCAGGAGCCCTTAGCCCACTGGGAGAGGAGCTGCAATGCATTCCCTATACTTTTGAGGTCCATACGCAACCATAAGAGAGGAACCACAAGTCCCATTGCCAATTGCTCTAATTCCACCTCCCAGCTCATTGCTCTGCCCTCACACAGAGACCTCCAAAGAGTTAATCAGTCCTCTCACAGTTCCACCATCAGTCATGCCCTCCAAACATGCCTCATTCAGATTCTGCTGCTGCTCCCAGCCCCATTCCTTTCCTTAGGGCTGGGTTTCTCTTCTTCCTTCAGCTGCTCTGCTTCCTCATTCTTCTTGTGGTGCTGGATGAAGTCCAGGAGGGGCTGGGACAGCCAGTCTCTCACTCCCAGGAGAGAGGAAGCCCGGAGGGAGTTTCTTTAGTTCCCTTCTCCATCCCTATCTCATCCTACGGAGGGGCACAGTGCTGGGTGCTAAAGAGGCCTGGCTGCAGAGCTAGTTGGGGAGCAGACAGACTGCATGCTTCAAAAGCACTTCTGGCCTTTTAAAAGAGAGAGAGGAGGGGGCTTTGCCTGCTCCTTGTGCAGAGGAAGGAGGAAACCCATTAGCATGTGGGTACCCCAAATACCTTCTTTTCCTTAGGAGGTGGGGAATGGGGAAGGACAGCCAATCAAACAGACAGGCTTGTAGGCAGGTCTGAAAGCCTGAAGTCTCTGGGGAGAGCCTGACTTCAGTGGAATTACACCAGCGTCAAACTGACAGGAAAATCAGGAGAACCCTAAGGGCCAGATACTGCCAACCTTACTCATGTTGACTAGTAACCTGCTCTGTGAATACTGCTAGTGGATTTATTGGGATTTTCTACTTACTCATTGTGAGGAAAAGTGACATAATCTGTCCCTACCTGTATAAAGTGTGCACAAATTACCATTCTTAAGAAAATCTTGGCCTCCCACAATATCAGCATCTACAATTTCAACACTGATCTCCAATCTTTATACTCCATTTCCACTACTCTGCTTCCAACATACTGATCTGTGATTCCAAAAGATAAAACTTCTGCCTGTCTTCTCCTGTTCCCTCAGGTTACACTGCACTCTTGAAAGCCTACCCCTGATTGAGAAAAAGAAATATTGCCCTTTTGATCCCCCCTCTTGCCACACATTGAAATCCAGAGGCTCCCAAATACTTTTAGCCTCAGCAACACCTATAAATAGTCTTCACAAACTAAGAACAGACTTCTGCTGTGTGGAAGGTCAGTGGAATTACCTTTTGTAAAGTCCAGCAAGTGTAGAAGTGATTACAGGACTGGGGCCTATATCTGTGCTGGTCTCATATCATTCAGGACTTTATTACACATTACCCTTTCCACTTACTGTACTGAGAAGCAGGTCCACCGACAGGGATGGCAAAGGGGGCAATTGCCATGGGGCCCGGGCGATTTAAAAGGGCCCGAGGGCCTCCAGCCGCCACCACTGCTGCGGTAGCGGTGGCCAGGAGCCCGGGCCCTTTTACATTACCCGGGCAGGCCGTAGGGCTCCTAGGCGTGTGCGGGGTGGTACTGGCAGTGGCGAAGGCAGCTGGGTGGGCATGTGGTAGCCCAGGCCATGCCAACTAACTGTTCTGCCCAGGAGCCAGAATTGCTGTTGGCGGGCCTGCTGAGAAGTTTTAATCATAGCTAAAACTTTGAATTAAATCAATTTAAAACAGAGCCACATTAAGAAATGAAGAAACAGACTTTATTCAGCTCCTCAGGCTAATTTACCACTTCCTTCTATGCCATTCATGCTGACCCACTAGATAATGGTTTAATAGGTTACATTTTTCTTTTTTGCTGCATTTACTGCTAATCATGAAAAGGCAACATTCAAATACAAAGAATATTTTCATGACCACAAAGTAGCAGGAATAGCCAAAGCCTCTTGCAATACCTACTGATCACTCATTGTCATCTTTTGACCAGAAGGAGTATTGATAGAATCTCTTCATCTAAAGCTCTTAAGTATATTGAAATACTCTTGCACCGCTTACCGTAATTTGGTGGTTTTGGAAGATGTGACAAGACTGATAAAAGATGACTTGGCAGCATCTTTGGAGCAAAAGAACAGTCAATTTTAAATGTATGATTCTACAGGTGATTAAAGGGAAAATTCTGCCCTCAAATGCACACATATAGCTTTCATTGAACCAAGGAGAATTGTACACACACATCTAATTTGTGACAGAATTTGGCCCTTGAATCTAACCCAATAAAAGATTATATGTCAAGTATAAAGAAAGTCTCTACTTACAAACTAAAATTATCAGCAGCAGAAAGGCCAACAAAGTGGCAAAGCGTCCTCCCAGAAAGCATCTGAAATCATAACAAATACCCTAGTTTTTAGATTGTACGATGGACAGATATTGGGTCAACACAATAAAATAACTGGACACATTCCAAGATCAGCCTTCAGTCAGCTACCTTCAGCTAAGGACTTCAACATTCCCAGACTTGTAATGGGAGGCAGGGGCTGGGAAGAGACTAGTGTCATGGAATGTGATAGAATGTTTACCCCACACAGGCCAGGAAAGGGTTAATATGGGCCTGAGAAAGACCATGGTAGGAAGAAACCAAGGGGACCAGCGGCAAGGAGTTGGACTAAGCAGACTCTGGCAGCTGGTTATAGGGTCTTGGGCTGGAGTTCAATGTAGTGAGAGGCCCCAGGTTCCCCTACCAGTCACTTGTATGGTAGCACGAGGCCAGAGAAGGGGACAAGGAAAGCAAGGGAGGACAATGGGGCCCAGAATCTAGACTGAAGACCTGATACAAGGTCTCAAACGTTAGTTTGTTGGTCTTTGTTACCCTGAAAGGGTTCCCTTCTCAAACTTTCAAATACCCTGTCCAAATATATGTCTTGCACAACCCAAAAAAGCATCTCGATGCTAATGCAAGTTGTATTGAATATACAGAATCCTGGGGAAATAGATGAAAGTCACAGAAGATAGGGAAATTCGTGGTTTTTTGAGAATCAGGTGAGCCATGACTATAATTTCAAACTTGGCACTTGTCTGCAGCCAGGTATCTCAAAAATTCCATTATGATGCTGATCACTTCTGCATTCACAAGTGCGTTCTTTTTTATTTCATATGACAATATTCTTATGTACTGAATCTGGGCTAGTATGTATTAAGAAAAAACAAATGCGAAGGAATATATAGGACTATGTTTTGAAATTTTCCTCTCCAGCGTAACACATAGCTACTCAGTGTGGCACTCTGTCCCCTCTAGTGCCTAGACCAGCTGGAGATTGATGAGCCTACTATAGCCTTAGCTAAGAGAGATGTATCTTTTATCTCATGCAGTAGAGGCTCATGCATTAAGCTCCAGAGGTTCCAAGTTTGATCCTGGCCACCAATGACTGGAATCTGTTGGCATTATAAGTGATACCAGTTTCAATGGATTTCTTCTATTCCCATCACTGACATTGAAACTAACCTTTTCCCAGTGACTCAAACTCAGAGTTCCAGACCCAACTGAGCTCACTAGGGTATGTCACTAGGGTATGCCACCAAAGTCAGGCCCTTAGAGCGATTACTTTTAAAAAACAACAACGCAAAACAGGTTCATAATCCCAGAAGTGTGTATATAGGTGGGGGGTGAGGGGGGAGAGGTCAGGGGTGCCTCTCCATGTGGCCTTGAAAACAGCTAAACTCTTTTTTTCCCTCAAACTTCCAAATAACAATAAAGTGCTCCTAAATTATGAATAAATATGCAAAAATTCAGCCTGAAAGATAATGGCTTGACAAAACTATAACTATCTGAAAATGACCCATTAGAATGAAATAACTTAGACAATCTTAATTATAAGCAGTGCTCTATGTTCCACCTATAATAATAAAACTAAACCATACAGACTACAGACAGCAAATTAGCACCAAAGAATGGAAAAGGAAGCAAGAATGGATTTCCCGAAGTTCCAATTCTCTTTTGTTCAGCTTACAGAAACCTTGCTAACTGGGATGTTTGGTTATGCATCAAGTCAAAGAAATAAAAATCTGTAATATGTGCAGTGAATAGCTCTCAAAGATCATCTTTGTCTTTTGGGTTCACTGTTTTCTACATTTTAAAATTAGATACATAAAATTACACTCAATTTTATTAGACTTGATTAACATCAAAAGGGAAAGTAGCCTAACTAGATAATTTAGTTCTTAGAGGATATTTACTTGTAAAATTTATTTGAAAAGACATACATTACAACTTAATACCATTAAACTAAAAAAATTTTTGAAAAATGGTAGTATTTCCCAATAATATTTCCTATATAATTAATTGCATAACTCATATGCCAGACATGCTAAATTATTGTGCACAATTTGGAATAGATATCTGTACACCTAATTTATGCAGGCTAAGAGCAGATTTGTGCATACATATCCTGCATTTGCACAGAGCCAGTTAGGTGTCACATCTGCATCCAAACACCTAATTTGTGTGCACACATCAAATATTTGCTTGCAAATGCATCTTTGAAATAGTGCATGTCTAACTTTGAAAAGCAGGCCCTAAATGTCATGTTTTATTCACCAGTTGGTATTTTATATAAATAAATAAAGCATGATTATAATGAAGATGAAATCAAAATTACCTTGCATACACTGAAATGATTAAACACGTGGACAGCATAATCATTTGATAAATGACATTTCTCACTGCATTGGATTCTAATAAAAAAGGAAACAAATTAGAAATAATAATTCTTTTTTCTGGACATACTAGAATACAAGAAGCAGGTCCTTCCTTCCAGCTGCCCTCCTCTGAAACTATGAACCTGAAATTCAGTGAAGGAAGAAGTATTTGTGATAAAAAAGATGCTTTACCAAAAACTTTACTATGATATTCACCATGGGCTAGCTCCACAGAAGTCAATGGGAGTCTTCAATGGGGGGTTAAATCAAACCCACTAGAGGCAAACCCAATTATTCTATACTCCATATAGACAGACTATACGTCTGCATTCTCTTTTTTGAAAGCTGTAAAGTCTGCTGAATCGAATTCTAAGTGTCATATAAAAATATATTCTCCCATAAATTCTTCCTTACCTTAACTGGACAAATATTTTTGACAATGGACATAAGGATGTACATGGAAATGGCCATGAGAAGTATTCATAAATGTAAAATAATCACCTTAACAAATTTAAAACATAATTTGTTTTTTAGATTTTGCAATAACTAGAACAGTGTAAATTTACAAATCTTAAAATTTGGGAATTTATTTGCTAAAGGGACCAAGAAAAGTTTAAATTCATCAAAAAATGTCAAGGGGTCTTTTTAAAATGTCCATAATTCAAACAAATTAACAGATTTTTATTTTTATTCACAGATTTTATTTTTAAATTCTCAAAAAATATTTTTACATTCAAAGACCAGGATGAAATTCTAGCTCCATTGACGCCAATTGGAGTTTTGCCATTGACTTTGGCAGAGCCAAGATTTCAGCCAACGTGCCAGAAATTTGTGGAAGATTTACTATATATCAATAGAATAGTATAATCATAAAACAGGCATTAAATCTAAAGTGAAAATCTCAATACAACCATGTCCAATGAGCAGTTAAGGCAACTATATATTATTAATTTATTAGTATAAAAAAATTGTTTGTTTTTTTTCAAATTAAAATTTTGCAAAAATCTCCAGTTTCAAAAAAGGCCATTTTTCAATACCATGTTTTTCCATTTGAAAAAAGTCAACCAGCTCTAAAAATAACAAACTGAGAAGGAAAGAACATAACTCACTTGAATGATCCAAAGTCTCTTCATGGAAATACCCATCTACCATAAACTGGGAGCAAGGAGAGGAATCACTGAACTGTTTTCTTGACTGAATGAACACCACATCTTTAGAAAAAGAGGAGTCATCAGCTGCTGGTGTTTGCTTTTGTGACATCCAGATTTTGCATTCAGAAGAAAATTCAGAGTCATCTGCAAGAGGCACATCTGCAACTTTCCTAGCTCATAGTAACGGAAAGGGGTGGAGAATCTGTGCTGATAGATTTTTAAGATAAGAAATGACTCAATCACAAGGATTTCTCTGAATTGTTAGTGATATGGAATTGGCACAGACCCATTATATGTAGGAAAATGCAGGGGGAAAGAAGCAGACTAAAGACAAAACTTCATAAATTTTAACAAAGTGAGGATATAAAAACTCAAACTGAAAACAGCAATGGGCCAAATGATCAGATTTAATACAGGAGTATCTCTCATTTTCACTGGCTTCCTATCCAAAGTCAGTTTCAAAAGGCCCTCCTAGGTTATAAAGATCTCCATGGATTCAAACACTGTGACCGTCTCATGTTACTGGCTCAATTTGCTCTGCAAAATTCTGTCTCTGGTCTGTCCTCGAAATCAGTGGTTTTCAAAATTCGGGTCGCAACTCAGTACAGAATGCAAGGCACTGTGTCTCCTTGCTCAGCACCCAGGGACCCTGGTGGCTGGCCACTAAAAATTAGTAGTCCCTATCTGTTCTGACACCGCGCTGCACCCCGGAAGCAGCCAGCAGCAGGTCCAGCTCGTACGCAGGGGGCCCATGGGGCTCCGCACGCTGTCCCCGCCCTGAGCACCGGATCCACACTCCCATTGGCCAGGAACCGGCCAATGGGAGCTGGGGGGTGGTGGGGCCTTCGGGCGAGAGTTGCACGGAGTTTGCTGCTGGCCGCTTCCGGGGCGGGAATAGGCGGGAAGCCTGCCTCTGCATCCCGCTGCGCTGCTGACCGGGAGCCTCCGGAGGTAAGCCTGCACCCCAACCCCATGCCCCAATCCTCTGCCCCAGCCCAGAGCCCCCTCCTGCACTCCAACCCCCTCATCCCCAGCCCCACCCCAGAGCCTGAACCCCCCAGCCCAGAGCCCTGACCCCCTCCCAGACCCCAACCCCCTGCCTTAGCCCAGAGCCCCCTCTCACACCCTGAACCCCTCATTCCCAGCTCCACCCTGCAGCCCTCACCCCTGCACCCCAACCCTCTGCCCCAAACCTGAGGCTCCTCCTCATCTCCAGCTCTGTTGGGTCGCAGACGTTAAAAATTTTCTTCATCTGGGTCGCCAGAAAAAAAGTTTGAAAACCACTGCTCTAAATGCTGATTTGAGCAGAGTCCCCCCGCAAAACCAAGGAAATAGTTATCCACCGACAGTGATCCCGTCATTAACAGACAAGCCTAACTAAATACAGCACATACTAGCGATGTTACTGTGGGCTTACCATTGCCATAGTGTGGATTGGCATCTAGTTTATTATCTCCATCATTCCAAATCTCCTCTACATGAGGAGACTCCATATTGCTAAGGACAGTGCTGTTAAGCCATGAATTCGAGGCACTGAGACTGAACAGACTAGCAAGAGAGCGACGGATTTTCTTCCTTCTCCTGAATATTCTAGAAAGGAAAGAAATAACCATGTTTTAAAGGGATGAGGCAAACTACTTTTATTTATAAAACAGTGTAACAGGGTTCACGTTACGCCCCTGAGTATTTAGCCCCTGCGCCTCCCCCCTTCAATGAGTCAGGGACACTTCAGTCTGGTGCAACACCCGTGCTCTTTATTCTCAAAAGGTTTTCCACCACCAATTCCCAACTATATACAGGCTTCACAACTACTTTGCGTACAACAGACTAGGAGGCTCCCACTTCCTTCTGTGCTGTGCTGGATCCGGATCCGGACCTTTTCCCTTCCCCCCTTCTCTGGCTTCCTCTCAGCCTTTATAGCTCTGGACTAATAAGACTGACAGGTGCGTCCAGCTACCAGGCTATTCACCCATTCCCAATCCATTCCCCTTGATTGGGCCTGGAGTGGCAGAAGCTGATTAAGAGCTTCTCAGCTAGCGTCCTGCCACAAACAGGAACACGGTCTACAGGTCAGAGTACAGGCCTACGACTCAGGCATCCTGCGGTCTGTTCCTTGTTCTGCCACAGGTTTGCTCTTGGGCTTGTCATTACATTTCTCAATGCCATTGTTTCTGCATCTGTAAAATGGGTCTAACAATGTTTACTTCTTTTACCAGGGTGTTCTGTGGTTTAATAGTTTCCAAACTACCCTGAGCTCCTTGGGTGAAAAACCACTAGACACTAACATTATAGGGCCAAATTTTACAAGCTTTCCTCAGGTAACACCACTATTGAAGTCATGTGGGAGTTTTGCCTGAATAAGGATTGCAGGACAGAACCTGTTCTTTTAATTTTCTTTTTTATTCTCCGTCATGGTAATACCCTCTCGGGAGCAGGACAGTAACACTTCTTTTTCTGCAGAGATTGTCCCTCTTCCTTGGGCAAACCATTTGTTTTGCTGTATTTCTAAAAACTGCAGCTTTAGGTTTACTGTTCTGCCCATGTCCCATTATCGATTAACTCTCTAGAAAGGCATTCACGCATAGAAACAGCGTTGGTTAGTTTTGCGCTGCCGATGAGCATCAGGAGACACATCACAAATGTATTGGGTTATGGCCATAACAAAATGGAACAACGACTACCCTCAATTTTTTTAATTCTGGGCAAGTGAGTGATGAAATTACAAAAATAAAAGTTGATATTTAAAATCCAGAGTAATTTCCATATCAAATAAAACATGTTTTATAGCAAATACAATTTGGAGCCTTCCATATGTAATACAGCATGAATTTATTGGACAAAATCTTAAAGCACAATTCACTTTTTGCTCAGTCCTCACTCAGGCAAACCTCCTAATGGCCCACTGAAAATTACACATTTGCTATATTTTGAAAATAATGATAGTTTGAAGGTGAGACAAACAAAAAAATCTTGAATTTCCTTAAAATGTTTGTTATACTTACTTTTGGATTTGCTCTTATCCTTCTTTTATATTGGAAAGAATTGAAGTCACCCTTTTGGAACACTAAATATTTCAGCAACAGGTGAAAAGCCACAAATTTCTGAGCAACTGTACCTCTCTTTTATATTTACTGCAGAGAGCTCCCATCACAGTAACATCTGTGTGCTTAAAACTTTTGAGATAATGTTATAAGGCATGACTCTGAAGACCACGTGATTTTAACCACTGCAGTCTCTCTGAATTATACTACTTGGTGTGTTCCATTGCTATTAGGAAAAGGAATCCAGATATAGAAATAACGGAAGGAGCTAGACATAGACTCATGGGACTGGAAGGGACCTCGAGAGGTCATCTAGTCCAGTCCCCTGCATGTACTGAGCATTATAGTCATATGCTGACAGCCAACCAGAAATCTCCAAGTTAAGTCCAGAGTTAAAAAGCCAACATCCAATATTAAGTAAAATGTATGTGACTCACTTACCTAACTAATTTCTCCTTATAGGTAACACTTGTCTGTGATGGGGTCAGTGTTACATTACCATCTTCATCAGACACAAAACTGTCTTCCGTCAAAATGTAATAGCCATTAGTAAGAAGCCGAGGACTACGGCGACATGTGAAAAGAGACCCTGTCAAGGGATTTATGGAACAACATTCATAGGAGGTGTCACTATCCAGAAAGGCATAAGTGTAACTGAAAAGGAAAGAAATAAAGCTCTCTAAGTTAGTATATGTCTATTTAGCACAGGGGCATAAATGTTAACACACGATTGAATGATAATGTTTTTAGATTACACATCACTTTTCATTTTAATAGCTCCCAGAACACTATAGAGTTGTGTAACAGGGTGGCTTGCCCTTATGGGTTAGAGACCTGAGGGCAGCCAGCCCTGATTACTAAGGAGGCACATGGGAGCAAGGCTCACCTGATTGCCCTATAAAGGGCAACAGGAAGCTTCAGAGAAGAGGTGAATGCTCAGGGAGAAACAGACAGAGGGAAGAAGCTGCAGGAAGTGAGTCTCTGGCTGTACTCCCTTCTCCAGCTGGGTACTTTGGGAGTTGTGGCTGGGTAGAAAGCCCTGGCTGGAAGATCTGTTTTCTCACGAGAAGAAAGCAAAGAAGGCAGGCCAGGCCTTGCATCTTCTCCAGCTGCTCAGAGAGAAAAAAGACATAGCTCTCAGGAGGAGGGGCTGTTCCCAGCTTAAGACTGGAGTGGAAGATGTCTGTTTATTTGTGAACAAAATCAGACCCTAAGATGGGCTGTTATTATTGGATTCATGAAAGCCTGTGTGGAGTTTATCTAAGAAGCCCCTTGAAGAGGGAAACTGAGGCAAGGGGCTGCTTGTAGGGCCACCCTGAGGCCAAAAGGATGGAGGAGGCCACTCACTCACAAGCTGTAACAAAATGACATACAAACTATACACAGAGATCACTTCACCCACTGCTGAAATGCAACCATCTCTGGAGTTAAATGTAGCAACTGCTGAATAAAACACACCAGACAAGTATTTAAGACAGAAGTGGGTAACTTTTTCCACTGGAACACAAGAGGACTGTTAGGTAGGCATAATGTACGTTCCTGATTTTGGAATTGGGTCCCAATCCTGCGAGGTGCTGAGTACCCACAACTCTGAGTGACTTCATTGGGATTTGAGGGTGCTCAGCACTTTACAGGGTCAGGCACTAATACCGATATACATTTAATAGAATCATAGAATCATAGAATATCAGGGTTGGAAGGGACCCCAGAAGGTCATCTAGTCCAACCCCCTGCTCGAAGCAGGACCAATTCCCAGTTAAATCATCCCAGCCAGGGCTTTGTCAAGCCTGACCTTAAAAACCTCTAAGGAAGGAGATTCTACCACCTCCCTAGGTAATGCATTCCAGTGTTTCACCACCCTCATAGTGAAAAAGTTTTTCCTGATATCCAATCTAAACCTCCCCCACTGCAACTTGAGACCATTACTCCTTGTTCTGTCATCTGCTACCATTGAGAACAGTCTAGAGCCATCCTCTTTGGAACCCCCTTTCAGGTAGTTGAAAGCAGCTATCAAATCCCCCCTCATTCTTCTCTTCTGCAGACTAAACAATCCCAGCTCCCTCAGCCTCTCCTCATAAGTCATGTGTCATTTGTCAGTATCAGTACAAGCAGGTATTGATCTTTCAGCAAACAGTCCCAGAGATAGTGGGAAACTCATCAAGTTCTTGAAAACTGGCAAAAGGTGAGTAATAGATAATTGTACAAAGATCTCTACCAGGGATAAGAGATGACAGTATTGTAATGCAAGGGCTGGGGTGGGCATGCACCACTGCCCTGTTGGACAGAATCTGAAATGAACAACTATGTCATATACCATATGCTACAGTCACTTCATGGGGATTCTACCTTAGTGCAAGTGGTTGGGGCTTGTGTTTTTCAAGCAGGAGTATCTGAATTCTATCCCCACTGTAGCTTTGAAGTTTCAAGTGGCCATGGATTTGCAGCAGTGATATCTGTGAAATGCAATGTGGCCGTGCTTTAGTGTGGTAATAGCACCCTAATCATAAATAGTTGAAATAGGAATTTTAGAAATGTTTTTCAAACACAAAGGAAAAATAAAATGAAACAAAGGATAGTTTTACTCCATACCTTGGCAAAATGTGTTCAGGGGACAGACTTTGCCTGGGCTCTTTATCAGCCACTGAAAAACCTGTTGAGACAAAGACCAGATAAGGAGACGCCCCAGCACCAGCTCACCACGCAGGCATTTCAAGTGACACTAGAAGCAGCTGACTGGTTTTCACTAACAATATGCCTTGATGAAATTGAGAGAAGAAAATTAGGAAAGGAAAAGAGACTAAAGGAAAGAAAACAGAGTGATGGTGGGTAGATAAAATGAAACCTCATATAATTTAGACTTGTATAGCATCATTCCAAAGAGTAGCATGAATCAAAGCTGATTACAGTCAATAAATCCAAGTTGCCAATATACTGCATAGCTTAGTGTCTTGTGGGAAGTAAATCCAGTCACATACAAGGGAATAGGTCCAGCACTCTTAATGGCATTGTCTGATTCACATCATGAACAGTTCACTCACTGATTGATTCTTTACACATTACAGATTTGTATTTTATATACATTAGTGTCTGCTGATATAGTCTGTTACAATTTTATACAAAAACCTCTGTAAAATCTTAACTTTTCAATCAATGGGAAAACATTACATCCAAAGAAAGAAATTCATATTCACTTTAGAAGGCAATCCCTCATGTGTAAGGACACAATCCCTGACAGGTGGTTATTAGATTCCAGTATAAACCCAAAATGGCAAAATCCCAGTTAAGAAAGCCCAGAGAAATGCCTATATATTTACGTGCTGCTGGTGTTGACATTAGTTGGGATATTCGATACATCTTGAGAAGGTCTGTTGCACACACTTTGGAGCTACATGTATCATAGATTATCTGCAAGAGATTTTAAAGGAAAGTTGGTATTTATTGAAAAGAGAGAGTTACAAGGTATAATCAGGAATGGACATTACATTACTAATTCCTAATGCTGTATTCCATTAGATGTGAGTCTGATCCTGCTATCCTTCCTCACTGATTTCAAGAGCAAATTTGTTCAAACTCTATTTGGTCAATTGCAGTCTCTTTGCAATCTGCAACTGTGATCTCTTTCCTAATATTTAAATCCATGATGTACAGTATAGATAGACTTACAATTGTCCTACATGCACTACCGTATTTACTTTATTTTCTCAATAATATGCTTTTGAATCACTGTTATGAAAAATAAAAAGCACTGAATGAGAAATACAGTTTACATACAATATCTTACATATCTCTAGTGCTTTGCATGAGAGAATATCACAGTGCACTTTACAAACTGGTATACAATCTATGGTTTCTACCCTGCAAATACTTAGGCCTGTGAGTAGTCTAATTAAAGTTACTCAGGTGACCATGGTTTGTATGTAGGGATCACATCACCCAACACTGAGAGGCAGGACAACTTGAGGGGAAACATAACAGCTGTTTAACAGAATGTAGCAACACTACAAATCCGTTTAGGATAAGATGCGAGGGAGAAATGCATCTCCATATGCAGATTAGTGGGAATGTGATGTATTTCTCCCAATTATACACATCCTCAAGAACAGTTTAAGAACACTTGTGATTTACAAAGCAATGTTTTTCTGTGCAATGATTTTACACAGAGTTGCTTTCCCAGAGTCTTGAAAACACTGGAGAAAGGATGTTCACTTCATTTTGCAAACAGTACTTTACACAACCCCACTTTTATTTATTGTTAGGCTTGAAAGGATTAGGTTTTGTCTGTAAATGTCAGTCAACGTTGACTTCACTGTACACACACACACACACACCCCAATGAAGAAATATTTTCACTCATAATAATCCCAATTTACAGATAAGCGAAGGAAGAAAAATGCCATTTGAGAACTTATTAGCATTTGATTTCGGGATATTTACTTTGTATATTTTGAAATGTGATGTTGATATTTTGTGTTTTAATGGTTATAAAGCTTTATCCTATAGAATCTCAATGTCTACTATCATTTAAATAATTGTCTGCTCCCCATTGTGTGATTCCCCCTATAATTTCCCACAACTGAAAATTTAAATAACTAAAAATAGGAAAAAAATGCTTAAACCATAATTTCACACAACTGTTAAAATGTAAATAGACAAAAATTCTAAAAAATGCTTAAAATAAATATTTGTATGCAGTGTAATTGTAGCCATGTCGGTCCCAGGATATTAGACAGACAAGGTGTGTGAAGTGGTATCTTTTATCAAACCAACTTCTGTTTGGTCTTTTTTATCAGCCCAAGCTTGTCTCTCTCACCAAACAGAAGTTGATCCGATAAAAGATACGACCTCACCCACCTTGTCTGTAAAATAAACATTGATATTATCCATCAAAATAAAACAAAATCTAATTCTGCCAAATTATTCATGACTTAAAGTAAGTTTCTATGCTCTTATAGTATCATAAACTACCGTTACAATGTAACCAAATCAGAACAAAACATATCAATTTCCACTTTGCAATTACTTTAAGTAATATTTAACATTAAGTAATATTTGTGACCCACAACACAAAGAGTCCTGTAGTTCAACAAATATCTTTTAAATGAACATATGACGGAAGACCAAATATGAACTACCTAACTTAAAAATAAACAAAGCTAAAGGCAAGTCAGCAACATTTTATGGCAATCATTCAAATCAAAGTTTATTGAGTCTACAACACTGCCCAGTTCTGCAATTTAATCACTAAAATGTAAGCATGAAAGCTTCTGTCTTTCTACTCAGAATGTAGAAAACAATTTACTTTAATCACTTTCCTTGGTGATAATCAAACTGGTCCTTAAAACAATGATACCTTCAGTTGGTAACTAGCCAATCCCTTGTGCATGTTGCACTCTACACTGTAAATATTTACATCAATATGTATCAACACACATAATTAGCAGTTAAAATTATTTAAGCCCAAGTACTTAACCTATTCAGATAACAAATATTGCTCTCTTATCTTTTGAAATACAGTAATGTCTATGAGAAATAATTGTATTTGTTCATACATGTCACTGTTTGAAGGGTATTTTAGTCTATTCTCTTTACTGGTAGTGATGAAAGCATTTACCGAAATGTACAGCTTCTTGAAGAGCTGACTGTAAATGGAGAAATCCAGGGCTCAGTTATTCCTCTGTTGATCAAAGTAATAAAACATCAACATGTGTAAAATCTTCCAAACCTGGAAAAGCCATTTCACTATTAACAAACGTATGCAAGAAGTTTTTCATCAAAAAGAGTCTCTGGAATGCAACTGTAGGGTGCTCCTTATGCTGCTTCCTGGAACAGAATAGCTCTGAGGTCTTTGAAAAGGCAGGTCTATAAAGCCCCTTGTTTCCTTTCAAAAACAGACTGTGCAATCAGAAGCAAAGAGGCAGAATGAGGTCATTCTTCCTGTTAAGTAGCCTCACATCACAAGCATTCATTTTGAAGAGTAAATTGAAGATTAAGATTAGGCAAGTGAACAACCCTGCAGGGTGTTGCAAAATGCAAGATATGCCAGCTTTAAATAATGGTCTATTCTATTTATATCATGGTGCACAGAACCAGCACCTTGTCTGTGATGCTTGTAAAAACAGCTGATACAACTTTTTACCATATCTTTTATTTATAAATCTGATACAGTCATGACTCAGTATACTTTACAGTCATGTAGTCATATCACTTAGTACAACACTAATGCTGGGAGATTTGAAGGCTTTGATTGCATTACTATGCCTAAAATAATCCTGTTTTACCCCCCAAAATCCCTGAATGTTAGCAAAATCCCATCCAAGAGCACTGCTGTACAGAAGAAACATCAGTTAATATTTCATAGTTCAGTAGCAGTTCACTTGGTTTTCAACAACCACACTGTGGCTGATCATAACAGAATTATGCAGATGTTAGGTAAAAGTACTTCGGAAGATGAAATAAATATGGTCAGGGAAATATTTATAAACAAAGCCATAGCCACTACACTTCAATGATGCATAAAAGAACAGAAGAAAGAATACCACTAATTCCAACTGAAATAAATTTAGTCTGAATGACTAATTCTAACAATCAGAATTATTGGACTGTAGAATAGTCTCCAAAGGGAAATGGAAAACCCCATCACTTGGGTCATTTAAAATTACACTGTTGTTGGGACCAATCTTATTCAGGCAGAGGAATAAAATGACCTGATAAATATTTTCTGTCTCTGACTGCTATGACTTAATGTATGTCAGACAGAAGGGTAATAGATTAATAGTATTATAAAAACAAATATGTAATATCGGACTTCATTTTTTCCTGAAGAAAGTGAAAAAAATTCCTTCTGTTGATGTAGTCCCAATAAATGAAAGCAAGCTGCCGAGTTAAAAAAAAATAACCAGCAGTAATCTGGCACAGGTTATTGCAAAGCATTTCAGTATTACCACACCCATCTGAAATGTTTCACTTAAGGTCCTTCCACTCCATACTGAAAACTGAGGGCCAAATTCATCCTTGGTGGAACTTCCTTCACTTCAGTGCATTTACCCCAAAGGTTAAATTTAGCCCCAAATGAGTAATGCTTCCATGGTTGCATGAACTTTACAACAGTCTGAATAAAACCACCAGCAGCATGAAGTCTTCGTATAGTGGAACAAAGATGAAGGAAACTGTTATATGTTTTGTTCAGGAAACTGAATGTCTTTTGTGTTCCAGAAAAATATGCCTTTACTGTAATTTTACCAAGCACACATGTATAAAAGATACACATCCGTCTATGTTAAAGGTACACCATCAACTTTTAAAAAAATCAAATTCCTATCTGAAAATGTTTTATATTTATTGTGGTAACTCATGGTAGAGGCCCTACAGTTTAGATTGAGTTCTAAAATAGGGCATAAATTCCTGTTTTTCTCTAAAAGTAGGTGGCCTGTAGATATGTTTTCTATGCTCTGAATTCTCTGTGTAGTTTTTGTTTTATTTTTTTCCCTTCGTACATTTTCAATAGGAAGTCTCTGAAAATGAGCTCTGACTGACTTATTTCCTGGGTAATCTGACCTTTCATTGTTCGCCGATGTCACAAATATAAAGGGAAGGGTAACCACCTTTCTATATACAGTGCTATAAAATCCCTCCTGGACAGAGGCAAAGTCCTTTTACCTGTAAAGGACTAAGAAGCTCAAGTAACCTGGCTGGCACTTGACCCAAAATGACCAATGAGGGGACAAGATACTTTCAAATCTGGAGGGGGGCGGAAGGCTTTGGTCTGTCTGTGTGATACCTTTGCCCGGAACAGATCAAGGATGCAAGCTCTCCAACTCCTGTAAAGTTAGTAAGTAATAAAGCTAGAAAATGTGTTAGGTTTTCTTTGTTTTGGCTTGTGAAATTCGCTGTGCTGGAGGAAATGTGTATTCCTGTTTTTGTAACTTAAGGTTTTGCCTAGAGGGAATCTCTGTGTTTTAAAAAATCTGACTGCCTGTAAGATTATCTTCCATTCTGATTTTACAGAGTTGTTCTCTTATCTTTTTTTGTTCTTCTAATAAAGTTCTGTTTAAGAATCTGATTGGGTTTTTTGGGTCTTAAAAATCCAAGGCTGGTTGGCGCTCATCTTGTTTATTCTCAAGCCTCCCCAGGAAAAGGGGTGTAAGGGCTTGAGGGGATATTTTGGGGAAATAGGAACTCCAAGTGGTCCTTTCCCTGTTCTTTGTCTAAATCACTTGGTGGTGGCAGCATACTGTTCAAAGACAAGGCGAAATGTGTGCCTTGGGAAAGTTTTTAACCTAAGCTGGTAAAAATAAGTTTAGGGGGTTTTTCATGTGGGTCCCCACATCTGTACCCTAGAGTTCAGAGTGGGGAGGAAACCTGACAGCCGATATCTTTAAAAAAATATTGTCTACCTGCACAAACTTTGGTAGCCGTGCATCCTTACTAGGTCTGGTGCAATGGGTAGTTTTTGAAAAGAAATAATCTGAATTTAGGGTCAATGTTAGCCTTTAACTTTCAGTTATAATCAATGTGCCAAGGATTGCTGATGCATAAACTTTGCATGCTGGTTCATGCCTAAGCCCTTCTTCCTCAGAACTTCAGAAGCCATGCTTTTCTGTCAGATTTTATACTACTATTGTGAAGGATTTTATGTTCCATTTCAGGCACAAAAGAGAAAAGTTTCATGAGCAGATACACAGAATAGAAGAAGGTTTATGTACAGCTGCATTTTTACTCCTCAGTTTGCCCCCAAGCCACCTCATACTTGAAAGGCCCACTCTTCGTTTAAACAATAAAAAAAAAGGAAATCAGTATGCAAAAAGCTTTGTTATGAAGCAGTAGCAAGGCTCTACACACATAGCATATCTGACACAAAACCACAAAAGCAAGAAAATGAAACCTAATAGTACATATCCTGTACTCCTCCCACAGACACACACTTTATTGTTGCCAAAAGAGCTGTACACCAGAGTCCATGCACGGCAGCCATAACTATGTCCCCCTTGCAATGTCAGCTGCCTATCGCTCGCTTTACCAAGTTACCCTGTCTCGACACAGGGAAGTGGGGGACCTGGGGAAGTGAGGAAACAGATTGACAGAGCGAGACGGGTACCCAGAAATCACCTACTACAGGACAGGCCCCACAAGGAAAACAACAGAACACCACTGGCCATCACATAAAGCCCCCAGTTAAAACCTCTCCAGCACATTATCAACAGTCTACAACCAGGGCCGGCTCCAGCCACCAGCTTTCCAAGCAGGTGCTAGGGGTGGCATTCAGAATGGGGCAGCAGTCTGTGTTCCGCGGCGGCAATTCCGCCGCTTTTCCTGCCACGGCAACTTTTGGGCGGCAGCTCTGCCGCTCTTCCGGGCACGGCGGCAATTTGGTGGCAGCTCCTTGGGGCAGCAAAATTGGCAGAGCCTTCCCTGTCTACAATCTATCCTGGAAAACGATCCCTCACTCTCACAGATCTTGAGAGACAGGCCAGTCCTTGCTTACAGAGAGCCCTCCAACCTGAAGCTAATACTCACCAGCAACTACACACCACACCACAGAAACACTAACACAGGAACCAATCCCTGTGGCAAACTTGGTTGCCTACTCTGTCCCCGTATCTACTCTAGCGACACCATCAGAGGACCCAACCACATCAGCCACACCATCAGAGGCTTATTCACCTGCACGTCTACTAATGTGATATATGCCATCATGTGCCAGCAATGCCCCTCTGCCATGTACATTGGCCAAACTGGAGAGTCCCTACGTAAAAGAATAAATGGACACAAATCGGACATCAGGAATGGTGACATACAAAAGCCAGTGGGAGAACACTTCAATCTTCCTGGACATTCTATAACTGATTTAAAAGTAGCTATACTTGAATAAAAAAACTTCAGAAACAGACTTCAACGAGAAACAGCAGAACTAAAATTCATTTGCAAATTTAACACTTGAATAGGGCTTGAATAGGGACTGGGAGTGGCTAGCTCATTACAGAAGCAGCTTTGCCTCTCCTGGAATTGACACCTCCTCATCTATTATTGGAAGTGGACTACATCCACCCTGATCGAATTGGCCCTGTGGACACTGATTCTCCACTTGTGAGGTAACTCCCTTCCCTTCATGTGTCATTATATAATGCCTGCATCTGTAATTTTCACTCCATGCATCTGAAGTTGTGTTTTACTCATGAAAGCTTATGCCCAAATAAATGTTAGTCTTTAAGGCGCCACCAGACTCCTTGTTGTTTTTGTGTATATACTGTGCTTTGTGCATAGTTAGTTTCGCTGTATAGCCCTTCTTCCCTGCAAAGTCAACTAGGGCCTGATCCAAAGCCCACTGAACTCAGTGAGAGATTTTCTATTGACTTTGATGGATGTTGAAGCAAGCCCTTAGAGCTAGATCCACAAAGGTACTTAGGCACCTAACTGCTTCTTTAGGGACATTATCAAAACAATTGCTCAGCTGCCATCTAACCCCTCAGGTGCCAAAGTTACCACTAGCAGGCCTACTAGTTAACCCGCTTAAGTGCTAACGCCACCCCACAGCTAACAAGCTAAATACTTTTGTGGATCTAGCCCTTTCCCCTGTAATTTGTACAGAGCTGTCACACTGCATCAGGAAATTAAAAATATCTTGAAATATTGGAAAGTAGAACTGGAACATCACAGAAATTGGCCCCAGAACTGGACTCAATGACAGAGGAAGTTGAAACTCCTTTCAGCTTCTCTTTTAGAATTATTAAATATCAAGCTGACAGCTCCATTTCATAGCCTTTGAGATGCTTTGGTTATTCAGTGTCCCTGTTGTCTGGATTTTTGCCATTTATATTTGCTTTTGAAAAGAGTCTGCAACTGTATAAAACCAACTTTTAATTGGAGTTTAGGAACATCATATTGGCTCTGATTTTAATAATTGCGTGTATGCAACTATATGAAGAAAATGTTTTGAAAAAAATCAATTTGGATTTTTTTTTACTTTGTTAGAAAGAAAAACCCCACTCTACTCTATCAAAGACCTCCTGACTGTTTAAACTTGACAGCTCTCGTTCATTGTTTGTCTTCAACAAGACTTACTGTCATCTAATAATTTCTTCCCTGATATAAAAACTCTAATCTAAATCGATAATTTTCATTAATACTTTCTCAAGCCTTAAACCTGTAGTTCTCATGAAAATTTTGTAATGCTTACCCAACAAGGAGATTGATTTATAATGTACGTATCACTAGATCTTTATCGGGTATAAAAGAGACATACTAGTTAAATTGTTCAGAGTTTTCCATCTCAATTACATAGCTGAACAATTCCAGACTTGGTCTGGAAGCACTTGTACAATTCTGCAGACTGTGTGGGGGAGCTCATGCTGGATGGTTCTGGTCGTCCATTCTGGCCTTGGAATCTGTGAATCTATGATTCCCATTCAACCCCTTCTTTCATGGGTTTGCCTACACAGCACTCAATATGCTAACATCTGCAACTCTGCATAAAGATGACTAATCTAATCTCATGCTTCAGGGTTTTAGCTGGTCACCAGCAGTGGTCAGGAAGGAATTTTTCCTTCACTGCACAACTAGCTAGATATAGTCTGTTTTGTTTTGTTTCTCCCATCTTCTTATGAAGCATCAAAGATTGGCCACAGGGCACCTAAGAGGGTGGACGGTGCTCTGAACTGGTACAAAGAATCCTCTTTCTAGATGCCTGACTGGTGTGCCTTGTTCACATGCTGAAGGTCTTACTGGTCACCTGACTTGGGGTTGGGAAGGATTTTCTCCCCAGGTCAGATTGGTTGGGCCCTTAGGAATTTTTCACCTTCCTCTGCAGCATGGGGAGTCATTCATCTGTTGGGATCATCTGGCCAAATCTCACTTAAACAAAAGGGGTGATTTGATTACAGTCTATAAGTGCCTACATGAGGAACAAATATTTGATAATATAGGGTGTGATGGGTTCTCCTCAGGGTGCCAGTTGGAACCAGGGTACCACTGAGCCCACCTAACCCACCAGCCTCGGCTTCCTTTCACACTGTGGTGCTGTGATAAGTTGCCACACTCTCCAAGCTTGCTCTTTCACCAGCATACACACCGATGGGGACACACCCAGCTGCTGAGATCAGCTCTGCATGGTAAGGCTCAGCTAAGGCACCTCCCAGTTGCTAAGGCGCACACCTCCCTTTGGAGGGTAAACCCAAAATTATATCGTCTTGTGCTGCACAGGGAACTGTACAGTGTAAGCTCATAAAATTTACCCCCTCCCTCAATGTGGAGAGAGATTTTCAACAGCTTTCTGCCCCAAGTTATTTCCACACACTGGTTTTAGACAAAACAAAAACAAGTTTATTAACTACAAAAAATAGATGTTAAGTGATTATAAGTGATAGCAAATTGATCAAAATGGATTACCTTAGTAAATAAACAAAACCGCAAACTGAGCTTAACACACTAGATAAATCCAGGAAGAATTCTTCAAGGGCCTCTTTCCCGTGGGTCCATATGATGATGTCATTAATGTAGCGCAAGTAGAGGAGGGGCGCTAGGGGACAAGAGCTGAGGAAGCGTTGTTTTAAGTCAGCCATAAATATGCTGGTATATTGTGGGGCCATGCGGGTACCCATAGCAGTGCCACTGACTTGAAGGTATATGTTGTCCCCAAATCTGAAACGGTTGTGGGTAAGGACAAAGTCACAAAGCTCAACCACCAGGTGTGCCATGGCCTCATCATGGATACTGCTCTTGACAGCTTGTAGTCCATCCTCATGTGGTATTAATATTGGTATAAAGAGCTTCCACATCCACAGTGGCCAGGATGGTGTTTTCAGGAAGATTACTACTGCATTGTAGTTTCCTCAGAGAGAGTCGGTGGTGTCTCAAAGATAGTTAGGAGTGCTGGTAGCTTAGGGTCAGAGGAGAGAGTCCAAATAGCCAGATAATCCTGCTGTAAGAGTGCCGATGCCTGAGATGATGGGGTGTCCAGGGTTTCCAGGTTTATGGATCTTGGGTAGCAGATAGAATACCCCTGGTCAGGGCTCTGGGGGTGTGTCCGTGTAGATTTGTTTAGGAATGAAAATTGCCATATCAGATACCCCGTATCAGATTAAACACGTCAGGCTTTCTCCTACTGCTATTTCCAAGGAGATGACAGCAGCACCTACAATAATGTTGTGCCTTTTCTTCGCCTGAGTTCAGCATCTAGAAAACTCCCATTACTAGCCATCATCCTACTATTGTAAACCTGCTATAACCTGCTGTGAGCCAAGCAACAATTCACTCCTCCAGTGTCCCTCACAATATTAAACCCTAAACTGATCCCCAGCCCCTTCCTCATCTCATGCAAACCTAACCCCACAGACACCAAGAGTACAAAACCCTGAGTTTCTCCCTGCTCCCCTCTTCATCAACGACCCAAGAACATTAAACCCTGACCCCCTTCCCCCAGCACCTTCCTCACCTCCATTCGTACCATAAGCATCCCTTCCTCTAAACACTGAAGCTACCTTCTCACATACATGCCATTCTAACACTGCTATTCAACGATCCCAACACAACACCCAGCCCCCTCTGAGCTAAGACTGGTCAAAAATCGTAAAGTACTTTTATGAAAAAAATTACAAATCACTTTCATTCCGCAGATTTCTAAAAGGTGCAATTTTCTGTTCAGTCCACATTTTTCACAAGTATTATTTTAAAAAATTAGCTTTGAAAGGTTTTTTTTTTTTTTGCACTTCTCCCTCCTCCATTTTTCTCTTCCTTTTCCCAAGGAAGGGGGGGCAGGGCGGGAAAGTGGGAGAGAAATCAAATACCCAGTACCTCAAAGTACTTCATGGGGGTGGAGTCCTTTGAAACAGACACCAATAAAACATGATGTTTCACAGAAAAAAATACCAGTCCCCAAGGACAGACCATGTACCCAGAGGCAGTGCTGGCCCATTGGAGGTGCGCTCTTTACCCCTCACCCCCCACAATGCAATAAGTATTTTTTATTTCCACAAACCAAACAATATACGAACACATACTAATACACTTGTTAAAAACTCCATGTTAAATAAGATTAGTGGTATTTTGGGGGTAATACTAAATCAGGACCCCCATGACCTTAATTGCTTAGGGCTTGTCTACATTACCTGCTGGATGGGCAGCGATCGATCCAGCGGGGGTCGATTTATTGCATCCATCTAGACACAATAAATCAACCGCCGAGCGCTCTCCCGTCGACTCCGGTACTCCACCAGGACAAGAGGTGCAGGTGGAGTCGACGGGTGAGTGTCAGTTGTCGACTTAGTGTCGCAGTAAGTGGATCTAAGTATGTCAACTTTAGCTACGTTATTCACGTAGCTGAAGTTGCATAATTTAGATTGATTCCGCCCCCACCCCGTCAGTGTAGACCAGGCCTTAGTCTGTGTAAGCTTAGCACCACTACTGCATGCACCCCTCCCTCACTCTCTCTCCAGCAAAAGATTTCAACAAGCTCAATCCCTAACCTCTCCTACCAATGGCAACCCTTACCTTCCTTTACCGAAAAAAGCCAGGGCTAGTCCCTCACTTCTCTCTCCCTCCTCACAACACTGACTCTCACCCCATTAATAATTATTTCTCTCCTTACTCATCCCAGCCATTACCTGCTCCACCCCCATAACACTGACCCTCATCCCCCCACAGCTAACTTGTACCCCCAAACCACCCCTCCTCCCACTCCACCACCACAAGTGACCTCATCCCCCTACAACTAACTTATACCCCAAACTGCCCCCTCCCCATAACACTGACCTCATCCCCATACTGCTAACTTATACCCCAAACCGCCCCCTCCCCATAACACTGACCTCATCCCCCTACTGCTCTCTTAAACCCCAAACCACTCCCTCCCCATAACACTGACCTCATCCCCCTACTGCTACCTTATACCCCAAACCACTCCCTCCCCCATAACACTGACCTCATCCCCCTACTGCTCTCTTAAACCCCAAACCACTCCCTCCCCATAACACTGACCTCATCCCCCTACTGCTCTCTTAAACCCCAAACCACTCCCTCCCCATAACACTGACCTCATCCCCCTACTGCTACCTTATACCCCAAACCGCCCCCTCCCCATAACACTGACCTCATCCCCCTACTGCTCTCTTAAACCCCAAACCACTCCCTCCCCATAACACTGACCTCATCCCCCTACTGCTACCTTATACCCCAAACCACTCCCTCCCCATAACACTGACCTCATGCCCTCCAAAAAGCTTCTATCCAAACCTCCCCACCATAGCTCTCACCTCCTCCACATCCCCCTGACCGCATCCCCCACTAATATCTTACACCCCGCCTCACACAGCACCGAGGCGAGCCCCCCCCTTCACCCTCGCGCCCGCTCCCCCGCTGTTCCAGTTCCTTCGTCCCGCCCCGCCGTAAAGCGGCTGTCGCGCCGCTGCTCCCTGGTCACGTGAGGGGGCGATGGCGGCGCCCTGCCCCGCCTCGGGCTGTCGCAGGGAGGTGACGGCACGGCTGGGCGCTGGGGCGCGAGGGGCGGGGCGCAGGCAGAGGGGACGATGGGGCTCTGAGGGAGCTGCACCCCGCCGCACCGAGCTGCTCGCCCACCGTCCCCGGTCGGAGCGGGAGGCGCCGCGGCCTGCGGAGCCGGCTGGGGCTGGGGTTGTGGCTCGGGCTCCGGGCCGGGATCGGGCTCGGGGCCGCCACAGGCCCAGCTGCTGTCCCGAGAAGCGGAGAAGGCGGTAAGGAGTCCGGGGCTGCGGGGTACGGGCCGGGCTCCCGGGCCTCTCTCCCCCCAGCCGAGCCCGGGCCCTGGGTGTCTCCCGCCTCTCCTGCACCGGCGCAGGCAGAACCGTGGCCTGAGGCTTCCTCGGGGCCGGTCCCTGGGGAGCATCCTCTGCGGGGCCGAGGCCGGGGGTTTTAAACCTCCCTGTGCCCCAGAGGTGGCTGATGTCTGGGGGCTCCTTCTGCTCCCTCCGGGACCCGGAGCGGCCTGGCGGCTCCCCTTCAGAGACGGAGCGGCCCAGGGGATCCTCCACCCCCACCCACCCCCGACAGAAACAGATGGGTCCGGGGCCTGGGGCATCCCCTACAGCTCACCTTTCCCCAACCCAGACAGGCACACGGGCCCAGGGGCTGGGTGTTTTTCTGCACACGCCCCCCCCCCCCCCGAAAGTCACCCACACAGACCAGGGCTTGAGGGATCCCTTACATCCTCCCCAACCCAGATAAACGGAATGGCCCAACTCCTGGAGCTCTCGCTCCAGCACCCCTGAACCCAGAAGGACACAGACCAGACCAAGGCCCTTAAGGGGGCCCTTTATGCACCATATGACTTTAAATAGTGACATTGTCAACTTAAAACTGGTCCTTTTGGATGAAATGCTCTTGCCCGCTATCAGAGTTACAGCCGTGTTAATCTGTATCCGCAAAAAGAAAAGGAGTACTTGTGGCACCTTAGAGACTAACAAATTTGAGCATAAGCTTTTGTGAGCTACAGCTCACTTCATTGGATGCATACAGTGGAAAATACAGGGGGGGAGATTTTATACACACAGAGAACATGAAACAATGGGTGTTACTATACACACTGAGAGTGATCAGGTAAGGTGAGCTTTACCAGCAGGAGAGGAAAAAACCTTTTGTAGTGAAAATCAAGGTGGGCCATTTCCAGCAGTTCACAAGAACATGTGAGGAACAGGAAGGGGGGAAACAAACATGGAGAAATAGTTTTACTTTGTGTAAAGACACATCCACTCCCAGTCTTTATTCAAGCCTAAATTAATGGTGTCCAGTTTGCAAATTAATTCCAATTCAGTAGTCTCATGTTGGAGTCTTTTTTTTTTTTGGAAGTTTTTTGTTGAGGAATTGCCACGTTTAGGTCTGTAATCGAGTGACCAGAGAGACTGAAGTGTTCTCCGACTGGTTTTTGAATGTTACAGTGTTAATTCTTGACGTCTGATTTGTTTCCATTTATTCTTTTACGTAGAGACTGTCTGGTTTGGCCAATGATATATGCCATCGTGTGCCAGCAATGCCCCTCTGCCATGTACATTGGCCAAACCGGACGGTCTCTACGTAAAAGAATAAATGGAAACAAATCAGACGTCAAGAATTAACACTGTAACATTCAAAAACCAGTCTGAGAACACTTCAGTCTCTCTGGTCACTCGATTACAGACCTAAAAGTGGCAATTCTTCAACGAAAAAACTTCAAAAAAAAAAAAAGACTCCAACATGAGACTACTGAATTGGAATTAATTTGCAAACTGGACACCATTAATTTAGGCTTGAATAAAGACTGGGAGTGGATGTGTCTTTACACAAAGTAAAACTATTTCTCCATGTTTATTTCCCCCCTTCCTGTTCCTCACATGTTCTTGTGAACTGCTGGAAATGGCCCACCTTGATTTTCACTACAAAAGGTTTTTTCCTCTCCTGCTGGTAAAGCTCACCTTACCTGATCACTCTGTGTGTATGGTAACACCCATTGTTTCATGTTCTCTGTGTATATAAAATCTCCCTGCTGTATTTTCCACTGCATGCATCTGATGAAGTGAGCTGTAGCTCATGAAAGCTTATGTTCAGATAAATTTGTTAGTCTAAGGTGCCACAAGTACTCCTTTTCTTTTTACCTGCTATTGTTGCACATTAGATTCAGGATTGACAGAAAGCTTATAGGAAAAAATACACAGAAAAATATTTATGTCAGTTTATGTTGTTCATTAGCCAGTACATTTCTATAGTTATTCTTTCCTCTGTATAGTCAGTCACTTGCCCCTTTTGTTTGTGTGGCCTTTCGTACAGCAACAGGGCAGGGGGGAAACATTTTAAAACTAGGAAAATGTGATTATAACATCACTAAAGCTGATGGGGAATTAGGGCCACGTATATTATTAGAACACATTTGTATCTCATTTTTCAAACTAAATAGATTGCAGGTTGATGGTGTAGCTGTTTGTGGGGGGGATTAAGGAATACTATTTGTATATACTTTTTATATTATGCACAACAATCTAAACATTTCCAATTTTAGTGCACTACTAGATCCTAAAGTGCTATCATTTATAATAGATTTATATCTCTTCGTGGTTAAAATATATTCATTTGGAATGCTATTTGTATTTTTAATTAACGGTGCTTTCTGCTTTGTAATATAAAAAATATTTTTCTCTGAAAGTAGGGGGAAAAGAAAATAGAAGTTATCAAGATGAGTAAAAAGCCTCCAAGTCGTCCAGGGATCACATTCGAGATCGGTGCTCGTTTGGAAGCACTGGACTACTTACAAAAATGGTAAGGAAGACATCATGCAATGCTTAATTAGGTCAAATTTCTTCCATCTGTACTGTAATCTGTCTTTAGTTTCAGTTGTTTGATACATTAATTGTTAATACAAACCAATCAGTCCATATACTAATTTGATGAATATCCTTATTTTAAAAAAAAAAACTAAAGCAATTATAAAATTTCAGGAAACCATCCCTCCAAAAAAATCAAATTGAAAGAAAATGTTGTGTTTTCTTGCATGGCTATCTTGTATTTCTAGTCATGATCCTTTTTCTAGACATTAGTTTGTTCTCTTTGGTACTGGCATATGTCTATCATGACAGTCTGTATCTGCTAAAAATATTTATTAACTGTGGTATTAAATGAAAAACTCATTCAGAATACTCTGGCATGCAGTGTTGCATGCAAGAGGTCAAGTGCACTTGTGTGTAACTCCAGTAATAACTCAAGGAGCCAGTTTTGTTTTAATTTTAAGGTGTAAGCAGATTTCACAAATTTTAAAACTGAAAACTTGATGTAGCGTTCAGTAATAAAACTTCTTGTGCATTAAAATTCTTACTGTACACTGAGGTAGGTAACTTTAGGTAACTCTCCATTTGACAGTGGAGAAACGGAAGTACCAAAGTTATGACTTGGCCACACCAACTCTGTTAGAGCTCGGATTGGAAGTAAAATAGGATTGGAAGAACAGATCAACACTTGCTTAAAATGCTGCCTCAGCCTTTTTAGTGCTTTAATGAAGAGGCTCTAAGCCGACAGGAGAGAGTTTCCCTTGTCAGCTTAGTTAATACACCTCTGCGAGAGGCAGTAGCTATGCCAGCTGGAGAAGCTCTCCTGCCGACTTAGCACCACCTACACCGGTGCTTAGATCGGTATAACTACGTTGCTCGGGGTGTGGATTATTCACAGCCCCTGAGCAATGCAGTTATACCAAAGTAATTCTGTAGTGTACACCAGGGCTCAGTCTTGCAATATTTGTTTACTCGGAGAGAAAAGTCAAACTTAATCAAAATTTAGTAACACAATCTGGTTTGTTTGGAAGTACTGTTTCAGTCAATTTGAAGGAGTTATTGCTATAGTGGATAAGACCAATAGTCTGTCTGATCCTGTCAGTGGTTAGTGCTCTATGCTTCAGAAAAAGTTTATTCTTAACTCCTATGAGTTAGTAAGTGGTTGATGCCATCGGTCATAAGGGTCAAAATCCCTTGCATATTTTCATTCTTTCTGATATAACCGTGGATGTTCTTATTCACAAATGTCTAATCCTGTTGCCCTCAGTAATATTGTATGTCAATGAGTTCCGTGGGTTAAATTGTCTACAGAGGAAATACTGCTTGAGTATCTATATAAAGAGGGTTTAAATTTCCAGGGCTGTCAAACTAGCACATTTTACCAGCAGTACTTTGTTCAAACAAATCCTTTTCTTCGAAATAATCAGTGTATGTCGAAAAGAAAATAGAACTGATTTTTGAACCACATTCCATGGTACATTACTCTTCTTAGTTGGTGCTACAGAGATATGGTGAGTTGAAATAAATTGTTCTCCATAAAATTAGTACTTTATGTTCAAAGAATGTAAAAAAGGTTGAGACTGCCAATATAGTGCTGTAAAACTAACAGTCATTTAAGAATATTTGACAAAGATGATAGACTGTCATGATAGACCTATGCCAGTATGTACAGGAGCTAAAAACAGAATTGCCTCAATTTAATATCTAAACAGGGTTCACCATATCTCTAGCACATAGTTATATAACTAAGTAAAATTTAACAACTTATACACAGGAACAGGAATAAATATTAAAATTGTGCAGCTAAAACACTGGAAACTAGAAGATGTACGTTCTTTCATTTTTTTAAAAATGAATTTATATCAATAACCAGGGAGCTTGTTAGAGAAAATTTTGTCCTTCTGTGAAAATAGTTTCACCCCAAGGTATGATTTATTTTAGTAGTCCATGTGTTTTTTACACCTAATTTGCTCAGCTGTCACTTAAGGGGCCCAGCTGACTTTAAAATTTGTCTGTTTTCCAACTAAAATGCATCCATCTCAGCTATATACTGAGAAATTGTACTGAGCATACTTTAAAAAAATTATATAACTTGCACAAGTCATTTATCTACTGCATTTCTGTCTAACATTGTTTCTTGAAGGGAACAAAAAACCATGTCAGACTAGGGTTCAATTTAAATCTTTCTATTTTATCAACACTCAGGTTTCAGAGTAACAGCCGTGTTAGTCTGTATTCGCAAAAAGAAAAGGAGTACTTGTGGCACCTTAGAGACTAACCAATTTATTTGAGCATAAGCTTCCGTGAGCTACAGCTCACTTCATCGGATGCATGCTGTGGATGAAGTGAGCTGTAGCTCACGAAAGCTTAAGCTCCAATAAATTGGTTAGTCTCTAAGGTGCCACAAGTACTCCTTTTCTTTTTGCGAATACAGACTAACACAGCTGTTACTCTGAAACCTGTTATATGCTTAGGTGACTGACAGTCAGTTTGGGACTGGTGAGGGAAGCTTTGTCCACACTGGACAAGGAAGTCAGTGAGCATATTTAAGCTTGTTTATTGCTTGCATGGTTTTACCACTTTGTAGACATAGCCACAATAGTTTCTTTGTAACTGAATACCTTTTATGAAATACATGTATGATACACAGTTACACAAGGCAGTTGTTTGAACAGATACAATTCTTACAATTGCTTTAGTTTTAAACTCAACTAAATTAGTCGTAAATTCAACTCTATTTAGTAATAGATAAAAGCCATCGAGGAAGGTTTAGTAGGACTATTAAGAACAAAACAAATAGGTAAAGGTAATTAAATAAAGGAATGGGTGTATAAATTGCTTAAAATGGAATGCTTAAAAAAAGTACACATTGGTCTTGAGGTTTTTAAAAAGTCCTTTTTTTGGTTCTGCTTTTGTTTGTTACAGTGTCCATTCAGGACTAGATTCCGCAGGCACTAAAATGTTTACAGGATCAGGCCTTAGACTGTAAGCTTTCTGGCATAGGAGACATGGCTTACACATGGGTGCTATAAAACTAATGTGACCTCCCCTTCCTTTCTGTTCTTGTTTTGTGATCCTGTGGATCCATTATTTCTCCCAGGAACAAATTGCTAATTCCTGATCTCTCTCTTGTCTGTCCAGATCCTCTCTCGTCTCATACTAAGATTGTATGCTCCTTGGGCAGGGGTATCATTTTGTTCTGTGTTTGTACAGCGCCTATCACAGGGGGAGCTGGGTCCATGACTAGGACTTCTATGTGCTATAGTAGTACAAATAATGACAGGATGCAAATCCAGGAAAAGTGTGTAGTGAAGGAGACACAGAAAAGGGACAGTTGGCCTATGTAGTAGATGCCAGGTGGCAAGAGCTTGCCAGCGTGTGCCTGTTAGAAGAATGAAAAGGAGTACTTGTGGCACCTTAGAGACTAACAAATTTATTTGAGCATAAGCTTTCATGAGCTACAGCTCACTTCATTGGATGAAGAATGTTATCTTTTGTGAACAGAACTGACTGAAGGGACTAGATTGTCTAGGTTGATTTTTATTTCCTCACAGGGTAGAGATCCAAAGGATTTTTTTCTGTAAGATTTGGAGTGACAGCAACAAACAGGAAGCAGTTCTGTAGTCTTTTCTTTCGGTTTTAGCAGACTGGGAGACCTGATTGTCAGTTTGGTGGAAGGTCTAGAATGGAAGAAGGGGTATGGGGGTGGGGGGGATTTAGTACTGGGCTAATTAACACAACGGAGGGGGTGAAAGTTTGTCCATGAAGGAGGTCTCTCCATGGAACAGATATAGGGTTATATGCCTTTTGGGTAAGGAAGGAAGGACAGGCTTGTGTTCAGTGCACAGGACTGGGATTCAGGAAGTCTGGGTCTATTTCTGTATCTTCCTTGGACTTCAAATGTGACTTTAAGGAAGTCACTCAACCTATCTGTAAAATGTAGCCCCCTTTCCACCTCACTAGGGTGAAGAGACTGTTTGTAGAACACTTTGTATTTCTACAGTGTCTTATATTTGAGTTTGTTTTATTCTTACTGAAAGAATACCATATACTGGACAAATGGCTATATTGAAAAAGAGGCCCTGTATGAATTATTACACTGTGAAAATTAAGTGTTAATATGGAAACTTTAACGTGAATATTAAGGTTGGAGAAAAAAAACAAACTTTGAGCCGTTGTTTAAGATTTAAATCATGTAACTAAAACTTGTCCTTACCAATTTTACCTTACAATTTCTGTAATTCACATGGGATGCAAGTGTTAGAACGTGAGAGAGAGAAGTGAATAATATGTAAAACTGGCAGATGTCATTATCCAGCCGTAGTAGTCCAGTTCTGTAAAACAGTGTGAAGTTTGGATAATTTTAAATGTACAGATTCCAGTGCCAGAAGGAACCATTGTTATCATGTAGTCTGAATTCCTCTATAACACAGGCCATAGAACTTCCCCAAAATAATGCTTAGAATATCTTTTATTTAAAAAAAATCCTGATTTAAAAATTGTCAGTGATGGAGAATCCACTTTGGTAAATTTGTTTCAAAGGTTAATTACTCTCGCTGTTAAAAATTTACACCTTATTTCCAGCCTGCATTTGTCTAGCTTCAACTTCCAGTCATTGGATCATGTTATACCTGTCTCTACTAGGTTCAAGAGCTCATCATTAAATATTTGTTCCCCAGTAGATACTTGTAGACTAATCAAGTCACCCCTTAAACTTCTCTTTGTTAAATTAACTAGATTGAGCTCTTTGAAATTATTAAGGCATATTTTCTAATCCTTTAATCATTCTCGTCATTCTTCTCTGAGCTCTCTTCAATTTATCAACATCTTTCTTTAATTGTAGGCACCAGAACTGGACACAGTATTTTAGCAGTGGTCGTCGTACTAGTGCCAAATAGAGAAGTAAAATCTCTCTAGTCCTACTCGAGATTCCCCTGTTCATGCATTCAAGGATTACAGTAGCTCTTTTGGCCACAATGGAGCTCATGTTCAGCT